CCTGCTGGCCACACTATTTCTAACGCAGGCCAGGATGCCATTGGCCCTTTTGGCTTCCTGGGCACACTGCCAGCTCATGTTCAGCCCAACATCAACCAACACCCCCAGGTCCCTTTCCTCTTCATCCAGCCACTCAGCCCCAAACCCATAGCGCTGCATGGGGTTGTTGTGGCCAAAGTGCAGGACCCGGCACTTGGTCTTGTTGAACCTCATCATTCACCTCAGCCCAGTGATCCAGCTTATCTAGATCCCTCTGAAGGGCCTCCCTACCCTCAGGCAGATCCACACCACCTCCAGCTTGGTGTCATCTGCAAACTTACTGAGGGTACACTGAATCCCCTCGTCTAGGTCATCAATAAAGATATTAAACAAGATGGCCCCAGTACCGACCCCTGGGGGACACCACTTGAAACAGGTCGCCAGCTGGACTTCGCTCCATTAACCACCACCCGTTGAGCACGGCCCTCCAGCCAGTTCCTTACCCAAAGCAATGTGTACCTGTCCAGGCCACGGAAAGCCAGTTTCCCCAGAAGAAGCCTGTGAGAGACCGTGTCAAAGGCTTTGCTGAAATCTAGGTAGGCTGCATCAACAGCCTTTCCCTCATCTACCAGACTGGTCATCCAATCATAGAAGCAGATGAGGTTGGTCAAGCACGACCTGCCTTTCATGAACCCGTGGTGGCTGGGCTGATCCCCTGGACACCATGCACATGCCGTACGATCTCACCCAAGATGATTTGCTCCATTACTTTCCCTGGTACCGAGGTCAGGCTAACAGGCCTATAGTTCCCGTGATCCTCCTTACAGCCCTTCTTGAAGATGGTAGTCACATCAGTGAGCCTCCAATCCTCTGGGACCTCTCCAGTTAACCAGGAGCACTGATACGTGTTTTTTCATGTGTGAGATTATTTAATATAGTAGCATCTAATTTAATGGGATTGGACACTGGACAGTGAACTAACACATTGCTGCGTACTTCCTCCCATTCAATTAGAGAGTGTTAGAGGCAAGCAATTGCATAAAATTCACTGTTGTAACAGACAAAAACTGAAAAGAAACGCAAACTCACATTCAGCTACAGTTGTTGGCTCAGCTGCCAGGAAGGCTAACTGTCTGGCCATTTGTCTTTCCTGCTGCCTGGAAATAGAAGTGTTCATGAGAGGCATTTCATATTCTTCTTCAGAAACTGGTGGGTACTGGGTACTGGGTAGACTTGCAATAGAAACCCAAGTTTCTGAACTTGTTTTTCTCTCTACTCCAATAATTGCAAATAACTGTTAGAAGCAAAGGCATATCACCAGTATAATACTATCTCAGGAGAAATGAATTGCTCCCACACAGAGATTTCAGTGAAAACACCCTGTGACTGCAATGGTATCACTTAGACTGAACAATGTGATGGAATTTACATGGAGATCTTATGTGAAAGCAGTGCTGCCCACTAGCTGAATGAGAGGTACCATCCAGGGGTATTTTCACTGTTCTTCCTGCCTTATAAACATGACAACGTCCAACAACGGCTTTGGTTGATGCTCTGCGTGTAACGTGAGGTACTCACACCATCGGACTGCCTACAGAGAAGCTAACAGTTTACTTCCAGGTGTGCTGTATCATTATGCCATAGGATACAATGCCTGTATGAACTTCTGCCTCCTGCTAGAGAGCTCAGCGCAAGTCTTGGGAACTGAGTGTTTGACTTCTGTGGATTTGAATTCAAATGTGCCACAGTTTGAGCAGCAAAATAGAGGAATACAAATTCATGTATTGCTTTGGCAAATGGGGCAAAAACAAGACCTAAATATTGTCCCTGCCATAGCTGCAATTACATTTTAGGCCCTACCTGGGTCTAGGTTGGTAAGAGAAAAGCTGAGGGGGCCCAATTGGAATATGAGCACGTATTGCCTAGCTTTTAAAAAGTTCCTTCATTACCTCTTGCTGTAGTCTCATTTTCTTAGCACTTCTTTTCCCTCCAGAGTAGCCTGTTCCCTATCCAAACTATCCCCAGCTATCCCCACAGCCGGCGTGGTACCTCTGGTATGCTCTCTCCTTTGCCAGATGTCTTTCAGCTTCACTGCCATGGGGCTCGTGAGAGTCTATAGAAATAGGGCCGTTCCAAGCACTTTCGTGTTCCTTCCTCTCCTTTACAATGAACTCGCAGAGGTCTTGATTGCGTTTGCAGCAGAACTTCTGGAAGGCAGAGAACAGTGTCACTGCAGCAGGGCTCCCCAGGGCCAGCCCTCATCTTCCTCCTGCTCACTGCTCCATAACCTGTGGTGGAGGGCAAATGTCCTCGAAGGAAGGGAACGGCCTCAGCAGGCTTCCGCAGTACTCACACTTGGGAGCACAGTCCTCCTCTGCCTAAAGTAGAGGCAGGATGACAGAAGGAATGTATCAGCACACAAATCCTTGTTTTATCCTGGGGAAGTAACACTGCTCAAAACACAATGTTGTGAAGTGTGTAACAGTGCTTAGACGTGTGTCTGTTATATCTTGGGACGATATTTGTTCCCAGGAATTAACCAAAGAGCACCCAGCAGGGACCCACCTCGGCATGCAGGTGGCCCCGCAGCACCTCAGGTCTGTAGGCCAGCACAGCTGGTGGGCCAACGGAGGGCAGTGTGCGCAGTGGCTGTGCCAGCAGCTCCACAAAGTCCTCTAGGAACTGGGAGAGGGAAAGAGTGTGGAGTCATAGCTTTGTTTAAGGAAAAACCATTAGGCATAAATGCATTGCTGTAGGAACTGAATAGTCTTTACCTCCATGGCACACATGATGTCCAGTCTGCTGGGCTCTCCTGGTGAAGCTGCAGGCAAGAGCAGTGCTGAGAGCAGCTGCACAGCACAGCCGTGTTCCTTGAGGCCTTCCGTGGCCCTCTGGGGCTGCCTGGGGACTGTGCTGGGTCCCAGCAGCTCAGGGGAGGCCTGCTGCTTGGGGCCAGAGATGCAGTGCCTGTCTGGCATCACTACACCTGGGGGAATGTTCCCTGGCCCCGTGGTACCAAGGGGAAGGAGCAGGCAGGGCACTGGTTTCTGCATCTCTAGGTGCGGCCCGTGCTGCATGTGTGCAAGGAGGGGCTTCAGCCTCTGAGGCAGCAGGGAATGTCTTGTGGTTGGGCATCTGCCACTGCCCTTCTAAATCATTCTTTTCAGAAAATAGCACCAAATTAGGATGTGTATTTGAATGGGATGGGGTGATGTTCCTGCCTGCCTGAGCTGTTGGGGCTGTGGGGAACGAGCCAGGGCAGGGAGTGGAATGCAGTGCTGTGGAGCTGTGTAGGCAGTCAGAGGGTTGATGGACTTGGCTGCTGGCTTGTGCGAACCTGGTGAAACTGCACTTCAAGGAGATGCAATTACCATCCTCTGCAGGCATGCTGTGCCATGGAGCATGACCGCTCACAGAGCCCCCGAGGAGCTGCCCGTCCCCACAGAGGCCTGACACTGAAGGGAATGCCCAGAGGATCAGGGACCAGACAGAAGTTGGCACTGCTGTGTTCCTGCTGCCTTGGCCAGCGAGTGGGGCCGGCTGCTGATCCCAGGCTGCGCACCTCAGCTGGGCAGGAGGAGGAGAAGGGCTGCTGTATTTCTAGCTGTGCCTCCCCAGGGGTCCGTCGCGCTGTGCCGCGGGCCGGCAGGGCGTTCCCCCACCCCGCGCGCTGTCCCGCAGCCGTAGCGGGGCTGCCGGTGTGCGGGAGGGAGCTGCGGGCGGAGCACCGGCACAGCCCGCCGGCTGTTCTTACGTGCTTCTCTGCAGGCGCGGTCCAGGAGCCGGCTCGCTTCTGGCTGCGGCGGCGGCGACCTTCCCGGTGGCTTTTGTGTGGCACTGGCACCGACACCATCTGGCACTTCCATGTCCGTTCTCTGAGACAGAAACCCGCGTGTTAGTCCCGTGCGACGACTTCAAAGCAGTCGCCTTAGAAGAGCATCGCATTACGCCAAACTTTTCCCGACGTACGCGATCAGAAACGCGGGCAGCGTGCACACGGAGGTGCGGCTCGGCCCCGGCTCGCTGCCGAGCGGGTGGATGCGCGGGGAGCTCTCCGGGTGGACGGCTGCCCGGCCCCGCGCCGCTCCCCGCCTCCTCCGCCCTGCCGCCGTCCGAGCAGCTGCCGCTCCGTCCTCCCGGTCCCGCTCGATCTCGGCCGTTGCGGCGCCGCGTGCGGTCTCCGTGGCGACGCGGGGCGGTGGCGCAGCGCGTGGTGCGGGGAGGCCGCGGGGACGCACGGGGCGGTGCTGCGCTCCTGCGCGGAGCGGAAGCGCCCGCGGCTTCTGCGTTTGTGTTCAGAGCGGAGGATGCGCTTGGGAAGAACTGCCAACGGTACGTCGCGTCAATGGAAAAACCCTTCCCGGGCACCGCTCCTGCTGCGGGTACCGCCCGGGGCCCTGCTGGGATGGACGCTGGTGCTGCCACGGTGCGTGCCAGGCCTACCGGTGCTGCCGTGATGTGGCGATGTTGGTGCTGCCGTGACGTGGGGATGGCTGGTGATGCAAGAGCTGTCTCCCTGCTGGCACGGCCGGCCCTGGGGCAGCTCCACCAGCTCTGGTGTTGCTGGTCACCACGGGGAGATTTTTACCTGGGTGTGTTTCAGTCTGTTCCAAAGTCAGAAGGCTTTGTTTGTCATCAGGAGTTTTGTAAACAAACTGGAGGCAGCCTCAGTGATGTTTTTGTGTATGGTGAGAAAGTTCCATAACCCCACAGCTGTGTGGCTGCCCGGTGCCAGCACCTGCCTGCCTCCCGGGGCCTTGGATGGTGCCAGCAGGGGAGCCTGGAGCACCTGGACTGGGTGTCAGAACCAATGCTTCCGGCACATCTGCTGAGCTAATGGGGCAACACATCACTTCTTGGCTGTACCACTGAGGTACGCCTTCTCCTAAATTCAGTTTTATCAGCTATAGGAAAGATACTGCATGTTGCAGGGTTTGGGTTTTTTTGTTGTTGTTTTGGTTTGGTTTGATGTATTTTTTTTTTTTTTTGCTTGCTTGGTTTTGTTTTTTGTAAAACATAATACAAGTTTCTGTTTCATCAGAGGAACTGAACAGTAGAGGAAACCACAGTGAAATAATGATGAATTATCTGATGTGGGTTACAGGCAGTGTTGGGGTAATTAATTCCATGTCACGAATCCTGCTATAATAATGATTTGCTTCAGAGTGGTTTTTTACACAAAAAGCTGTTAAGACCCAACAAAAATTTTTGGTAAGAAAAATTGTTTTCTACTATAAATGCTGCTGAGATATGGGAAAATGAATTAAACTCTTGGGAATTTGTGCTTAATGCATCCCGCTAAAAGCACAGGTGTTAGCTCCCCTCAGAGCCAGGGCCTGACTTTGATCCTACTTAAGCAGGAGTAAATGAGTTCACCCAGACGATGCTGGAGTTCTGCCAGCACAGTGCAAATGAGATCCAACGTAGCATCTTATAGGAACTGGATACAAAAAGATTAGAGTAATTCCTTGGGAGGTTTTTTCCACAACTACTTCCAAATTCTCAAGGACAGAGCAAGCCTCCCTTCTCTGATGCTATCCTTGTATTTCTCTTGTGCTTTTCTGTGGATGGCTGCCCAGCACCGTGGGGCTTTGTCTTGTAACTCCAGACATCTCCTCTTCCCTGAACACACCTGGCTGTGAGCAGCGTTCCTCCCTGGGTATTTCTTTACGTTTATTCACGCCAAGCTCCATCTGCCCTTTTACACGTAGTTTTCCACCACTGCGAGGCTTACTGCCTCGGCTGTGTGTCACCTCACAGCACAGTGGCTCTAAATGGCACCTCACTGCTCGGCCAAGACATCCAGAGCTCGTGGTTCTTGTGAGTGACTCTGAGAGAAGCCTCCTGTTAGCAGCGCATGACATGCAGGCAGCGCCAGCTCTCGTGGCACACTGGTTTCAGTGTGGGTCTCCCAGCAGCAGCCCCATGTGCTCCACAGCAGTAGGGCTGGCAGTGGGGCCTGGCAGCAGCAGCCACGCGCAGCAGGACAGCATGCAGCACGGTGTCATTTTTGCAAAATATTTATTACAAAATAAAAGTAAATATGGCAACAAAAGTTAAATAGCAAATGACATGACACTGGCCATAAAGCTCTTGCTGTATTATTCTAATATTTTATAATGACCAAGTATGTCTCCAAGGGAAGCTGTACGTGGACAGCCTGAATATATTTCTGCATTACTGGCTCTAGCTATCTGGGAATATTATGCTGTGTGCCCTCTGCCATCACCAGGACCTGGCTGGGAGTAGCTGTGCTGTGTGCAGGGCTCCCTCACACCCCTCACACAGACCACAGCCGGCAATTCCCATGCTCTGAGACCTGCTGGGCTTCACCCCAGTCCTCCAGTCCTCCCTTCTCCCTCTTCTTTTAAAAAGGCAGCAAATGACCCAGTGCCCATCCTTTTAAATAAGGCAGCAGGAAGTGGAATAGCAATGCTGAAGTACCTCTTGATATGCTTTGAGCCTTTTCTCTTGTGATAAGCTGCTTGGATTTTCTTCTTTTCCCACCTACTAAAGACTCCCGAAGTTCACTGGTGAGAACAAGTCTGTTTTCCTGCTTGAAAGGGTTTCTAGGTGCGCTCTAAACAGGAATGCAGTCCTTCACACCTCTCAAGCCACGTGTCCAATGGAAGCACTCTTTTTTTAAAAATTAATTACATTTAAAAAGGTGTCTGTGTGTGGGGAAAATCTTCCTAAGGCACCCAAGAATTTAAAAAACCTCTCCTCGCTTATATTACTTACAGGACACACTTGTTCCTCTTCTCTCCAAACTTATAAACGTTGGCTAGTTAGGAACCTTAACTTACACAAAGACATAGCAGAATAGCATCTAAAAAACCCAGAACAGAAAGAAAATGCTCAGTAACATAAAGCACTGTGCCCAGACAGACGACGTTTCGCTAACTACACAAATCTATCACGGACAACACGTGGAAATGGTCACGTTAATTCCAAGGTTCCCATTGTCAGCAAAAAGGTGTGCTATAGCGGTATCAAAAACGAGGCAGTCACTGTTGACTATGGCAGCATTCACCCCGTCGTGGATGGAGCGTGGGGTGGCCTCCCAGGTCAGTCTGCGCCGGTTGCCGTTCAGCTCCAGTCTGTATGCAAAGTTCTCTGCTTGCTTACGGGTGCCGATGAGCAACACGATAGCAAAAAACTGCTGGTGACCTTCGTACTTCTCTTGCTTCTCCAGCACCAGCATGAAGTGGTGACCAAAGCACGACTGCATCATCACCCAGTCAACAGCACCCGGCAGGTTAATGTCCGTGGCGAGAAAAACGATGTCTTCTCCCTGAAGGGTGGTGATGCTTTTGTGGGCGTGCATGAGGTGGGACATGACGGCTTCCAGGGATCCCTGCCACTTGCAGGAGGCACCAGGGCACGGGCAGGAGTAGGGCCGATACTCACAGATGTCTTCGTGTTCTGGCTTTTCTGTGTGGTGGAGCGTCAGCGAGCAGCCTGTCGTGGCATACTGGGAAAAGAGCAAACACAATCCGTCAGGAAGCACCCAGCATAAGTGCTCGCTGCTCCCACCTGCAACCAACCAGAACTCTCATTTCGCTCCAAATCTTACGTGAGACGCCTCTATTTAGTGCTGGATTCAGAGCTGTGCTTAGTTTTGTTTCCTCTTAAAAAGAAGTTCTTCCTGTACTTTGCAGCTGTTGGTTTTTGTTTGCTTTTTAAATGCGAGCACTTATATGAAATGGACCACAAGGCTGAGTTGTAGATCATCTGCTGTTGTAGTTAGACCTGGTCAGTCCACATCAGCTGAAGTGGTCCTGGTATGGATTTCTTTTCTTTAAAAAGAACACGGGATGCCAGTTTCAGCAAACAGCTACTACAGCAGCATGCTTTTAATAAATACGTGTAATTATCATCACAGAGCAGACGTATTTCCATTAAACTCAAACCCTCGATCCCAAGTTTTAGCCCCATGGTTGTGAAGAGCAGAAAGAGAGATGGTGATTTTTCACTGAGCACAGAGCTAATCACAAGTGAGCACCATGTGACTGCCTTAATGTCATCAGGCACCTCTGAAGGTTAATCTGCCTTAAACAAACAGGGATGCTTTTCCTTTTCTACACTGAGTTGCTGCCTGCACTGAACACACTGCTTCCTCACTACCTCTAAGGAGAAACACGTCTTTTGCTCTTGCCAAGAGCACAGCTCCCCCCGTCTGCAGAGCTGTAGAGATTTCTGCAACTCTGCTAATGCAGTCTCACTGTCACAGCCCGAGTGTGGCTGCCTACAGGAGGCAGGACACCTCTTTGGGTCAGGCATTCTGCTCTGGACTGAAGGTGAGGTCTATGTGCTTGCTGCCCTAAAGAGAATGTCTGAAGTAACAAAAAAATATTTGGGGAAAAAACAAAATGCAATGGATAGACTTTTTTTCTTTTAAGTTCAACTAAACAAAGTCCAAATTCACCAAAGTTTAAAGCATATTTTGGAGTTAAACGCAAGCACAGGAAGTTTCAGCTCAAAGAGTGAAATGCCTAAGATGCAGAACACCACAGTCCTCTTTACTGCAGGCAAATCACCCACACTGCAACAGAGCGCTACAACCGCTGGGACAGAAATGAGACCTTGTGCTTCTACAGGAGCTTGCTTTATAAGCCATAATGTGTGCTGTGCTGCTTAATCTTCTGCTACAGGATTTATCCACATGTGAGCAGGAGTGCTGAGGTGTGCTGCGGTGCAACGAGGGCTCCTCCTGCTGCAGGCAGAAATACACCATGCACAGCATGGCTCCCTGCCACTGGATTCAGCGCTTCCACTCTCACTGTTCTGCTGTTTTCGCCCCACTTTCATACCCCTGCTGGCACTTCAGTCACTTTGCACTGTGCTGAAGAACAGCTCTCAGTCTAACCTTGTTAGAAAAGCAGTAAGAACACGTAAGCTACCGGATGGGCAAAACCAAATGTTGGCATAGAGTGTCAGCCCACATCAGAAGGTGACCGGTGAGCACACAAGGAAGAGTGCTGAAGAAATAGCTGTGGTTTTTCCTTCGCTGTGACCTACCTCCTTTTGTTTGTTCCTGAACACATGGCAGCTAGTTTTGTTTGGTGAGCCCCACCGAAGCAGGAGATTGCGAACAGATTCACTGAGTGCTTTGGGTTTGTAAGGGGCTCTTACAGATCTTCTGGGAACAGAGAAACTTGCTGCCTTCATGCTGTGTGGCACATGTCACTGCTATTTACCATACCCTCATTCAAACCGAAGAGTCTGTCGGTCTTTCCCTGCATGCAGGTTATATGATACTGCCCATCTCATTGACAGCTCTACCTTTTCCACTCCTACTGTGTCCTTCCTGAGGCAGGGGAGCAGGGCTGGTACAGGCAGTGCTGGCTCATTACTAATGCCTGAGTTGAGGTGACTGCCTTGTGCTTTTTTACTGCCTTTCTCCCACTCCTGGCGTTCCACTTTTAAAAGTATTTTTTTTTCACAGTACTATTTTGCACCACATTCACCGTTCTAAGAGGAAGCAGGCAGCCCTGAAGCCATCACCACATAATGACTTAGCATTCCGTGTTGTTGCTATGTATGTCACTTCACTCACGTTACCCTGGACTTCCCTTTACAGGTTATCTGAGTGCCCAAAAGCGTTCTGAAAACATTGGCTAGGCTTGAAGGCATTCAATCAGTGAATGAAGACGGGGTGTGTGTAGGATTAAAGCAACTCGTCTGAAGCTGCAAGGGAAATCGACAGCAGAGCTGGGAATGGAGCGCCGAGTCCAAATCCCTGCCCTGCTGTGGGCAGCAGGCTTTCCCCTCCCAGCATCACCGAGCAGCAGCAGTGGTCCAAGGCCTCCGAGTGCCTCTCCCTACACCCTGCCGCCTGTCTGAAGGGGGCAGCGCTCCGTCTGATGCTACTGGAGACTTTTCAATGGATACACAGTCTCACTATGCCTACCGGTTTAGAAAAGCAAAATGTTACCACTGGCTGTGGGGTGCCAGAAGACTTTCACATTTTGCCCTCAGAGCAAAACATAGAGTACGATGAAATGAATTCTCACTGGATTTCCTTTTCTTCAGAAGGATCAGAACCACATGAAGATTCAGAAACAAGGCAATACCTCCAGGCAGAGGTGACTACGTTAAAGGATCTCAGAAGAAGGACCCTCCTTAGGGGAGGTATCCCTAACCCTGTCCCAGCTCTAGAGACGCAGAGCATCGCTGCTCCCACAGAAGCTGGGAAGAGCGAGGTTTTTTCCCCAGAGATGAAGCCCCACGTCCTCCCACCCTACGTCTGCATTAAGTCAGCGTCATAACTGCAGAGCACATTTGCCACTTGCACTTATTTAAAAGACGAGAGAAAACAACGAGCTGTTTTTGATACGTCTTAATCAGGAGCGGGGCTGTGAGCAGGTAGAAAGGAGGTCCCCCCAGCCCGACACCCCATGCGCTCACCTTGCAGGGGAAGAGCACAGCCGAGGCCACCTTCTCCATGGCCAGGTTCCTGATGCTGGGGGTCAGCGAGCCCCGGCAGGTGGGGCAGAGGCTCAGCTTCTGCCGGCATTGCTTGCAGACCAGGTGCCCGGCCTGGCACTGCAGGATGGGCGGCAGCACATAGTCGAAGCACACGGGGCACTCGAACAGCGAGGTCAGCTCGTGGTGCTGCGGGGACACCGGCCCGCCCGGCCCCGAGAGGACGGCGGCAGCGGCGGGCACCGCGGAGGAACCGGCGCCGGACGCGGCGATGGTGGCGGCGGCGGGAGCGGGCGCGGCGGCGGCCGGGGCGGGGGCGTGCGGCGGCGGCTGCTTGCCGCAGGGTTTGCTAGCGCCGGGCCCGGCGGAGGACGGGCGGCTCATGGCGCCGCGCGGCCGCCACCATCGGGCCGCGGCCCTCGGGACCCGACGCGCCCGCCCGGAACGCGCCGCTGACGCAAGAGGCGGCCGCGCGCAGCCTCCGCCCCGGCCCCGCCGCAGCGAGCATGCTCCGGGCGGCGGGCGGGGCGGCTCCGCGGGCGGGGAGCGGTGCGGGGCGGCGGGGGCTGCGGAGCGCCGCGCCCACGGCCGCGGTGCCGGGACGGAGCGGGCGCGCCCCGGGTGCGGTCGGCGGCGGCCCGTGCCGGGGCTCCGCGCCGCGCCCCCGCCCGTTACCCCGCGCCGCCGGGCGGGAACGCGGCGCGGGGGCACCGTCCGGGGGGCTGCGGTAGCCGAACGCGCCGGGAGGAGCGGGCCGCCGGTGGCGCTGGCGCCCCGCGGGGCCGAGGAAGCCCACGGGCGCCGTTATCCGCCTGGCCGTGGGCCCGAACCCGGCCCGCCCGCGCCGGCCCTCGTGCGGAGCGCTGAGCCGCCGTGCCGAGCGCGAGCAGCGGCGGAGCGGCGCGGTTCCCCGCGCAGACGTACGCGTGCGTGAGAGCGGTGCGGGGAGCCCGAACCGGGACGGAGCGATGAGCGATGGGTCTGTGCGAGAACGCGAGGGAGAAACGCCCGGCGCTGCGGCGCCGCTTTGGTGTGGAGGTCGGGTAAAAGAAGTGGGGCCGTTTTCATCCCCCGCGTAAAAAAACCGTTGACAATACCGCTTTAATTCTGTTTTGGCAACGGTGAAGTGAGGACAGCCCGAGGATGGAAATGTCCCCGCGTCCCTTTCATTTGACAGCAGGGCTGAAGAAGGCAGAGCCGGGGCCGTGGCTGCGTGCTGCCGCGCCGGCTGCTGTGCTTGCACGCTGTTCTTGCGCGGGTTGGACGCGGTTCCGGGCGCACAAAGCGCTGTGCGGTGCCGCTGAGCAGCTCAGGGACGGGGCGGCCATGAGCAGGGCTGTAGTTCGAGGTTATTTCCCGTCAGCGAACTGGGCAGATGACATACAGCATTTTCCTAAGAGTTCTGCTTGTGACTTGACTCTTCTTGTCCTTAAATGAGCAATGCTTTCCTCCGAGGTGTGGCAGCACTTCCCAGAATGGTGCTGTTATCGCTCCTCCGACGCGCGCCGTGTGTGACTCACTGGTGGCTGTGGGCCCTGTGAGAAGTTCCATTAAGGCACTGCCCGTGCTCTTGTTAAAAGAAGGTGCAATGTTCACGGAATTCCCCTTTTTTTCTTGCTTGTGAAACACCACTGAGTCTTGCAAGATGACGCAGCCCAAGGTACCAGAGAACAGTCCTTTGTCTGCGGTCCTGTTTTTATTTTTCCTTTGGTATTTTGATAAACCACTCAGCAATGCGCAGTGCATTCAGACACAGTGAAGGTTGTGTCTGTGATGAGGCCAAAATGTGCGGTGTGGGGTGAGCTGCGCCAGGGGCGGCTCCAGCCGTGCTCCATCCTCTAGAGTTACATGGCTGACAAGGGCTGCAGAGCCATTCAGACTTCAGAAGCTTTCCGTGTGTCGTTCTCTCTCAGGAGTCTTTGCCGTAGGTATGGAAGTGCCTCTTTGGAGCTTCGAGAATGAAGGAGCCCCAAGGTTCTCTCTTCATCCCAGAGTACCGAGGCCTTTTCTGACCCCCACCCCAAACAAACGGAGCGTAACAGCGGAGTGGGACAGACAGAAATCAGCAGTTTCTGAACGTGGTGATGTGTGCTTGTCCTGTCCGGCCTGGGAGGAACCCGTGCGAGGCTGTGGGGTCCCCAGCACGGCTGTGTGTGTGTGTGTGTCCTTTTGCTTCAAAGCAGAAGATCTCATGCGCACACACTGGTGTTTCAGCCATGATGTTCTGATCACTGTTCATTAAGCTTCCCCCAGTCCCTGACTTTCTGAAAGTTTCTCGTTTTTATCCACGGAAAAATCATCCTGCTTGTTTCGTGATTGCTGTGCATTCTGCAGTATGGGAAAGAGCAAACACTGCGGCCTTTTCACAAACGGACTGGAACGGGGTGGATGTTTGCACACTCAGAAAAGGGTGTTTCTTCTTTTCCTGCACTTTCCACAGAATAATTTTAAAATACTTTGTTATATATACATATATATATATATATATATATATATATATATATGTGCTAGAATGTGGCTATTCCACTCTTTTTAGCACTCCGGAGCCTGCAGTGAAATGTACAGCAGTAACACACACAAAGCTGTCGGGTGCGTGCCTGGGTTACGTGCACCCTGCCCAGCACTTGTGCTTCCAGCAAAGAGGTGCTCTGCAGAGCTGGAGTGTGGAGCAAAGAGCCTCGGAGGGGCTGGGACTGCTGTGGGGGCATTGCTGCACACATGGTGCAGTTCTCATTTTGTGTACAGACATTGGCTTTTTAATTTTGGTTCAAAAAATCTGCCCTCCATATACAGTCAGGCTCAGAGCATACTAAAAAAGGGAGAAAAACATACAGCTGTTGTCTGATACATTTGGTTTTGTACTCTGAGGATCAGGGAGAGTGATCCTTGCAGTTTGTAAAGCCATTTTGAGACTACAAGGGGCAGCAATAAATATCTGATAACAGTCTGCTGTATTCTGATCTCCGAGTCCCACAAACATAGCACCTTTTCAGGTGCTATGTATGGGCACGGCCCCGAGGGTGGGCAGGACCCTGAAGCTGGGCAGTGCTCCCACCACTCTCCAAAGCTCCTGGGGGTGGGGAGAGGAGGGTGGGCTATAAGGGGAGCGGCAGCAGTGCTGGCATACTTTTGCTGCCTGCAGGAGGTATGGGCAAAGCTCTCCGGAGGCCCTGCAGGGCGCTCGGAAGCCATTTCTGTCAGGGAATCACTTTTCTTGGTGCCCCTCTTCCTCCCAGGTGTGGTGCTGCAGCTTGCCGTGAGGCTCCGATACTCGCTGTCTCTGGGGCTGACTCAGATGAGGTGCAATGCTGTGCTATGAGTTTCACCCACATGTCTGGGTTTGTTTCCCACGTGCCTCACTGAGGCTCAGGGCAGTTTCTCAGGCAGCCCCCACCCCACCTATCCCTGTGTGTCTGAAGCACCCCCGTGTGTGGGCTGTGCCGGGTCTGTGCATCTTCTGCAAAGAGATTTCTGGGCTAGAAAGGAAAATCTGCAGCCGAGCTTTGTTGTGAATGCAAGGCTCTGCAAGGAGCTGCTGAGCTCTCCCCTCTCTCTTCTGTGTTTTGTTTGTTTGCTTTTTCCATCTAAGTTTAACCAACAGCCAGACTGCTGTTATTGCTTCTTATTTTTAAAGCATCTGTAAGTGTGCTGTTAGCTTGCAGAAAAGGCTTCCTTCTCACTGAGGGGAACTTGAATCTTAAATTTAGCCTTGCACTGCACAGAGGTTATAACAGACAGAGGGGCAGAGGGAGGAAGGGTGAAGCCCCAGGGGAGGCAGTGGGGCTGCTTCCGCAGTTTGGTGCAGCACATTTCTGTTCCTGATTCTTTCTTTAGAAACCATGCGTGCATTCATTGCAGCTGTGTGTGCAGGACGTGGCACTGGGGCCCAGTGCTGGCAGCTGTGCTCTGACCACTGCTGGTGTGCCAGCGGGCAGCTGCTGCACTGACCAGGAACACAGCTCTGAACTCTGTGCTTTAGCACCTTTGAACCTTCATGGGAACCCATTTAGTTGGCACTACCACACAGCATGCCTGGCCGTGCAGTGCGCCCCTCGGTGCTGGTTAGTCGAGTCTGATTGGCATTTATTTCATGGCTCTGTTTGTGCTTCATTAATCCACTATGTGAGCACATGCCAGTATTCCTCAGGTAGAATAAGTATGCTCTGTTTAGCATGAACACTGACTTCCTTACCTTGTCAAGGTGTTCTTAAGTATGAATAAGCTGACCTGCCTTAAACACCACCCTGGGCTGCCTGGGCTGTGGTATGGTTCCTCCCCACGCATGGCAGCACTGCACACCAGACGTGACTCACCGGAGCCCTGCCTGCCCTGCCCCAGCTCTGCCTGTCCTGGTACAGCCAGCATTGCACAGCCCTGGCAGGAACAGCCTGCTGGTGGGCACCGGGCTGTGACCTGCTGGTGGGCACTGGCTGCTGGTGGGCGCCAGGCTGCAGCTTGCCCTGCCTTATGCCTCTGCATGATGCCCTGGGGTCCCGGCCCCGCAGCTCTGTGACGGGCAGGCTGCACTCTGGTGGTGGTGGCCCTGGGGACTGCGGGCACCAGGGGCTGCAGTGCCCTCTGCTCTGCTGCAGAAATGTGGCACACTTGGGGCGGTGGCAGAGCTTCGACCTGAGCAGAAACTGCAGGAGGGGAGCAGGGAGCAGTGCAGAGCCCCGCCTGCTCATGGCCCAATCCGGCACCATGGCAGGCTGGTTCTGACCACACTCTTTTTTTACCTTGTTTTCATCCAGGGGTCTGAATCTGTGGGTTGCTCGCAGGAAAGTTTATTCTCAAGACAGCTGTCATTACAGCACACGTTTTTGGTATGACTAACAGCTTTTTCAGGTGAGATCTAAAAAAGGAAGCAGAGAACAGTTTGTAACGTGGTGGTGTGCACAGCCTGCATGGTGGGAGCAGCACGGGGCTGCCCGTGGGATGCTGCGGGTCGGGGCTGTGCCTGCTGTGGGCAGCAGGCCAAATGATTGTGATGCCCACAGTCATTTGTCAGTGCTTAATATTATTTAACCTTACACTGTGGTCAGCACTTCCACGACACACTTTTATTTCTTGAACATCTCTGCCTGGGGGGAAATGACCACGTTGCCATGCTGTTTCCTTTTCCCTGCCAGCTCCGGCTGAGGGCTGTGGCGGTGCCAGCGATGGCCCTGCTCCTGGTGCTGGTGGTGGCGGTGGGGTGGGGGGCAGCTCAGAAGAAGGGCTGTGTGCCATTCCATCTGACCTCCGCCTCCGGCCACTTGGTCCTGATGGCCATCTCCAGCGATGGAACCCTCCTCCCTGGGCTGCTCGTGGCCTCACTGCGGCCCTCTTCCCAGTGGTGTGAGTGGGTATCTAGAAGTGAAACATGGTTCTGAAGGTGTGTGGGGCTCTGGGGAAGTGTGGGTGCCTGGGAGCTCTTTGCTCCTGGATGGAAAAATACAAATGTGTGCTGTATTATGCATCAGCGTGTGGGTGCTCTGCAGCATGGGTTGTGTGTGGGGCTGAACATGCAGAGCTGTGCACACATGCAGTCCTGCACACATCTGTGCATGACACCCACAGCGCAGCACCCATGGGGGGGTGAGCTGGGACACACACCTATGGTCAGGTGGGCTGTTCTCATCTGCCTGCACTGCCCATTGTAGAAATAGAGGTGAAAGATGTGCTCCATCTTCCAGTCGGACAGGAGCAGCCGGTTGGTGCTGAAGAGGACACTGTGAGTCCCGTTGATGCCGCACAGCCAGATAGGGAACTTGGGAGTTTTCAGCATGCTGCCAACCTAGGGGCAGAACGCTCGGTGAGCATTCAGCACTGCCAGTGCTTACCAGGAGCGTCGGCTCTGCTGTGCCAGGTGTGCGTCGTGGCCATTTGCCCTTATTGTATCTGTGTGGTGGTCACGCGTGGCAGACAGTGAGCCACAGCAGCCCTGGCCGGGGGTCCTGGGCCAGCAGCCCCGAGGGTGCCGTGGCCCTGGGGGGCTCCGTGCCCGGCCCCGGGTGCCTCTGCCAGGATGGGGTCAGGGCAGGCGGGTGGATGGAGGAGGGAGCTCCGCCTCACCGCCCGCCTGGAGGCAAAGCTGCACGGCGTGGGCCGGCGGAAAGCCTCGCCTAAAGGGATGCGAGGGCTGCGTTGGTGCTGGGAGCCGAGGCACAGCTCCGGATGCAAGGGGAGGCGCGCCACGAGGCGGGAAGTCGCCACTGCGTCACCTGCCGTGGGACGCGGGGCCGGGAATGGGACGCGGGGCCGGGTCGGCGGGGCTCACCGGGGCCAGGCGGCGCTCGGCGTCCTCACCGCCCCAGCGCAGGAAGCCCACCTCGCTGCGCCGCCCGGGCTGCGTGCGGCCCGCCAGGACGAGCAGGAGCGCTGCCTGCGGAAGGAGCCGCTGTCAGCGCGGGGCTGCGCTGCTTCCCACCGCCCCCGCGGCCCTCGTGCAAAGCCCACCCTCTTTATCTGACGAACAAGCGCGGGTGCTTTCCTAAATCAAACGGAGGTAGTAGCAATAATAGGTATGTTGGCAAATCGGGCTGATCCTACCTGCGTGCAGGTGACATTTCCAGAGCTGCGTTCCAGCAGCTGCGGCGTTGTGCCACCCAGCTCCTCCCGGACCCTGCGCAGCCAAACAGAGCACTGCTGTCCCACATCGGTGGTGAAGGGAGCTGTGTGCATCGCGTGTGAGCAATAAGGAAAGCAGGCAGACATCACAGAGTTGTTTCGTTTTCTTTTTTTTCACTGGCATGGCAGCAGTATCCCAGAGCAGTGGTCTCGTGCTCCACCTGAGCTCTTGTATTTCTGGCCTAGTTCTATTAAAGTTCAAATTTAGGGTCGGATTCAGACCTTTTGCAGTACAAATGTTGTTAAAGTCTTCAATTACACCCAAGTTTGGCCTGAATACAAGTATTTGCAGAAGCAGTGCAATTTTTGCTGAGCAGTAGGTGTGACACGGGCACAGCTCAGCTGCTGACCTGCAGTGTCTTTGCACAAATCCTTTTACATCAGTTTCGGAAAGATTCTATCAGTTTCCTCACTGACACAGTCATGCATTTGTGATTTTTGTAAGTTCATCGGCGTGGCTGTGATTCTGGCTATCTGTGAGATAGCTCGTGTTCTGTCACTCTGTGATGCTCCTCCTGTGTGTGCAGCTGCCCATGGAGCTGCACACAGAGCTGCACACCCGCCTCTCTCTGCTGCTCCCTCCCTGCTGCTCCCAGTGGTATCAGCACAAGCGCACACAGTAATGCTGTATGACAGCAGCACCTTTCTCCTCAACACACAGCCAGCTGCTCCTCATTAGCCCAAGACGGAGCATTTAAGTAACAGAAGGAAAGGACCATTTCATCAGATGTAACCAGAGGAAAATGGCAAAAGTAATTTTAGAAAGAAATATACCTTTTCAATGTCCTAGAGAAAAGTAAACTGTATAAAAACAGGATCAGTCCGTGACTTCCTTCATCTCTGAACTGGAAAAAAGAAAGAAGTAATCAGAGAAGAAATTACGGTAGCTGTGTGATGCTTAATTAAAGCAATTCCTCTGCTTAACTGCAATGCTGGGTAAATACACTGAGCTGAGTGAACGGGGTGTTACTCTGGGAAGGCTTTGCTACAGTTTTCCTGATTAAAATCAGATGAAATAAAAGAAACTTCCAGTTCTTGACCGACCTATTTTTGTATGTTTTTCCAGGTTTGGGCTAAAGGTACAAGAAACCTGTTTAAACCAAGTACAAAGAGTTGCCTGTTTGCCAAGCAAAAAAATAACTCAGAATGGAGATGATACTCCATACATACACAGCCAATATGGTCAAAGATGAACTCCTGAGTTGCTGCTTTCTCAGGGAACTCGAACAGGTGGATCTGTAGGACAGGAGTGTGAGGTGAGGAACCACAAAGGAGACGGTACATCCAGAAATGGAAATTTCAGTTCGGTGTTTCCTTTGGACAAACAAAAGGCAAACACAGGAACCCACGCTGACCCTTCCTGAGCAGCAGAGTTCAGTTTTATGCCAACACAAAATGGATAGAAGTTAAGGAAAGGCTTTAAGTCAACTTGTTCCTTCTTCTAACAAAAGAATGAAGACCAGAGTTTAACAAATCAGCTCTACAAGGAAGTCATGCCTTCACAAGGAAGCAGGAACACCTGCCAAGCTCCGCCTGGACATGGCTCCAATGTTCTTAGGTTATGCACTGTAAGTTAGGAGGTTACGAGTTCCTAATGAGCTGTTTCGGTCTGTAGACAGTTCAGACCAAATGTCTTTTAAGAGCCGTATTTACAGGAAGCATTTCCATACCCACCCGCTCAGTGAAGCTGTCGGCTTTGTAGCCTGCAGGAGGGGAGCAGTGGGCGGCTGCAGTGAGGATGCAGACAGTGGCTCTCTGGCCGTCCCCCGCTGCCCACAGGCTGTCCGCCAGCGCTGCGGCCAAGGCCTCTCCTTGCTCCTTCTGGCTGATTTTGCGCAGTCTGCAGTGCGGGGCAGAGCAGAGCAGAGCACACCAGACAGGTGTGGGCAGGGGCAGCAGGGGTCTGTGTCCCTGTGTCCCTGTGCCCATGTCCCCATCACCCCCCCAGCCCCATACAGCCACCAGCTGTGGGTACATCCTTGAGGATGCTGAGAGTCCCCAGGTGGGGGCTGGCACTGGGCTGCAACCGTGGCACCAGAGATTGCACTGAGGCAGCAAGCCTCACTCCTGCATCAACAAAGAAGGTAAAACCTTGCCTGGGAGCCAGGCATGTCATTGCTGCAGGTGCAGATCTCCATCTGCAGCTGCAAATCTGGTTATGTTCTATCTGGTACAACTTAGAGGCTGGTGCTGGTTTTGTTAGTTCAAACAATGCAAGGATATAGTTTTGCTTACCTCTCCAGGTGAGTGTGTTCTGTGTTCCTCATGAAGAGCAGGTATTTAATGATGTTTGCCTGTACAGCCATCACAATGGCTCTCGTTCCTCCCTGGAAACACAAAGAAAGCAGCTGGCAGTGCCATGAGCTCACCTGGCACGTGGTGCAGCCCTACAAAGCGCAGCTCCAAGCCATGCTGTTGGCTGCGCCCCAGGGAGATGTTCTGCTTTCCACCAGTAATTCAGGAGGGACAATGACTTCTCCTGAGGTAAATGGGAAAGTAAATTGAAAAAGAGCTGATGTGCCTAAAAATAAGAAATCTCTGTGTGGCCCCAATGCTGTGCTGTGTGGGCTGGGTCTCAGAGGGGCGGCCATAAATACCCAGAGTGGTGGCTGCAACCATTTGGGTTCCAGGTGCGGCAGCAAGAGGCAGGAGCTGCACAAAGAGAGGTGGGCAGTGCAGGTCTGTGCCACTTGGCAGCCGGCTGAGCAAGCGTGCAATGCCACGGTGTTTCCAGCTCACATCTGCACTGCTGCTGTGACAGAGCAGCCATTCCGCCCAGAGCTGCTCCAACATCTGCACCGAAGCCCATCCATCCTGCTGAGCGCTGCAGGAGCACGGCTGTGGGTCACATGGCAGCATTACCTTCTCAGCCTCCAGAGCGTAGGCCAGGTCAGAGTGTGGCTCACGGAACCTGAAGTGTGCCCGGGTCCAGTCCTGGCTGAAGGTGCACGATGCGTTCCCGAGCAGCAGCGTCCGCAGTGCCTGCAGATAAACAGCAGCTACAGCCCCTGATGGGCGCCTGCACCTCACTGTGCTGCAGAGTGCATGTCATGGTCCTGCCTGCACGCTGCCTGCGTTGCATCCTGTGGGCTGTGCTCGGCCATAGGCTGGGGCTGGGGGAGCTGTGGGGATGGGGAGCTGTGGGGCTGTGCTTGGCTATGGGCTGGGGGAGTTGTGGCTCTGACCATGAGCGAGGGCTGTGTTTGCCTCTCTACGGGCTGGGACTTCCCTGGCTGTAGTCTGCACCACCTCTCCTGACAGGTTTCACCTCCAGTTTCACACCCTGAGCTTTTTATTATATTTATACCACAGTGGTGGGGTTGTGTCAGAGGTCACAGACATAAGGCTGGTGCTGGGACCCATTGCCCATAGAACATTGGTCAGGTTCTGGGGCCCAGGCACCAAGCACTGACAGTCTCAGAACCGTTTGGTATTTGGGAGCAGAGAAGTGCTGCTCTCCTGCTGCTGGGCCTCCTGCCTCTCACAGCTGGTACCTAGGAAAGCCCTGGGAGGGCAGCAACCAGAATTATGAGAATATGTTACAGCCACGCTCTTTGGGAGCCTCATGCACAAGTAATGATGGTAACTCTGTAAGCAACAGCAGCAGCCTGCAGCCCTCACGCACTGCCAGCTCCGGGTCAGGTTCCATGCTGCCCGTGCTGCTCACCATTGCCATATCCATGGGGATGGGCTGCCCTGCATGCTGTGGCTCTGCAGGTGTCACATGCGGCTCCAGGGCTCCGCTGGTGCTCAGTGCTCCATGCCCACAGCCCGCAGGTCCCTGCAGAGATACAGAGCCGGTGCTGGGGGTTCTCTGCTCCAGGCTCCCTCCTCCCAGCTCCTGCTCACTCCCTGCCCTCCCTGTGCTGTGCTCAGCCCTCACTGCCCTTCACCAGCCGCTGCCACCTGTGGGCATGAAGCTGAGCAGCTGAACTCTCCTGCAGGGTGTTTTGGAGTGCTAACAAACCAACAGCGACTGCAGATATTCCTGCTTCTAACAGGGCAAATTTGATCAGGTTTTGTTTACAAATGGTTGCTCTAAGAAGTGTGAGGCGTTCACTTCCAAATATCTGTTACAGTCCTGAGACATTGCACTGCGTATGAACCACGAGGGCGTGCAGCTCAGGCACATCTGTGTCGGGTAAATACATGTTTGTGCATCTCACTTCCAACTGGTTCCCACTGTTAAAAACAACTCCCCAGAAGTGAGTGATTACAGTGTGGAAGAATGTTTGGACTTCAGGATGTGAATGTCTGCGCTTGTCAGCCTGAGCACAGGGCAGGATCCGAACACATTGAGTGGTTCTTCATTTCATAGCTTTTTTCCCCCATTGTCTTAAATTGGCCACAAAAACTGTTAAGCAGGGTGAGAAAGGTTGATTTATGTTCTGCCCTGCTGCTTTGGTTCAGATTGGGAAAACGGCCCTTTAGAAAACATGAAGCACACACACAGGTCCAGAGGAGTGTGAGCATGTCTGTGTGGGCAATGCCTGGGGATGAGAGCACAGCACAACCCGAGAGAGAAACACCCACCTGGGGGCTGGTCTCACTGCCTTCCCGGCTGCAAAGGGAAAGGAAAAGCACATTAAAAGAAAATAGAGGTGTTGCTCACGCATTTGGAAATGGGAGGCAGCCAGAAGAGAACTGCAGGAGAGAAAGCGAGTAAAAGCTGCTGCTTTTAATAATAATATACAACGTAATATTAGTAATAATATCAACACATCATAATCATATTAAAATTAACATCTTAGAACTCTGGAATTTGGAATGTGATAATAATGAAGCGGACTAAAAAACTTACCCACAGAAACTGAAAATTTTTCTCCATTTGTCTAGATTTGAAATTCTGCTGGAGATCTCATCCAGAGCAGCTTGGGGCACCGTGTGCTCAGTGTGTGCAGCGTGCATCATCTGCTCAGGTGTGAGCAGTGTGCACTGCACGCTCGGTGTGCTCAGCCCCTCGCTCCCCCATTGCCACCCTCCGTGTGTGCAGCAGAGGGGAGCAGAGCCAGTTGCCCACTGCACAGCCCTCGTCCTCTCATCTGCCTGCTGCTGTCACATCGTGATTAAACTTTAATTAGCGTCGGACACGCTCTGTGCTCCCTGCTCAGAACCCGACCCCTGGAGGAGGCTGACTCCCACCCCAGCCAGTCTGTGTGTACTTATAATGCTCTTTAGATGTACAGACACACCTGTGTACTATTTTTTATTGTGCTAATAAAAGATCTGAATTTTCAGGAAAACATTCAAAATATATTTAGATATTTCCCCCCACTGTTTGTTTTTTTTAAGCATGAAAACTACCATTCTAGAAACGACACAGGGAAAACCTGTAGCTGATGCTCGTGGATTCACAGCAATGCTGCTGTTTGCTGGCGTTCATCCAGGAGCACCACACGTGCTGCCACTGCTGCAGTGGGTGCTCAGACACACACAGTGCCCCAGGTTTGCTGATCAGCTGCTCTGTTTGCCTTGGGAACTGGGCAAGGATGGCAGTAACAGCTGGTCTCATGGTTGTGGGTAGGGTGGGATGGGTCAGGATGGGGATAAGACGGGGTGGGATGGGAGTGCTCTTTGTGAAGGGCTCCCCAGCAGCTGGGCTCTTCTCCACCACACAACAAACGTGACAGGAGTGCGTTGCCCTTCAGCACTGAGGCAGGTCTGTGCAGTTCTTTATTTTACAAATGTTGCTCCTTCAGAGCAGGCAGGGGCACCTGAGGTGGACACAGAACTGAGAGCAGCCCAATCCCCCCACCAATGGGCAGCAGTACTGCAGAGGAGGACAATCCGTGGAACACCAGGGAGGGTGGAACATTACTCCTCATTACTTGTGGTTTAGTAAATAATACAGTGAAACATGGTAGAAATTATGTGTCAAGAAGACACATTGTCATTAATTAATAAAGGCACACGTATTACTTAGGAAGAGAATTATAAATGAATTGTAGGTGGTCATGGCACCTTGCAGACACCGTTGCACATGGTTAGGAACAAGGCATGTATCGCACAGCCCAGGATGAAGCTGCTCTGTAAGAGGCTCAGAGGAGCGGGGCCGTGGGTGCCAAACGTCACACAGACAGAGCCAGCAGCCAGCACTGAATGCTTTGCCATTCATTGTAGAAGTATAAAAATGGGTATCTGTATCAGCAAGGTCAGCCTGCACACCACTGCAGCTTGGGGCTCCCTGAACCAGGCCCTGCATGCTGGGGCTGCTGCATGGTGCTGCGAGGGGATTGCTCATGGCACACAGCTGTGCAGGAGCTGACCTCTGCAGACAAATGGGAGCTGGGCAGGTCGCCCAGGATCCTCCTTGGCTGAGCGCTCTGTGTGGTGTCCCTGTGCAGCAGTGTTGGTAGGATGAAGCCCTTCCATGCACCTGTGGTTGGGGGGTGAGCACAGTGCACCTGGTGAGAGGCTGGAGCACCTTGCCTGACTGGGAGGTAAGGGCACAGAGGCAAATATATCCATTTGCTCTGAGTTTCATCACCCCTTGTGTTGGAGACTCTCAGGCTTTCCCTTGTCAGTGCCTGGTCTGCTGCAGCATGCATGTGCTGGCTATGGCATTTCAGCCCGTTTTGTCCATGTTTATTTGCGCTTCTTGCTGACAACTTGCTGCCTGCTGGCTAGGCAGAGATCCTCATAGCTCTGGTGGGTGCTGCTGGCTTTGAGCTCACGTTGCTCTGCCTCTGGGTTCACCCCTCACCTTGGGGTGCAGCAGTGTGAGTGCGTGTTATATTTCTGCATAAAACACCTTATCCTGAGGCACAAAGCTCTTGCTGTATGGATTGCTCTACAAAATGGAGCTCTGGGGAGTTAAAGATTGGGTTTTTAAAGCTCAGAACTCTTTATGGATAGAAATGATGCCTCTGTGTGAGGTGTCAGCAGGGCAATCAGGGGCTGGGCCATCCCCTGCCCTCATGTTGTCTTCCCTTGCAAGTCTGTGGCAGGGTTGGTGCCAAAAGCAGAGCGGGCATTCTTCTCCCTGCCCCATTCCCTGCTGCCCAGTGCTGTAGGGGTTGTGCTGTGGCTCCCTGAGAGCTGCAGGTGGGCTGCAGATGTGCTGGTGATGGGAGGTGGCTGTATGGCAATCCCCTTGCTGTGCCTCTGCTCCAGCTCTGTGCTGTTGAGTTCTCAGTTCTGTTCGCAGCAGCTGCTTTTCAAATCAGCTCTGGAGGAAAGAGAAGCAGATGTCTCAGTAAGGCTTTAATCCAAGAGAGAAAGGGTATTCTGATCTGGGTTTATCAACTAGCACGTTATCTTTTATTTACTGCGTGTGTCACACCAACAGTTATCTGGAACCTTCTCTTGTTTTTAACTTCTTTAAAAGCTGGTGCAGGTGGTGGCTGCTGAAGGTAGCAGTGATGAACACCTCAGTCCTCATGCTGTGTCACTCTAATACATCAGGTCTGCGGCACCAGTGGCTGCCTCTGAGTCCTTGGGTTTAGAGAAAGGGAACTCGAACCCGGCCAGGCGTATCAGCAGCATGTTGAGGAATTGCACCAGGGAGCAGGCCAGGATGATCCAGAAGGAGTCTGCAAACTGTTCACTGTGGGTCTTAAATGTGAAACTTTTCTCCTTAAAGTTAGCAATTTTCTCTGAGAGGTGGTGGATCTTCACCTCGGAGGAGAAGAGGATCATGATGAGGCAGCCGCAGGAACCTGGAAGGAGCGCAAGATGCCCATCAGTGCGGTTCCTGCAGGAACAGCGCGGTGTCCCGGGGCCTTTGGGCTGCCGGAACTGCCCCACTGCTGGGGGTTGGCTCCCACCCACCCTGCTGCCAACACACCATGGGCAGCATCCGTCCCCTGTGCTCTGCTCTGCTGTGCACATAGTCGTGCAGCAAAACCAGCCCCTCCTGCCTGCCCCTCATGCTGTTTGGTCCCCGTGCCCTGGCTGCACGCTGCAGTGGATGTGCAGCCTGCAGAGGGTACTCACAGGCGATGAAGCTCCACAGGTACAGCCCCATGGGGCCATGCAGTGTTTCGTAGGGGCTGCCGAAGGCATTGTACAGGAAAAAGCCCATTCCCACCAGTGTGAAGATGATCAGCACTGTGCAGAAGAGAATGACGCTGACGTGGATGCTCGCAGGGATAATCTTGAGCAAGTCTGGAAAAACTAAAAGTGAAGTTAGAAAATATTATGAACATTAAGCAAAGTTAATTTGGAAGTCATGCCCAGGCTTTCCTGCTAATCTGTGCTTATTGCTTCAAACTATGCTTTCCCAAGTGCATCTGTCCTCCACCCCCAGTACTGATCTTCCTGGAGGGGCGCACAGGAAGCCCCAAAGTTCTCTTTGTGCTCCCAAAGTCATCCTGAAGGTGAGCCATAGAATCATAGAATGGCCTGGGTTGCAAAGGACCACAGTGACCATCTAGTTTCAACTCCCTGCTTTGTGCAGTCTCCATCAGGAGCTGCTGCCAAGGGGAGATGTGGACACCCTGAAGATGGGGTTCCTGTCCTGTGTGACTAAAAAGCTCAAGGAATGCATCATATCTGAAGCAGAAGGCCCAAAAAGCAAGGTAATGAACTGAAAGGAGATGGAGAACAACAACTTGATTTATTGATGCGGGATTTTGTTCTTTAAGGAGAAGTTACTGCACTGTGCTGGATCTTTCCCTTGGTACCTGCATTTATCGTTTTTGTCACTACAATTTTGTGACATAGGGAAAAATTAATTTCAGCAGCAATGCAATCTTGCAAGAAAAGCATGCCCAGTAATGAATGAAATACTGTGTTAGTGTGCAAGCCTGCGACCTTTAGAAAATGAACTGCTGACCTAGAAACTGATGAGAAGCAGCAGGAGTAAATGAGGCAGAAGGCCTTCCCTGGCTGAGCAGAGCTTGCTGGCAGAGCAAATTCATTTCACAATTAAAAGAGATGTAGTGGTCAGGGGGGAGCGTTTAGTGGAATAAACACTGAACTAAATCACTTGGCCTATTTTATACGCCATTTCTCTTAGACACACTGATGAGCATCACCATGCATGGCACTGCTGCGTCTGGGATGCACATGGAGCTCTGAGCCCTACTGGAGTAGCAGTGTTGTATTTGCTCTTTAATCTAAACAAAAGATGATCAGAGAACAAATGGGAATGAAAATGCCAACATTTTCATGGCCAGTTGGTGAGAGCTCACAGCCTGCCCTGCTGGGCTCCTGCAGCTCAGCCTGCAGACGAAGCACACTGCAGGCACCAGCCATGTGAGAATGCGCCGTCGCTGTGCAGCACCAACTTCAGCGTGCTCCTCTTGTGTATTCTGCTTGGTGCAAACTTTGGTTAGATGACATTTCTGAGCAGAGATGAAAAGTGTACGGCTACAGTGAGGGTGAACTTCACTGGAATACTTCTTGAAGCTGTTTTAGCAGATTGCTCCCAAAATGTGTTCTGTAATAACTGTGGGTGGCATGCAGGTATGTTGTAGGAGGCGACTGTGTTGCTACAGGCAAACTGTCTTCCCTGCATCATTCCATGGATCTTATCCTTAGGGATGAGAGGTTATGAGTATCACATGTAAAGTAAAACCATTTCTAACAGCCTTTGGTAAAATTTGGTATGTTGGGTACCAAGCTCAATTTGCACATCAGTTGACTGAATGTCAGCCAGTAACAGGTGAGCAGTTTTCAATCCGTACTGCAGACTGCAAACTTCTGGCTGCTTTGTTTCAGCAGCAATGTGCACCTATGCCTCAGCTCCTTTGTGGAATTCCTGCTAGCTTAGTTTGTCTTTCATAAAGAAAAATGGCTGTGGCATTAGCACACACAGGAGGATGACAAAGATTAATTGGAAAACAAAAATATTTCAAGTAATAGCATATATATTTTTCAAATGTGAATGACTGTAATCGAAACATAGATTGCAGAAAATGTTAGCAAGCTTTGCTAGTGTCAGGGAAAAAAAGTAATTTAAAGCTGAAAGCTAAAAGATGAAGAGCAGCATTTGGCTTTAGAGCACTTTTCTCCTGTTGCACCCTGTGAGGTGCAGGGTCGGTACCTCCCAGCCCCCGAGCAGCATTCAATCATTTCGGTGCCTCTGTTACTCACACGAGAACTGGAAGGGCCTCTCCCCGAGCCCGCACTGCCTCACTCGCTCGCCGTGGAAGAGCCCGTACCGGATCTCCCCGATGAACTTCTCCAGCTCCGGCCCGCTGGCGTTGACCAGCAGCGCGCCCGTCTTGCACAGGATGGTTCCCTTCACCCACAGCTGGGTGCCGATGGCTGCTGCGGTCCCCAGGGCGCACACGAAGCTGAACGCCCCAGCCAGGCAGAAGAGGATTTTCTTCTGTGGGGCGGGCATGGCGGTGCGGGGGGGCTGCGCTCTCAGCGGGGGGCTGCCGTGGTGCCCATCGCCGGGAGGTGCCGGGAGGGCGCGCTCCTCCCCATCCTCCCGCTGCTCCTCTATCAGCCGCAAATGGAACGGTCTGCAGAGCGATGCGGTCCGTCCTCGGTGTCACTTGATAGTGGAGGAGTAAGGTAACAAGGGAACGTGTAATTCAATGAGCGCTCCGCTTCCCGGCTGTCTGATTGGGCAGGCTGTGACAGGGCCAGGCTTGGCTGCCCGCTGAGTTATTGGCTGTGCAGAAAGGAAGCTTTCAGAGGGCTCTGAGTGCTGGGAATCCCTCAGAGCCAGCAGTGCCGAGCTGCTCTGCTCGTTGTGGCAGCTGCCCCAGTGCAGGGAGGGCAGCGCCGGGTGACCCTACCTGCACCCAGCGGCACCTGCGTGCGTGCTCACCTGTCCTGTCCCTGCTGCCCCTCCAGGAGCTGGTCAGCCCCAGGTTTGGAGCCAACACAGGGCTTTGGGTTTTTTCCCCCTTTCAGTTCTCTGATGAGATCAATTCAGGAGTGGTTTGTTACCTGGATGCCTGACTGCAGCAGGAGCACTCCGTAGAATTAAAATGGAGCAAGGCGGTGTGCGGGTAAATGGTTATTTAAGCTAAGCTCAAAGCTGCGCCTTTTGCTGTGATCATTGCGAGTAACCGGGAGATGGCACTGTGCTCGGTGCTGAGCAGGGGGCTGGGAACGCTGATGGGGAACACTTGGTCAGAACGCGGTGACTGTTGCCTGAAGAGGGGCCGTAACATTTAGGCACAACTATCAGCCACAAAATAGCAGTGAAAGCAAAGACGTGAGCCTATATGTATATATCTAACAGGTTTGTAGGAAGAATTTAATGGGGGGAAATGTATAATCTCACTGCAGTCGTGTTGCTGATGAATTTGTGTCATGATTCGGCCTTCTGGCGGCGTTTTCAAACGCAGCAGTAATTTATGCCTTTGAAAATTCCATGCTCTTATGAATGGAGGTATTCTGCAGCAGGAGCGTTACAGGGCACAGAACATGCTAGAAAATCCCCAAAGCAATAACTGCAGGGGTCTTTCCCACGGGTCATTACTCTGAGGAGGCCTCCCGTGAGCAAGAAGCCAGTTCTCTGAAAGGGCAGCCGCACCAAACCTGGGTCCACCAGCTGTGCTTCTTGAGGAGGAAGAAACAAAAGCTCCAGACCAGGATGTTTGTAGGCTCAAAAGACAAGAGTTCACAGCATGTAAAGCACAGGGGAATCGATACAGAACAAAGAGTGCTAGTAAGAAGCTGTCGGACATTCTGCTTCACCTAAACCTTTGGAAGATGGAGACGTGTGTTTAAATACATCCAGATGTTCTATTCCTGAGACTTTGTCAAACACCTAATCTTAAAATATGCACGATGTGAACCTTGCCAAAGCTAGGGGTCGCAGCACTGGTATTGCTATTCTGCATGCCAGCATCATTGAGGAGATGTTCTGGATTTATCCACTGGTGGGACTGAGGAGCTGCTGGACTGTGGGATGTGACTTTGGGCCAAGTGTGGTCAGAAAAGCTGTTGGGAAAGTGTTCCAAACCAGAGCTGGAAGTCTGAAGGTATTTACTGCCTAATTAAGCTTCATCTTTTAATTTATCTTGAGTTTGATTAGAGAGTTGCTTAGAGACAAAGAAATGTAGTTTGCCTCTATTTCCTGCTTTTGGCAATAGTAATCTCATAGTTAACTTGTAGAGTACTGTTATTAAGTGCATTCAGAACTGTTTGCAACTCACTGTTTGACCCTGTGTTTCTAAAATACATTGTGTGTGTGTGTGTGTCTGTGTGTGTGTGCATGCTGTGCTGGGGATGCAGCACGAGAAGAGGATCTGGTAAAAGCAGTGGATAGAAAGGGGAAAAATAGTTTCCGTGCTTACTTTTATAATGCTGATGCAGTAAAGCAGCTGTCAGCGCAGCGGATTGGAAGATGGGCCCGGAGCTGGGAGAGGAGGATGCCCCTGTGCTGCAGGACACGCTGCAAGCTGGGATAGAGGCCGCAGTCCCGCTTCAGGGAGGAGGTAAGCGTCTCTGGGTATGGAGGGAGCCCAAGGCTGAAGCTGCGGCTGCTTTTATTCTGGACACGTTGACCAGCACCGGCGGCTCTGCCGGCATCCTTCTCACCGTCCAGCGGGGCTGCGCGAGCCCTGGACGGTGCCGAGCCGCTCCGCCCGCAGGAGCACAGCGCCGGGTCGGGGCAGCGCGTGGCGGGGCTGCAGCCGGGTGCCGCCGCGGTGCCCGGCCGGGGGCGGGGCCCGAACCCCTCACGGGGAGGCGACGGGGCCGCGCGCGCCTTCGGGGTCCGCGGGGCAGCGCGGGGAGCCGCAGGGCCGGGCGCAGCCGGCCCGGGAGCCGGGAGCCGGCCGGGGCCGCGATCGATCGATCGATCGTCCTCGGCGAATTATTCGCTCTCTGAGATTAACGGTGTTGCGAATGGGAACGCGGTTCCGCGCGGTACGCGGGAGCGCTCGGCCGGGGCCGCGGGAGGCCGGGGCGGCGTCACGGCCGGCTCCGCAGGGCGGCGTGCCCGGCCTCGGCGGCGGCGCGCAGCCCAACCCCCGGCGCGGCGGGGGCTGAGGCGGGGGGCGAGCGCCGAGTGCTGCTCCCTGCCGCTCGGAGCCCGCTCCAGCGCCCGCCCGCTGCGCGGCGAACATGAGCGATCATGGCCGCCTTCGGGCTCCTCAGCTATGAGCAGAGACCGCTCAAGCGGCCGCGCCTGGGGCCGCCCGACGTCTATCCGCAGGACCCGCGCCAGAAGGAGGTGAGTCGCGCTGTGCCGTGCCATGCAGTGCCGTGCCGTGCCATGCAGTGCCATGCAGTGCCTGCCGTGCCATGCAGTGCCTGCCGTTCCGTGCCATGCAGTGCCTGCCGTTCCATGCCATGCAGTGCCGTGCCGTGCCATGCAGTGCTATGCAGTGCCGTGCCGTTCCGTGCCATGCAGTGCCTGCCGTGCCGTGCCATGCAGTGCCGTGCTGTGCCGGCTGCACCCGGCCCGGCCCGCCCCGCTCCCGGCCGCCGCCCTCGGCTCCCGGCCCGGCGCCTCCCCCGAAACTTTTGAGCGGCGTCGGGCGCTGCGGAGCCGCCGCTGACTTGCATTTTCTGCGGCGAGCCGGGGGTGGGACGGAGCGGGGCCGGGCCGCGGCTGTGAGCGCGGCGGGAAGGCGGCCGCGGCCCCGAGCGGAGCTTCGCCCGCGCTCCCAAACGCGGCGCGGCGCCCGCGGGGCCCGGCCCGGCGCGAGGGCGGCTGGGTGACGCAGCCCGGCCGCGGGGACCCGGGGGCAGCGGGGGCGGACGGCCGTTCCGCTCCGCAGAGCGCCCGGCTCGGCGCTTCCCGTCCGCCGTTCCTCCGGGTGGGCGGGAGAGGCCTCGGGTCGGGCCGCGTGAGCGCGGCGGCGCGGATCTCGGAGCCTTCGTGGCCGCCGCGCGCGGCCCGCTCCCCGCTCTCCGCCGCGGGCTGCGCTCCGGCCGGGCGGGTTCGTCGCCGCCCTCTTGGCCTGTCTGCCTTTGAGACCTCCGGAAAGCGGGCGGTGGAGGCTGGCGGCTGACGGGCGTCACTCCGGCTGCGTTGGCAGCGGCCTGGGCTAACGCAGTGAAACGTGCGCGTTCCAGCCCTCTGCCAACCCTCGGGGCATCTCTGCCCGTTCTGCCCTCCGGCATCTTTCTCTTTTCATCCTTACGCCGCCGCGCCTGCCGTGCTGAAATAAAGTTGGCGATTAGAGCGGTTAGAAGTACTTTGGCAGGACGTGTCTCTGCTGTGATGCCGGCCAGGCGCACCGGGCCGAGCCGTGCCTGCTGGGACGGAGCCTCGGCGCGGGGCTGCGTGCTGCTTCCAGCGGCGCCGGCTGGGATCCGGGCGGCACCGCTCCTCTGGGTGTGATAATTTCTTCTCCGTGCTTCGTAAGCACGGGTTGCTCGTCAGTCTAACTGGTGGGATACCTTCTGGGGGTCACTGCTCAGAGCAAACCCAGCGTCCCAGGTGGGCTTCGTGGCGGCGGCCGCGGCGCAGGGCGCGGTCCCGGCCCCTCCTCGCGGGGCGGAGGTCTCGGCAGTGGCTGCGGCTCTGCTGGAAGCGGGGCCTGCGTGTGGGAGAGGCGTGGGGCAGAGATGGGGTCAGTGAGTGGATCTAAAGGGAACGGCTGCGTTCGGATCCGCTGCGCTCCTTTCAGAGTCTAATGTGAACTTTTAGGCTTCTCTCTGAAGGAAAGTTTTGGGGTTGGGGGACAACCATCTATTGGAAAAGTTCTTCAGTTTGACTGTCCCACACTGATAATAGAGCTCTGTACGTTGCTGTTGGGTTTTTACCATCTGTCTGCGTGTTTATTTGGCTATTTAAATTTCAGAAGCATTTTAAGCTTTGATTGGTCTTGGTTGGACCCTTCTTGATGTTTGTGAAGAAGCTCGCTGTCCCTGCGGGAGCCAGGGGGCTCTGGCACGCTGTGTGGTGCACACAGCAGAGCGAGTGGCCGCGCCGTGCGGCATTCCTGTGCTCGTCCTTGTGAAGGGACCTGCAGATCCAGCCAAGGGAAGGATCCTTACCTAGCTGTGCTGCTGCTCTGTGTAGGGAGTTTTGCCTTCCACTGGGACAGCTGCGCTGGAAAATAATGACCCTGAGCCATTAATGGGGTGAGTGTGAGACATCAGGAGAGCTCCTGTGAGCATTCAGCTGAACTCCGTGCGCTGTGTTCCCAGGTGGCGTTATCTGTTTATTTGCTGGCTGGTGTTTGCATTTGCAACTGTCCTGTGTTCCATCTTTAAAATTTCTGAGCCCTGCTGAAGCCAGGAGAAGTTGTACTAATAATCAGAGCCAAATGTAAAAAGAAAAAAACCCAAAACGTTGCTGTGTTTGTGCTGTCAGCCCATCCCAGCTTGCTCCCACAGCAACGGTAGTTACAGCGGTAGGACATACGGCTCTCGGTTATTTCCAGTATGGTGATATCTAGACAGCTTTTTTCAGAAAAGGAAGAGTTTAAAGATAGCAGAACTGGGGTCATCTATGGATATGGCTCTAATAGTAACACAGATCTCCATCTGTTTGCCATTTACCTTTTATTTATTTGCTTATAATCTTTTTGATGGTTTTCATCTCTGCATTCATCTGTTTTCAAGGCTGTCTTGGGGATAGTGTGGGTGGAGGAGTGTTCCAGCGCTTCTTGTTGATTTCATTTACAATTTAGATGAGGCTCGCTAACTTCCTAAACCCTAGAGAGCTGAAATTTCTTCTAAATACAGTGCTGTCTTCTATGTTGCTCCCAAACTCTGTGAAAGTACCGAAAAGCAAAGTGTGTTGCAAAGCACAAGAAAGTAAAACGAATGGAAGCTTCTGTTTTTTTTTGGGGGGGATGCATGTTTCCAAAACTAAGTAATAGAAATCCAATACAGTTGCTGTCTTCTTATTTTATTTTGTCCTGTTTTGTTTGCTTGGTGGCATGGCAGATGCTCTTTGTTTCCATAGGTTACCCCATCTCGGGGATTGCTTTTATCCTGACCTTGCGGAGCTGGTGAAGCACCTTTGGGGCAGGTGGTTGGTCGGTGTGTTGATGGGGGGTTCTGCCTTCTCCTCAGAAGGGCCCAGCGTGAGCTCCCCCGTGTGTGCTCAGGCTGTGCTGCCCAGAGGCTCCCCAGCTGCCCCAGCTCCCCGCAGCCCCTGCTCTCTGACCTTGCTGCCTGACAGCGGGGCCTGAGGATGAGCTGCAGACAGCCCAAGTGAGGAGAACAGGCCTTGGTTTCTGCTGCCTTCCCCAGGGCAGCTGTTCTCTTCCAGCCACGCAGCTTGCATCCTTATTGTGTTATGGCCTTGAAGTCTGCAGTTAGGAGAACACTAAATGGGAACAGGAGAACGTGGTGTTTCTCCTCACTAAATTCATGTGAACACTACGTTTCAAGAGTTGTTCAGGTGTGAGGGCCTGGCAATTACTTAAAACTTCCTTCTAAAAACATGCTTCTCAGGATGATGTGACATCCTAAACTGTCATTTCATTTTTCACCCTTGTGACACTTTGCAGGATGAACTTACTGCGGTGAACGTAAAGCAAGGCTTCAGTAATCAGCCCGCCTTCTCTGGAGATGAGCATGGTTCTGCTAGAAACGTTGTCATCAACGCCTCTAAGGTAGGACAGGGCTTTTCAGTCTGAATGTGTTCACTTAACTTGCTCCCTAGCTGACGATGGTAAGACTTGGTTCTTGGTTCTGCTACCTGCTGTTATCAGTCTGCAGAGGAAAGCTGCCACACAAGTTATCAAAAATCGTCTAAAAATGTTTTCTGACAAAGTAATTTTCTGCTATTTGACTCTTAAAATATGTAACATTTCATGGCTTATTGGAAAATGCAAATTTACTTCTACAGTGATGCTCTTTTATTTTAGCAGAGAGTAAATCTGAAATGGGAAGTGATACTAGTAAATTACAAGGTTGTTATTGTTACTGTTGGGATGATAAAGAGTTTCCTGTTACATTCTTCTGGTTTTGTTTGTCTGGAGTTGCCACCTGCAAGTACTTTCTGTCTGCTATTTTAATTAATCTTGTTTTGACTATTGAGCGTAGCTGAGAAGTCAAATAAAAATTCACAAGGAATTGCTTATAGTTGTTTGGAAGAATTATCAAAATAAGTTCAGAATCTGCAAGTATACTTATTAGAAAATCGGATGTCTTATTCTTACTGGCAAGCCTGAAAATTAATGTCTATTGCAGTAACCTTGATATGCAAATGATCTTGCACAGCAATTTAAACCTTTCTTTTTTCTTTTCTTTTTTTTTGCATGCTGCTTTGGGATTGAAACTGCTGGGGAGGGCAATCTTACGGTATTTTTCATTTGGAAGCTATGAAGTGGTAGTGGAGGCGGAGTTGTAGGAGTCAGGACTCAGCAGCTTATCCAAATCGTGGCATTTTTGCCTGCTGTAGCGGGTGATGGAAAGACAATGAATGCAGTTCTTGTGACAGTAAGACTTGTTCTTATTAGAAGTGAAAACCAGGTATATAGCCTATGGTGTGTTAGAATGCTGAAAAGAGGAATGCTCTGAGGCACTCGTAGGATCTACTGAGCCAGGTCCTCAATCTGAGCTGTGCAGCTCCTGGTGTGATGTCAGGGGACTTGCAGCCCAGTCGTAAGGGGCAGCTGCGTCTCCGGTATCTTTGAGGCCTGGTCTTCTTTGCTTTGGTTTTGGTGTTCTTCAGCTTCTTTGCTGATATTGCAGAAGTGTTGCAGGGGTACTTAGTGCCAGGAATCACTGTCTTCTGCCAGCAAGGAATTAAAATGTAATCTGATTAGATTGATAGCCTGGACTAGCGCGATGACTGCATCCACTGAGATGGAAGTCCCCCGTGCATTAATGTACAGTAGAAGCTTGCTAACTGCCTTGTCATATGTCTGTTTATTTTTCTTTTTACCCACCAGATTGGCGCTTACTTCAGCAGCATATTAGCAGAAAAGCTAAAACTTAATACGTTCCAGGACACAGGAAAGAAGAAACCACAAGTAAATGCCAAAGACAACTACTGGCTGGTTACTGCTCGCTCTCAGAGTGCAGTTCACAACTGGTTCACAGATTTAGCAGGAAGTAAACCACTGACTATTTTAGCAAAAAAGGTATAAGAGTACTGCTCCTATTTCTTGGATGTTGAATTGTACTGAACTGGTCTATAAGGATAAGGCAGTATTCATAAAATATGTTAAAAGGTTTAGAGTTTAAGATATATCTGCTTTCAAAAAAAAGTAAGTTTATAATTTTGTACCCTTTGTGCCTTTTTTTACTGAGGTAAGAGTGATGTGCAACTAATGAGATTTTGCCAGCAAAGATAACACTGAGCTCTTAAATCTCATTCCTTGTCTTAGTATTCTGCAGTTCCTTAACAAAGAGGAGAATAAACTGAGCAATTTAATTTCAATCTAGAGGTCCCAAGCACGTGTTCATCCCACCAGTGGAGTGTAAGTAACTGGCTGATGAAGAACATGAGCTGCTTTGCCACTAGTAGGATCTCCAGCAGAACACACTTTTCTGTGGCAAGCATACTGCTAATCCAGAGTTTTCCTTTAACCTTGTTAGATGTTAACTTTATGAATAGAAGCACTACACAGATTTCTTTCATTGTTTATGCTTTAAAAAAACAAAAACGAAAACAAAAATGGAGTTATGGGCATCTTAACAACGGTGTATAAGCATGTTAAAAGCCCTGTGAAACTAACTGGGTAGAGTCCCTAGGCTGACCACAGAGGAGTCTTACTGAAAAAGATCTGTGCTTTGTTTGCTGCACTGATGCACCTTTTTTTCTCCAGGCATTTTGGTAGTGCAGCATTTGTGCCTCCATTCCCTTCTGTCTCCACTGGTTATGAAATGTCTTTTTCTCATATGTGCTGCTTTAACAATGCCTATGGAAATGATGCTACCTTTGTGCAGAAGGGCTTGAAGATTGCTGTGACAGCACAGGGGGACTTTTCATCCTGAAGTCTTGTGGGACCAACCCTGTTCTGCGTGTGGGCAGGTGTCACAGCTGGCCAGCTTGCTTCCCTGGCATATTCCATTGTTACAGGCTCTGAACCAGAGGCGCTGAAGATACAGACAGCATCTGTGTAACTGAACTCTTAACCAAAATCTTGATCTATCTTTATTTTCCAGAAGTTCTGAGGATCAGCTTGCAGAACTCTTTCTGCACTTTGGATATCCTTAGCAGAATTGAGAGGTTTGCTAGTGGCCCTGTAGTCATTTCAAAGCTGGGAAAGGATGTTACTAGTTGTAACCCTGGGAAAGCGTGGGGTGGTTCTTTTGTATTGTCAAGTCTGTCTGTGTGTGTCTAGACAGCGGGTTTTGTCTAGAGGCTTCCCTGGTTGATGAAAAGGTCTGCTGCTGTCCTGGCAGTTAGCAGGGGAGGCTAAGGCTAACCTACAGATGCTACTGCTGTTTGCACTGTGCTATAACTTGCTTCCCGTTTCATTTCAGGTTCCAATTCTCAGTAAAAAAGAAGATGTTTTTGCTTACTTAGCAAAATACTCTGTACCACTGCTGCGAGCAGCATGGCTGATCAAAATGACATGTGCCTACTATGCTGCCATTTCTGAAGCTAAAATCAAGAAACGCCAGGCCACTGATCCAAATACTGGTAAATAAACAGCTCTGATATCTAAATGTGTAGTGATAGCTGAAAGGACCTGCTACTCTTGTTCGTTGCATCAGTGCTACTTAATGCCTGTGCAGTTAGAAATGCTTTTTATCGGTTTTGCTTAGAATTGTGTGTCAAAGAGTACAAAGAGCCGTGCAGCACAACTACTGCCCTACTGGCTTGTTCTCCTCCTGGCTGATTTTTCCCTCAGTCTGCAAGCACGGTGTCTGAGGAGTTGGCTGTGCTGTGTCTTAACCACCGATCCCAGCCTCTGGTGGGGGGGCGTGTGTGGCAAAGGCTGTGCTAAGTGGTACCCAGGAGTAATCTGAACTGCTGATTTAGAAAGCCTGAAACAAGATGCTAATTTCAAACATAAGTGACAATGCATGTATTTTAAGTACTGATGGTAAATGGCGCTGTCTGACACCAGGACAGCAGGCCCAACAATGAACACCTCTAAGGGACAGAAGATACGCTAATATTACCAAACTGCTCACATAGTTCTTATACACTACCTACAGCTTTTCCACTGCTTGGAATGAACTTTTTCCTCTTTTGTTCTTAAAGCATCTGTGATCAGATGCTGTTTTGCAGCATCTCCATACTGTTGTGAGAGATGTCTGAATCTTTCTACCAACTCATTCTGTTGTTTCTATCACTTTGCCTTGTAATTTGGTTTTAGGCTTGTAACACTCATTTTCACTTTGAGTTTCTAAATAAAGCCCCAAAAACATCTTCTAGCAAGCATTTTCAGCTTATTCTTTGTTATAGTTTTAATTAATAATAATAATAGTAAAAAAAAAAAGTCTGATGACAGAGAGCAAGAGGGGAGGCAGTCTGTGGTTGCCTCACGCAGCACCAGAACAGCTGCCCAGGATGTCATGTCAGATTGGGTCTCCATGGGTATGGCAGGCTGCTGTGCTGCAGTGAGGTCAGTGAGGTTTGGTGGGGGATTAGCATAGCTCCCTTGTGCTGCTGCTCCTGCTGACACGGGGTGAATTGTATCTCAGTGATTTTGGAACTACCTAGCAGGAAAGCATGACTCCATCTTTCCTACTCTCAGCTTCGCCTTCTGTCCTTCACACAGGGCTTTGTAACAAGAGATCCTGAAACAGACTTTTCCTTCCCCTTCCTTTCTTTAAAAATGGGAGAGGTGGAGTCCTTGTGGTGTGGTTTTCTGCTGAATACAACGTGTTCGTCCCTTCCTCAGTTGTATGGGGTGGCTGCAGCACCGACTGGCTTTCTTGTGCACATCCATCCGCACGGCTTCCCTGGTCCTGCACTTGCCTTAGGCCGTGCCCTGTTGTAGGACAGGAAGGAGTCAGTGGGAGCCAGTGAGCCTCCGTGGTCCTGCTGGGTGTGTGCCTGCAGCTGAGCAGCACTGCGTGGCGGGGCAGGCAGGCAGTAGCTGCAGGTGCTGCTTCTCTTTGTAAAGGACTTGGCCTGGGGGTTCTGTGCGTAAGCCTGTACCATGGCCTGTGAGCCAGCTTAGGTCATTTGGGGTCCTTGGAGATGTAATTCGATGTGTGTTATTGTGTATTCTTTGACATTCCCCCTAAAGCTTTAGATCTGTGCTCTAGGGAGCAGAAAGGTGGTTGTGTTGTGATGTTTCTAACTCAGCAGCACAGAGATAGTGGTAATTGCTTTGTGAGAATTTTTCTTTCATACTTTGACATGAAAACAAGTGTGATGTGGTGGATTCAGAATTGTTTCTCCAAAAATGAGCGAATGTTTGAAGTAATGTAGCTAAATAGCTGTATGAAAACACTAAAACCCACTGACTTCATACAGCAATTTCAGATTTGGATAGAAAAGCATTTAATATGTATTCTGTATATATTGACAGAACTGCCAATTACAAATTCAAAGGGGAATAGAAGAAGGAGGGCAGTAGCTGAGATCTGAGCTGGATGAATTGGTGAACAGAGCTGTGTCTGAGTTGTGTCAGAGTTCCCATAACTTTGACAGTGAGCAGGTTCAGGTTGTCAAAGTAATTGCATTATTCATTCATAAAAGAGCTCATCTAAAATATGCTGCATGCAAGCTACATACAATTCCATCAGATGTTTGGGAGATATTAGCAGAAATATCTGGCTGTTCCAGTTGCACTGTTCAGAGAATGTCTTCCTTACCATTTTGTTTTTCCCAAAGCTTTATGTATATCATCAAGCAAGTTTGCTTTTTTCACTAATTTCTCTCAGTTATCCTAAGTACAAAAGCACTTCTGAAGCGTAGAGAAAAGCTGATAGCTTTTGGTGGGTTTGTGTGTTTGATGAACAGCACCCACTGACTTATCTGTCATAGAGCAGAGCTAATGAGTGGCACTTGCAGACCTCTGCACTATCTTGATCAGGATGACCTGAAAGGCTGCCTCTGAATTTGTGCATTCTCATCAGAATCAAAATCCAGAGGAGTTGTCAGTTTCAGAGTGACTGTAGAGAGGGCAGTGTTATATCCCAGTGCTTGTGCAAAGTCCTGCTCATTTTTTTTGTTGGCTGGTTTTGAAGGAAGAGGGAAGAGGGGAATAAATTCCAGAAGGAAGTACTGAAGTATATTTATCTGTTTCAAAGCTATTCAGAGGCTGAAGGCTGAACTCTGATGAAAGAGACAGGTGATTCCCTAAAGGCATGGCTTGTCTCCGTGCTCGTACATCACGCTGAGCTAGCAGGCTGCTTACACACTTGACAGTATGTGTGCTTTGAGAGCAGTGCCCAGGGGAGGCACATAAAACTCCTGTTAATTCATAGTGGGTGATGCATTATGCGACTGCGTGTTAATATTTTGGATAAGTACTTTTCAACATAAATTTGTTATGATTCTCACTGAGACAGAAACATTTTATCATCTGAATGTTCTAATTGTAAACTCATTTTGCAGAATGGACTCAAATTATAACCAGATATCTTCGAGAGCAGCTGGCAAAGGTTGCAGAGTTTTATCACGTGACTTCCAGCCAAGGCAACAGCTCTGTAGTGATGCCTCAAGAGATGGAACAGGCCTTGAAGCAGTGGGAATATAATGAAAAATTGTCCTTTTATATGTTTCAGGTAATACTTCAGGAAATGAATGGATTTTTTTTTTATGTCACCATTTTTAGAAAGTTGCATTTTAGATATTACTGGTAATTTGTGTTGTAAAACTAGAATAAATTTTAAGTGCTAATTCATTTTAGGGATTTGCCAGCTGAAAAAAACTTTGATTTGCTTGGTGTGCTTGAGTGTTACTGCAATACTGTTCTCAATTATTCTCTTTCTTCCGGTATCATCCTGTGAGCCGGGTCCTGGTCACAGTAGAGCACGAAGCCTTGGGTGCTAGAGTGATGATCTGGCTGTTGAGCTCCACGTTTTAGCCCATACTCACCTTTGCAGTCTGCCAGGACTGCACCTGGGATCCTCAGCCTCACAGCCTTCAGCTGAAGAGACTGTGCCTTTGTGTAAGCAGAAGTCCCGGTGGACACTGTTGACTCAGTGTTGTCTGAGCTCGAGCAGTGGTGCTGGTGGTTGAGGCCTCCAGGGAAGAGTGCTGCTTTGCTCCTTGAATAGAAATAATGCAGAGTCCTGGTCACAGCTGTCTGTCCACGGGGCTGCCATAACGGTGTTCGGTAGGGCGGTGTGTGAGGGTCCTGGTAGCTGCTGTGAGCAATGAGAGTTAGACCAGAAATAAAAGTTGTAGTTACACGCTTTTCTTAGAGCTCCCAGCTAACAAGTGATGTGTTATTTAAAATCCTTTAAGGAAGGAATGCTTGAGAGACATGAGTACTTGACATGGATTTTGGATGTTTTGGAAAAAATCAGACCTGCTGATGATGACATTCTTAAGCTGGTGCTGCCGCTCGTGTTGCAGGTATGTGTGTGCTTTAAAGCTGTGTGATTGACACAATCAGTGGAAGCATGACTCATATATGTTAAATGATTCTAATAGTTGTAGTGTTAAAATCAACGTGAGCGTTTTTATTCAGAACATTTAGGGAAATATATTGCACGATTTATGTTTGAAAAGCATAGGTATCATTACAGATTTCATGCCTTCTTAACTGAAATTGGTAGGAAGACTCCTGTTCTGCCACTGGTCCTGCAAAACAGATGGAATATTTAAGGGACAAGAGTATAGATTTGCATTTTAGATACTCTTTTGTGATCCCTTCTACTTTGTGCATATTGAATGTTAGATTGTTAATTAAAATGAAGATGTGAAGGAGGCAGTCTGGTAAATAATGTGGTTTTTGTTTTTTGTTTTAATTTCAGTATTCAGAAGAGTTTGTTCAGTCAGCTTACCTGTCCCGCCGCCTCGCTTATTTCTGTGCCAGGCGCCTGTCGTTACTGCTGAGCGACGGCCCCAGCCTTGCAGCTGCACATTCTCCCCATGTGATTATTGCACCAAGTAACCCTCCTCTGGCAGCACCGAGTCCGACTGCACCCGGTCCTGTGCTGAGCCCCGTGCAGCTCACCTGCTCAGATTTCCTCTCCTGCCCACAGCACCGCCCGCTGGTGTATGGGCTGAGCTGTATGCTGCAGGTAGGCCGATGTTTGTTGCTCTTTGTTTTTGCGGCCACAACTGTTGAGTGTATTGGAAAACTGTATGTCTGGGTCTGACAAGGTGCACTGGTTGTGGTTTGAAATGCGGCTGCGTCAGGTAAATGAGAGGACTGTGGACGTGGAGGTAGCAGGAGGAGGAATCTCAGCCATTGCCTGAGGTGTGCTTGTGAAGCATCTGAGGGTGCTGCTGCTTCATATGTATGTCTGCAGCACTGCCACACGAGGGAGCAGCTCTGCCACAGGAGCGGCCAAACCGTCCCTCTGAAGGAGTCTTATTGGCTGCAGTAATGCTCTGTGCAGTGTTTTCATCACCAGTGAACTTGCTCATTCCTGGCAGACCCCATCTGTCCTTGCTGGGAGCAGCTGGGCTGAAGACAACGCCTCAATGATTCCTGCAGACCTTGGGCTTCGGCGGTTTCCTTGCTTCCTCCAGGTTGTCCTGGTTGCCTGGTGCCACTATGGACACTTTCAGGGTTACGTCAGGGTTACGAAAGTTTTATTGCCTTCACAACCTGCTCAGTTTTCAGAACTGTGGATCAGAAGAAACTATTTACTTGCACTTATTGATTGGTGGTGGCAGGTTTGTAAAGAGCACGCCAGGAGGGTGCTGATGATCATGGGACTACAGAGTCGCAGGATGGGCAGTGCAGTGGGACCTTTTGAGATCAGGTAGCTGTCCCCCTTGCTTAGGCAGGGGCAACCAGGGCAGACTGTCCAGGACCACCTCCAGTTGGGTTTTGAGTATCTCCTCCACATCTCTGGGCACCTTCCTGCAGTGGTGAGCTGCTTCTGTCTCACACAGCTTTACAGCTTTAGCAGCTTTACAGCTTTCCTCTGATAACAGCACAAAGGATAATCTTTCTGTTCATCCTGTACTGTTTATTTTTTTCCTCCTTGTGTGTGTGTGATCTTTGTGTTTTTTCCCACCCCTTTTTTTTTTTTGCACTACCAAGCAGATCCATAGGATGGCCCTGATGCAGACAAGCTCTCCTGCTTTTTAACAAAGTGTTTTTCTAGGCAATCTTTTTGCTAAGCTACTGCTTTGAAGGCCAAATTTGGACCGGGAGAACTTCCAAACAAATTTTGCAGTAGCTTCAAAGATAAAAAGTCAATTATAAGAATCAACTTCCATCACTTTAGATGGAAGGTCTATTTAAGGTCTGACCCAAAAGCACCAAAGCTTTCTGCTTTTGCTCTGCACAGCTCTAGATGCTGCAGATTAATAGGTATCCAGTGGTAAGCCACTGCAGAAGGACCCTCCTGAAGTCTGTCAATGCAGTGTCTCTCTTTTGAAGTAAATGTTAAGTTTCTGGTGTATTTCTCGTGTTTTAGAACTTGGCAGAAGTATTCATTCCAGTCTCTTAAATTTTAATTTTGCATATGTAGCTTCTTTCTGAAAGCTGAATACCAAAATGACTTACTTTTTTTCTAAGACTCATTCACATTTCATGGAGAGGATCTGTCTGGGCTTAACTTTTGGTGAATTTCTTTGGTGGCATTACAAAGGCAAATGGGAATTGAGAGTGCATATATTCAAATACAATTTTTAATAATGAAAGTAACATAACAATTTAATCTCTTCAATGTGTGTGTGGACTTGTCTTTTGTTTCTTTCTCTGTGATTGACCAAAATGATTCTAGCTCTTTTATTATTGGTATTGTTGGTCTTGTCTATCACACACTACTTGTGTTTTGTACTATTGCTTGCAGACTATAACTCTTTGTTGCCCAAGTGCCTTGGTGTGGAATTATTCCACAAATGAAAATAAGAACATTAATCCTGGCTCACCCCTGGATTTACTTCAAGTTGCTCCATCTAGTTTACCTATGCCAGGTGGAAATTCAACATTTAATCAGCAGGTAAGCTTTTTTAACGCTCAGATAAATAAGATCTGTTCTATATCCCAAGAAGTGATTGCATTCATGATTACAGCGGGAGGTGTAGTTATTAATGTAGTTCAACTTCTAAGATTAGCATTGTGCAAGTTTTTGATGACCTTATTTGTATGTCAGTCAGATACTGATTTTTGTGAAGATATCAGTAGCTTTACTTATGTTCAGATGTTTTCAGTTATTAAACAGAAATTACTTTAAGATGTAGAGTGGCAAATAAGAGGAGGTGTATCGTACCATATCGTGAGCTGTGACTTTTCACACTGGAAGTTAAACTCAGATTGGAAATAAACTTCTGCTGGGTTGAACTTAAGTAAAAGAAGTTTTATTGTACCAGAAGATACTTAACAGATAAAAGCATTTGAACCAAACATGCTTTAGTTTGTTGTCACCAAGTACAGGGAATGTTGTAGAACATCATAAGATACCTTGCTTCTACTGAGGAACCTGTCACAAGCTTGAACTGAAAATTGAGACTTCTTACTGCTAGCTAATTAGTAACTACCTCATTTACAGGTTCGGGCAAAGATCTATGAAGTAGAACAGCAGATAAAACAAAGAGGTCGTGCTGTGGAGGTGCGGTGGTCTTTTGACAAGTGCCAAGAATCAGCTGCAGGTAAGGCAAGACGTAGTGAATTAAGTGTTGGGAGTCTTAGGGTTAGCATCTGTTCTTTTTCTTTGAGTATAAACCTGTTGCACCGTGATTCATTGTAGTAATAGAGCATTTCTCCACCTGCACCTCAGTTCTTGGACTAGTGAAATAACATTAACATGAAAATGTTGGGTAGAAGCTAAGAATTCAGGTTTGGACTTGGTTACCTCTGGCTCCTGGAATAGCTAGCTACCTAGGTGAGAAATGCATGAGAAATAGTTTGTTTTCAGCTTAGATAGGGCTAAGTAGGAGAGAGACTGGCTGGAAATTTGCATATAGAGCATACAAGTTAGAAAATATGTGGTTACTTTTTGGAGTGAGTACTGGAACTTTCTTTTCCATGACAAAAATAAGTAGGTAGCAGTCCGGCTACTGAGGGTCTGAGTAGCTGCCTCACAATGAAATAAACATCAAATGTGATCTTCTGCTCCCCCGATGCTGATAACTGTAGTGTCCAGTAATGCCCCAAATCCCACAGTGTCATCTTATTTAAACTTTTTCTTTGCCCTCTGACTCCTGTATCTAGGGGTGACCATCAGCCGAGTTCTGCACACCTTAGAAGTGTTGGATCGACATTGTTTTGACAGATCAGATTCCAGCAATTCAATGGAGACACTTTATCATAAGATTTTCTGGGCAAACCAGAATAAAGATAACCAAGAGGTAATGGCTATATTCTCTTCTCACCGCCTAATCTGTAGACAGTGGATTTTATTCTTACTTGTGAAAACTGCATGTGCACGTGTGTGAAACTGATACAACTGTGTGTTTTCACAGCGTGTTTTTCTCATTTACAATTCAAAATTTCATTTATTAGAAGTAAGCAGCTCTTTGCTATTATAATGTAATTCTTAAGTGGATTGTTTCTGGAACACTGTCCTGAATTAGGTAAAATATCCACACCTTTTACATCTGTTGCAGAAAGTTGTATATCAGTAGCTTTCAGAATATTTTAGTGATTGATAATATCTATTTAAAGTTGTGTACTTTTATTTTTCCCTGTGCTTCCAGGACTGTGTTCACAGATCATAAAAATCCTTATCAGAAGTCTTTAATATTTTTAACTGCCCTCTGCACAGTGCAGCTGGCAGTGTCACTGGGTCTACGTGTAACATTGGATTTCTGAGTTAACTTGGAAATTGTTTGGGGAAAAAGAAGCAGCTTTAACAACACATTAATGAAGTAAAATTTCAAGGTGGAAAATACTAGTGGATCTGTCAGAGCTGCTTATGTTAATGTTGCAAAAGCTTTTTGGCAAAGTGTTTTATTTAATATACCCATTTTCTTGCTTGTGATGGTATGTTCTTAGTGATTGGTATTCATAATTTGAGACTGTGTTGCTCGGAAACGTTGTGTAATAATTATTAATCAGTGTTGTAATGACTGCTGAGATAAACAAAGTATGTTGGTGACAGGGAGATAGGATCTCTTTGGAAATAGTTCTGGACAGATCCACCTGTGAAGCAGAACTGGCAGGTAGGCGTGAAAGACAAGGCAGGACTGTGTTTGTATTTCAGGCACACTGTTAGATTGTGAGAGAGAAAATACAGCCATCTCATGGCAGCAGCAATGTTAGTAATTTGAGTCATCTGTTCTGGGCCAGGCCTTTCTTGGACATGAAGGTTCCACATTTTTTCAAGTTTAATCCCCTGCGGTCTAACTCAAAGCCATAACAATCCCTGAATTACATGGTACATAGCAGCATTTTGCATGTCATGTAGTTTTGAAATTACCATGTATGTCTATGTTGCAATGTTAGCTTCTCTGATAGATTTTATAATACGCATTTCATCATCCCAATTTTTATTGTGTCGCTGAAAGAAAATCCTGGTCCATTCTGTTTTTTTTTCACACGTCCATGGAAGAAAGGATAACTTGTATGGTTTCTGTATCGAGTTTTAAATCCCTTTGTCATTTCATGCCATGGTCAGATCTGTTCTGTCTTTTTGTCTTGTGCCTTCTCACTTTCTGCTTTTCAGAAGGCTTTTCTAACTTCAACTGCAATTGTATTTCCAGAATGTTTCTTCATGTTCCAAAGCACAGTATTGGTAGTGTGTGTTCTGAAAGTACAGCGATTGTTCTGTTCTTGCTGTCAGTTGTTGGCTATTTTTACCCCTTTTTTCTGGTACTTTATGACCTGAAGTTGGGTTGCCTTGAAAGCACGCCTGCTGTGGCTCCTGAGCAGCACTCTTGAAGCTCTGGTACCAAACACCTTTATGAGATCTGTCTGGTTAATTTACTGCCAGTCTTCTAATGACGTAATCATTTACTTTGAGGTGGAGAATGCTGAGCTGTAATAAAACATGATCATACAGAATTGGTAATGTCCCTGTGTTTGCAGAAGAGCTGTAGGAGATTGTAGGGAAAGCGGATAAGTTTTTTGAAATACATACATATATATATATATATTATTTTTTTTTTTTCTGAGAGAAGAAAACTGTGAATGTTTCAGTAGTACTTCACTGGTTTGGGCCCAGGTATGAGATTAAGCACCCACACTGCCTGTAGCTTCGGATGCCCTCTGGAATGCTCGAGTTGCCTGTCCTGAGGTTAACATCTGGCTGCCAGAGGCTGCCTGGTGTTGCTGAGCACCTGACCTACAGAACAGAGGCTGTACTTCAGTGCCTGCACTTGGGACGCTGTGTTCAGGTTCCCTACTGCAGCTGTTCCCTTACCCACGGCGCGGTGAGCTCCCGGTGGCAGAGCAAGGCCTCCTGCCAGGCTGTGCTGCAGGCTGGAAATGAGCACATTCCCACATGAAATGCTGTGCTTCCTTTCTTTTCTTAAACCTACTTCCCTCCCACTTCATGAATTTAGGCTGTTTTTCCTAGGAAGAAAATGTCACAATTTCAGAGGTCACAGATGCGCTGCCATCAGATGGCGACCCATGCAAACAGTGCTGTTCTGTGGATGAGATGTCCTCTCTGGACTCCTGCTGACTTCTGTGTGTCACAGCAAGAGCAGGCCTGGGGGAGGCAGCAGGGTGATGGGGGCAAGCTGGCTGCGAGGCCGTGGCTGCTTTGTTCCCGTGGGCAGTGCAGAGGTGTTATGGGGAGGACAGGACCTGGAGGCACTGATGACAGGAGAGCAAAATGGAGAAAAGAGTGCAGCGAGGGGCTGAGCTGTGGCTGGACAGTGAGTGAATAGCAGACTGCAGGCACTGAGCAGAGCTCAGGCTGAGCGTTGTGCTGTGTGTGACAGAGGTCCTGTGAGAAGCCGTGATGGTGAAGCCCCACCACGACTGCACTCAGGGCATCCTTGGCCAGCAGTGGTTGTCTGGGCTGCGTGAGCAGCTTGTGCAGGAAAATGCAGGGACAGCCTAAGCACGCGTAAGCAGTGGGAGGGGTACTGGTGAATGATATTCCATAGTGGAATATTCTAGCTGTTGTTGGATGAATAGAGAAAGCACTTGATTTTTAAGAAATGATGTTGAATTTCTTGACGTCACTATGGAAAATCTCGAACCTCCCTGGAAATTTGTGCACTTGGATTATTTTCTAAGTTCAGGTCTCTCAACATGTGTTCAGAGCTTATGTCCCATGTTATATTTGCAGTCCAGCTGAATTCTTAGAATGTTGAGAGTTGTTTTTTATTTTAGAGTGAAATTATGTTTTTAAACTTGGTTCTCACGACAGGGCTTGTAACAGATGCCGGGAGTTAATATTTGTCTTTCTGAGATCACTTTGCTGGAAATGAAACAAAAAATCCACCCCCTGTGTCTGTGGGAACAGAGGGCTGGTGGTGCTGCTGGGTTCGGGACAGCAGGAATTCAGCAGTCAGACTGTTGCTGCCTGAGGGCCCCAATCTGAGTGTGCTGGGACTCAGGACGGGAGGAGAAATGAGATGTACAATGAATTATCTGAGGAAACAAAGTCTATTTCCATAACGCTGAGAAAATAGAGAATATTTGGAGCATTCTTGTAATATTTTAAATAATGTGGGTAGCATTAGTTCAGCTGCTTGAACTGCTCTGTTAGCTATGAGATACGGTTTAGTAGCTTGCGGTAGCAATGGTAATGGGAGGATGGTTGGACCTGATGATCTTGTAGGTCCTTTCCAATTTTGTGATTCTATGGTTCTATGTTCTGAAGCACGGCTGGGCGGGTATTGTCACCCTTTGTGGTTTCAGAAGATTCAGCATCTTCCTTCCTGCTCACCTCGGCTCCTAAGGGAGTCAGTGCAAAATTTCTCTGGACAGAAACATAAATTCAGTGACTTAAACAACTGGCAGAGTTGTTTTTTCCTTTTGCATTAGACAGCTTCAGAGCAGTGGCTAATGCTGCTGCTGGGACAGCGTCTGTGTGCCCTGCGGCAGGGAGCCGTGCGCAGGTCAGTCCCTGAGAGGTGTGAAAGCAGTGAGGGCAGGCGGGGGAACCTCCTGGGGCAGAGGTTTGTGCTGGTCAGTGGGCACTGCGCCCGGCATTCCCTGCTCTGTCCCAAAAAGAGGTTTTGCAGCCTGCTGTTCAGCAGTGGCATTAGCTGGAGTAGAAGTTGGACTTGTTCCTTGGTAGCAGCATTGAGTTAATCATAAAAGTGAGGACCAGTGGGAAAAGCGCTCTGAGTTATAAAAAGCAGTTTTAATAATACTTTTGGCTTCCTATCTCCAAGTATATCAGAATGGTAACACAGGAGAGTACTGAAAGGAAAGTATTGAGCATTACTACTGCTGCTGCTGCTGCTGCTTTCTTTTTTTTTGACTGAAAAAACCCCAAGAACTCTTTTCTTCTTCACGGACCTGCTCTGCTTACAGGCAGTGATGTGACACCTCTGGTTTTCTCTGAAAGGCTGATGGCTTTCAGAAAGTGACAGCTACTTTCTGTCGTAGCTAGATTGGATGAGCAACGGGTTTGAGTGGGATGATTTCAACCACACAGCTTCTGTGCCTGAAAGCAGTGGGTTTGGTTCCCAGGCAGTGATGTTTAAGGCCACTGAGGGTTGAGCACGAGTCATTTTCAAACCCCTTCATGCAGAGCTCTCCTGGGCAGTGGGTTGTGCGTGAGGTACCCAGAAATGGTGAAACCTCGTAGGACGAGGTGCCACCAGCTGTGTTGAGCTCCCGTCTGATGCAGCATTTCCTCTCACCAGGATATGAGGTTTGGAGGCAAAGAAGGAGCTGTGTTCCCCTGACCAGCTCTGCTCAAGCTCTGCCTGGCATCTGCCCTGCAGAATGTGGACACTGGGCAGTGCTTGGACCCATCCCACATCCTCCTGAAATGCTCTGAAAACACGATCTTAGTGCAGGTCTTCCAGGCAGCAGTTTGAGCCCTCTGAAACGTGGTCTGCTCTAGGTGCTGGAACATCTGCAGCTGCAGAATCCCATGTTAGATTAATCCAGAACCTGATTATTTTAAGCGGCGCTGCTGACTTGTGTTCTTGGTATGCTTAATTAAGTAAATGCTATCAGCATCAGAGGGGGAAATCATGAGGTGCTGCCATGGGAGCTTCCTGGGGAGGAGGAAGTGGTGCAGCAGGGCGGCAGCCCCAGCCCTCCCATGCTGCTCTGAGCATTGCTGTGGCTGCTTCCCCGGCCCTGAGAGCAGCACACCGCTGCCTGTGCTCAGCATGCAGCCAGCACTGGAGCTTCCAGCGCTGCGCAGAGCCGTGCTGTGTGGTTAGGTGCTTCAGCTGCGCTTTCCTCAACCTCTCAGCTGCTGCTCATGCCCCTTGTTTCATGAGCTTGGTGTATGTGGAGTTCTGGTGATGATGCCTTGTCCAACACAGGTCTGTATGAGAGGGTTTCAGTGATCACCTGTATGCTGAGAACTGGCTTTACTGCTGTGTGTGCCAGTTCCCAAGGACCGAACCCACCAATTTTAAGTGTGTATGAGTTGTGTGGGTGCAACTCTTGGCTGGACGAATACTCCGATGTTTTCTGTGTACATATGGAACTTGGGAATCCGCACTGTAATTCTGAAGGTGAATGACCACTTACAGTCATCTGACAGCAATGGGTTCCCCTGGAAACAAGTGCTTCTGCCAGAGCCAGCAGGCATTGCAGACCTCTCAAGTGTGAAAGTTACTGCTCTGAAGCTGTCCCAGTCTTCCCCCTCAAAAATGCAAAAGCATGATAACATGGCAAAGCACAGCTGGTGTATAGCATAGCTCTTGCAAAATATGGATTGTCTAAATGTGTATATATACTGTTCTTAAAAACGTCTGTTAGGAAAGTGCAGGTGGAAGGTAAGATGAGCAGTTTGGTTGGGAGCTTTCTGACTTTGCTTGTTTGATCCTCACACCTTCAGTGGTTGTGGTGTTTTGGGGTTTGTTTATGTGTTTGTATGTGTAGGTGGGGTACAAGTAATGATCTGGAAGCCAATGGAGGAGAGGCCTGAAATAATTAGTGTAAGGAAGCCATGAACTCGGTGTGATAGCTGTGGTTGGGAGACTCTGTGGATATAGGTTTCCTATTTTGCCCTTTTCTTGTGAAGTGACGTTATGTTACAAGACAGTTTAGATTTGATTCTCAGCAGTGAGTAAATAGCGATTTTCCTCTTTTACTTCTAGATCATATTAGAAAATACTATGAATTAAACACCCCTGTGCATCTACTAGTAGTAAAGAAAAAAACCTGTTTTCTTTCTCCATCCATCAGAAAGCCCTTGCTCAGAATTAAGCCTGCTGGCCGTATATGTGAGATGCCATTCTGTCTCTGTTCTGCACAGGCAGCCCCCAGCGATGAGGCCGTGGTGATGCTGCTGTGTGAGTGGGCTGTGAGCTGCAAACGGTCTGGGAAGCACCGGGCCATGGTGGTGGCCAAACTCCTGGAGAAAAGGCAAGCAGAAATTGAAGCAGAAGTAAGTCCTGTCTCTATCTGGAATAGCACGAACAGTATGTCTAAAAAAGCAAGGATATTTCTAAGGAAAGATTGCCTTAATCTCTGTCCTTTGCAAAACAAAGTAAATTTGATTATACCTGGAACACTGGAGATTTTCTCATCGATTTACAGTTTTTATATCCTACATAAACTTAAAATGAAAAAGTCTTCTACTTACAGTCCAGCTGAGAGCAGCCTTAGTACCTGTTTGTTTGGATGGCATCTGTGAGCCCTTTGTGAGCCCCTTGTGTCCGTGAGCTGCTTGCCCAGACGCTGGGATGCTGCCATGAGGGAGCTCTGTGGGGTGCAGGGTGGATCCGTGCTCCCACTTGGGGAGCTCTGGGATGGCTCCAGACTCAGGGTTTATTTTGAGGCCTAACTGCAGTGTGACTTATATCTCACATTCTGTAGAACTGCCTTCTTTTTTAGGAGAAGTGAAAATGTTGCACTGGAGAGCAAAACACTATCGTTATGAAAACTTCTGTCTGTCTGTTGTGGTAAATGACCACGTTCCATCCTGCAGAAGCCAACGCCTCCCCTGCCACATCCCCATGGCACTCAGCTCCATGCTGTGTGCAGAGCAATGACTGTGCTGCTGCCGCCCCGGAGGGGCTTCGGGAGGAGGTTGTACCTGGTTGGTACTGTGCTGTCACGTACACAATTTTGGGGAGATACTTTTTGCCTTTGCTTTGGTCCTGGAAGTTCTGGATCTTATTTTTTTTGCTTTTATGTGAGAGCACATCACTGCAGAAGGTGCGTGTAAGAGGTGCGCCTCAGTAAGCCATCCAAAGTGATAAAAAAAAACAACACACTTCAGAAGTAACTAAACTGAGTATGGGAAAAAAAAATCATTCTAGAATCAAGATTGGGTTTTATGAAAAGATGGGAAACAATCACACTATAGTTGCTTCACATGTAAGTTTTGGAACTCTGCATGTCTGCACATAGATGCATGCTTTTTTATTTATTTAACTCTGCAGAGATGTGGTGAATCTGAAGTCCTAGATGAAAAGGAATCTCTGTCTTCAGCCTCCTTGACAAGCTCCAGTCTTCCTGTTTTCCAGAATGTCCTGCTGAGGTTTTTGGACACACAGGCTCCCTCGCTGTGTGAGTATTAACTCATCCCAAGAAGGTCAGAAACAGCTGGTGTGTTCCTGACTGCTGGAGTTACCGTTTGGTTGTGGCAGGTGTTTTGGTTCCTGTGATGACCTGCTCCATTCTCTCATGCACTTTTTAAAATTTCCTGCCTTGATGTAAGCTTTTCATGATCTTTTTTTTCTTTCCCTTTTTTCTTTCACAAAATGAAAATTGGAAGAAGCAATACTTATTTCTGTTTAGACCTTACAAGATCTGGGGAAATTACTGGCCCTATATGCATAGCTAACATCAAATGCTCACATTTTTGACAAGTCAGGCTGAGTCACAGCCCGAAGCAGTGATGGAGCACCTGGTGGGAAGGCAGGGTCAGCCCAGGAGAGCTCAGGTGCATGCAGTACACCTGAGTGACTGGAAGGGCTGGAGCCAGGATCCACCCCTTCCCAGACCTCATTTAAGTGTTGGCAGTGGAGGCCAGGCTATCTCTTACTGGAGATCTCTGCCTACCTGAGGACTTCCAAAAGTAAGGAGCTTTCATTTTCCTTTATTTCTACATCTGTGGCTGCTGTCTTTGGACTCTTTCTCATTTGCTGTAGACAAAGACCTTGCCAACTTGCTGTTATCTTCCCGTTACAGCGTTACACTACTGCACATTCATAGTGAGCATTGCGCACAAGCAGCAAAGTCGTAAGCTGGTGGCTGACAGATAGGTGGGCTGAATAAAGGGTCTTTGTCCGTTGTAGGTTGCTCTAAGAAATGCACTGGTCTAATAAAACTATATATTGTTATAGCCTGCGTTTCTCATATCTTTAATACTACAAATGAATGCTTTTTTTTTTTTTTTTCTGGTGCCCTTACATTGGAGTGGATTTTAAGTGATTTGAAACATGATGATGAGAACTGTCAACATCTGAGAAAGGAGAAACACCTGAAGAAGTTGTTGCAAACTTTGGAGATTAGTGTTGCTCTATTTCAATGTCAGTGCTGACCCAAGTCTTACTGAACCATGCGAACTATTTGTGTTATTTAGACTTGTTTCTGGTTTCCTCGTTTCAAATGTGGTATTATCCTTCTCCACTTGGGCATCTCTGTGAGACAGGGCGGGGAGAAGCGCTGAGGAATGGTTTATCTGCTTGAAATGTTCCTTGGGATTTTTGATGACAGAATGAATTTTGTTGAGGGATACTGTTTTTACGGAGCTTGAGCTTCTGTGTCTCTAAGCCTGAAAAGCACGACTGCTGTATTTTGGCTGAGGGCTCACCACGTAGTGCGCAGATGTGGTTTTGTGATGTCTTTGTGACTGTTCACACAGCAGCTTGCTGTGCAGCTCAGGGCAGGGGAGGTTTGGGTTAGAACTGCTATATTTGTGGGCTCAGCATTACAACTTCTGTACTGCAGGGAATAGGAGTTTCAAAAATAGGGGCACAAAGCACATTAGGGTGAAAATTGAAAGAACATCTCTGTTTTCTGTGGGGGAAACATTAAAGTAGTTCTAACTGCTTATCTGTAAATTGCCTTCTAGACAATGAATGAAGATTCTAAATAGAAAATGTGTTATATATTGAATTAATTTGAACGTGTACTGCGTAACTGACTTTTAAGTGTCTTCTGATGATTTGAATTTGGTGGCTCAATAGCTGGAGGTTTTGTTGCCAGGTAAAGTTGTGGTATACAGCTGTTTTCTGTTAAACTGCATTGCTGCAAACCTTCCTTTGTTACAGAACAAGTCAAATTAAATATAGCTAGGACAAATGAGAACTTAATAAAAAAAATACATAGCATTTTGCTTTTAATGGGCAAAATAACAGGCGGTTTCTAATATGCTCTTTCCTGATGTTTGTGATAACACTTACTGGATAAATTGAAGTACACAGAATGAATTCCCTGAAAATACTTTAAAAGCTTTTCTATTTAAAAATATAAAAGCATTGTCAAAAGACAGTGAAATTTACCTTTGTAATAGAATTTTGGAGTAAAAGGAGAGTTGCCTGTTCTAATCCAGAGCTTCACAACAAACTTTATTTTTCTGCACACAAGGAATGTCCTTACCCTCTTTTCCCCCCCTCTTTTTATCTATTTATTCATTCAATTTGTCTTTGAACTGTTGGCACCTTGCTCTTAGCTGCTGACAAATGGCCAGCTGCAGTGGGCATGGATGGGGTGGGATGCTCTGGCATCTGCTGCTGTTGGAGCTCTGGCACATGCCTCCAGCTGACTGCAAAGCAAAACTATGCTGCTTGTGTGTCAGTAGGTGGGGAATGGTTTGTTCTGTGGAGACAAAGATAAATCCATCCAGGACACCCAAGCCACTTCTATCAGGCCTCTCAACCTTTAACGCACGAACTTGTTGGGATTTGCATGTTGGTGGCTAAGAACCAGGTATTTCTATGTTGGAGTTACAGTCCTGTTTGTTTGTTTGTTTTTGGATAGCTGACCCAAATAGTGACCATGAGAAGACAGAGTTTGTGAATTTGGTGCTGCTGTTTTCTGAATTCACTCGACACGATGTTTTCTCTCATGATGCATACATGTGCACGTTAATATCACGTGGAGACTTGTCAATTACTGCAGCTACGAGACCACGTTCACCTAATGGGGAAACTGTGGATGAACACTATTCTAAGGATAATGACGTTAAAATAGAGGTAATGCTGCATGTTGTTTCTCCCATGTTCAGTACTTGATTTCATAAAATGTGGGTTTTCACCAAGGTAATAGTATTTCAGATATGAGTTTTCTTTTGGACTTATTTTTAATCTCTCTTTGTCTGGCCTTCTATCTCTGAGAAGACTGGAAGTGATCCTTTGGCTGTGTTTTTGTGTGTAACTTAAGTATTGCTGCTTTGGTGCAAATACACTGAGCTGCCAGTTCTCTACTGAGCTAAACAACTCTGAACAAACAAAAAGGCATAATGTTGGCTTCTGAATTTAGCGGTGAAGAAACTTATGTGCAGGTAAACTCTAATGAGGAGGAAGGAGAGTTTCTCACAGGAGGAATCTGGAGGAAGCCGCAGCGCTCAGCTCAGCTGCTTGCGGGGGTCAGGAGCTCGCTGTGTGCTGAACAGCCCAGATGTCCATACAAACTTAGGTCATAAAGCAAGTCCTCATGACTCCAACGTGCACAGTTCATGTGCAATCCTCAGTCTTCCATCAGATGAGCATTTCTCTATCTTTACTAAAACAAGTAGAAAAAGAAGGCACATTTAAGCTCCAGACTGTGGGCTACGTTTGGACTTTTATGATGAAACTCAGCTCTCTGTGCTGCTCTCAGTGCCTGTGGAGCTGGTGGCCAGCTAACGCTTCTCTCATTTACTTTTCATTCCTTTTGTACATCTCTTACATAGGGCTCAGGGCCAAACTTGCCCTAGGGTGTTGGGGCTGTCCAAGTAGACCTGCGGCAAGTGCAGGAGTCCTGTTCTGTAGGTGTCCCTGGGAGCAGAACTACTTGTGGGGATGTGCTGTAAACCCTTTGTTTCTCCTTCAACCCCTTCTCTCTTCTACTGTTTTATAGATTAAGGCTTGAGAAGTGAGAAGATTTAATTCACTTCTGTGAATTAAAAGTCAGTATGTGAAAGCTTCCAACCATTGCTACTGTTTTCTTATTTCTTAAGTAGGTTAAATGCTTGGGTTTACCTGGGACCAGTTAAATATGTCATCAATACAGCATGACTGATGCTTTTTTTTTCTGTCTGACAATTCTTAGGATCATAGTATTATGGAGCACATGGGCACTGACTCAGGACCCACTAGTATCTTTGATGATGTAGACAAGGGTGACTTTAAAGCAGATTTTGGTTCGGAATTTCCAGTAGGTTTAACTTTTGGCTTTCTGCATGCCTTTGGTGCCTGTGTTTGCTGCCTGCTCTTGTCACCAGGAATGTCTCTGTGCCCCTCGTGCTGCCTGGCTGCTTCCACCAGGAGCCAGTGTCTGTTGGCCCAGTGCCTGCTGTGTTCTGCCAGTGCGTCGCCTCTGTTCTGCGCACCTGCACTGTGTGACAACACATGGCTTTTCTGTGCAGCCCCTTGCTGTGCATGTACATGCAGATGCACACTAACGTTCCTTCCCTTCCCTCTGCCCACTTGCTGGATACTGGACACACTCTGTGTGTGCTTGGCATCTGCCATAGTGGCGGTTTCATGCATGCCATGCCTACTGCAGTGTCTTTTGTCCTCCATCCCCTCCCACTTCACCCTTTTCATTGTATTCCCTCTGTATTATCTCATTGCAATTTCTGTGTCCCAACTGTTTATGTGTGGAAATTGCTCTGAACTGTAATGTTTTGGTTGTTTTCTTCCCTCACAGAACACTTCTAGTTTAAAACCTGTGTAATAACAATGAGATTCACATAGAAATGTAACATGTATATGTAGTTGCTTACATTTCAGCACAGATGACCAGTGTCCTTGTTTTGTCTATTTCTGAAAAAAACTCAGATGTTTATAAAGTAATCTTGTCTTTGGAATTGTTGAATTTAAAAAGTTAGAGGTTACTTATCTCAAACATTTGTTTTACATGACTTAGATTTTTTCTCCGATGGCCGGGGAATCCTGTGAGAACATGAACTCTTCTTTAGACAGAAGAATTTCAGTTGCCAGTGAGAAGTCAGTCAAGAGGGAAAGACTCAGAGAAGTGATTTTTCCATCCAACTATGACCTCCTTCGTCATCTGCAGTACGCGACGCATTTCCCAATACCTCTGGTGAGTGAATTCTGGTTGGGCATGGAGCAGTGTTGGCTGTTGTGATGGCAAATAAAAGCACTTAAAGGACAAGTGTTCACTGTGTGCAGGGAACAAAGCCAGCTTTATTCAAGGGCTCCCAGTCAGCTCTCATGAGGCTGCTCCTGCTGTGGGTGCCCGCTGTGTGCTGCAGGATGTGCAACGTGCAGGCAGCTTCATCTTATCAAAGGAAAATGTGCTGGCTGGGAAAGTGCCTGAGCAGTAATGATTTATGCTAGCTTAGCAGAGAAGGGAGATGGTACTACATTGCAAATGCTGTATTCCAAGGTTCAGCGAAAGTTTGCTAAATAGAAAACCTGACCTAGTAGTTGGACAAATGGATGAATACTGAAATATCTGAAAGAAATAGTTCTGAAGTGTGATGGATGGAATGGTGCTATTTCCTTCCTCCCACTTCCTCTTGTTTGTAGTATGGATTTTGGGCTGCTTCTGTTATTCTGTTGGTCTGGGACCTCTTGGGAACTGCAGAGAACTCCGTGAGCAGCATTCCAGATCCAAACCCTCATTTGGTTGATTTTTAGGTATTTATTTATTTAATGATACTACATGTTTGCTGCAGTGCTGGGCAGAGGCCCCAGCGCTGAGTGCTCAGGAAGTGGAGTGTGTCTACTCAAATTGTTTTGGTTTTGTTTTGAAACAACAGTGATAATTGTTAAGCAGTGTTGAATCCTACCAGTACAGGAGGTGTCAGCTGAGTGTGCGATGCGATACCTCCCATCTTCCGTGCTTTAATTTTGAGTTGCTACAGGTGATTTGTTTTTATGAGAATATTGAATGAGCTGTTTCTTTTCAGGCCGGTTTTGAATGCTTTCTTGAAGTCTGATTTATATTTTGAACCATGTCAGTTAGCTGGTTTTTGTTTCTGCAGTAGTTTTGGTCAGATGGAGTTAATCCAGGCAGTTTGACTTTGCCTAAGCAAATTGATTTTTCACTCTGATTATCATCTATTCTATAAATGCATTATTTGTGGAAGTGTTTGTAAAAAAATAAAAAAATAAAATAAAAAAAAATATATATATGTATAAAATGCTCTTAGTTACTGCTTTATACATTTTAATAAATACAAGCAAAGACCACACAGTGAGTATTTCTGCTTACTCTTTATTTTCATTTTACAGTTGACTTGAATTTCCTGCACTCACATATTGCTGGTTTTTAAGTTCAGTGCAGTAGCATCATGGGAGGGCAGTGGAACTTGACAAGAACAGAAGGTTTATTTATAGGAATTATGGGTGAGATGTAAGCGGATGCAATAGTTTGTTAATCAGTGCAGCTTAACATTGCATTCTAGATTAAGTAGTGCCCTTTAAAATGCTTTTGGATTAATTGTGTCTGTGAGAAGCTTTGCAGGTGAGCTGCCATTTGAAAACAAATCTTTACTTAATTCCACCAAGCTCTTCAATCTAGTAAGAATACAATATTTTACTTAGGGAGAGCCCAAAGTATTTACCATAAATAATAAGAATGTATATTTGGGTGTGTCTCAACAAGCTTTATTTTACATTATTGCTGATTGTTCATGGCTGTCACTGATACGCTGCAGTATTTCCAAAAAGCAACACCAAGTGCTTTGCTTGTTTGGTATGGAGGTGTGAGTCTTCTCATCCATCCAGTGGTAATACGATGGTAGTAGCTGTGTTTCCAGTTGCACAGCGACTGTTTAGGTTATGTATTTGCACATCCTTTCCATGTAGTTTAGAATCAGTACATTTGCACCCACTGCTCGCTTTGGTGCTGTGCCTCTTCATCTGTGGACACCTTTGCCTGTTTGGATGCCATGAAAGCCTCATTAACTTTCAGTCTGAACACAGTGGAAAGATGATAATACAGAATTGGGTCAAAACAGAGGTTTGATACTGCAAAGAGCAAGGTAGATTCTTTTGCTTGAAAGAGAGTTTGCTTCAGAGAGCAGCTGGTTATGGTATCACTCTGGCTCAGAGTGTAAGGGATACGAACGACGTGGTAGGGAAGGAAGCACAGCAGGTAGGCTGCTGATAGCAGCAGTATGCTCACCAGGGCTTTCTTCACGTTTGTGTAACTCTCACTGTATTTGTTTTGGTAGAGCTGTCTGACAACAAGGAAATTGGAAATGAGTATCACAGCTGAAAAATTCAGGAATATTGCTGTGCACACGAAGTTAGTAAACACGTGCCAGTCTCTCCCAAATTTTGTTTTGAGATCGATGCACCTTGCATTAGGTCTTTCTTCAATGGTTTTTATTGGAATAGCCATGTTAGGCACTGTTATAAGGAGAACCATTGCCCATACAACTGCAGACAAAACCTTGGCAAATCCAGGCTCTTGAATGCGATAGATCTTAGAGCTGTGCATTAGCTGAAGGTAACGATCCATGCTTACAAATCCCAGGAATATAATTGATAAATACATGTTCAGGTAGATGAGACAGGCTGTCACTTGGCAGTGGAATATCTGCAGTTTCCAGGGCGCGACACCTAGGTCAACTATGATCTTTACTGGCAACGCCAAAGTCAGCAAGAAGTCTGCAGTTAGGAGGTTGGTTAAGTAGATGCTCATACATTTCTGCTTTTGACCTTTTTGTGTGAATGCCCACAGCGCAAAACAGCTCCCCAGAAAACCCGTAAGAAAGATCAAGTAGTAAAAATAGGTGAAAGGTTCCAGTTCTGTTTTGATGTAGCATTGTGAAGCGTTGTTTGGCATTGTGAACTTCTTGTGCACTTTGCTTTGCTGGCTGGAGAGATCAAGAACCTACGAGAGATAGCCGAGAAGACATCAACTTTTCTGAGCAATATTCATTGTTCTCTGAGAGTTTTGTTTGTGTGATTTCACGAAGAGATGCAATCAGGACAGAATATGCATTTTTCTCATGCTGCTTCACAAATGTTTGAGAGAGCTTTTTAAATGCATAGGATTTGTTCTTGGAGGCATATAGACTTCTTCTCAGAAGTGTTTCCACAAGAGCAGTCTTTCAGGTTGCGTGTGAGGCTCAGGAAAAAAAAAACAAAACAGAAAAGCTATGAAACTGCTTCAGGTTAAGCATTTGGTTAATGACAGTCATGCTAAAACTTTGCAGTTTTTGGACAGGTGAAGCTGCATTTAAAAATAAAGGGTAATTTTTGTAGTAATCTTGCTTTAGGAAAGTATATTAGAAGTTTTGAGGTTAATGCCCAGTCAAGCCAATATGCGATGCGTTGGCTGGATGGCCAGGCAGTTCTTCTCAGTTCTACGTTTTTGCTGTCTCTTTCTACCTGAACAGAGGATAAATGAATTGCAGTTTTAAAGCTTTTTTTTAAAAAAGGCATGTTTTGGAAAAAGCAGCTATCAAATAATTTTGTTTGCCTTGTTTTTAGGCTTCACTAGAAATTAGAGGGAAGAAATTAGAAATTGTGCTATTTTAACTAAATCTGCTATTCAACAACCACACTTCTTTGTTTTCTATGCTGACGGATTGCAGCACAGTATCAGCCACAAAGGAGGTACACTAGAGTTCCTTGGGATGAAATACACCTTGATTTCTTAAATAGCCTAAATCTGCATGAGTTTTTATAGCACTATATTATTCTAATTGGCTAATGCACAAGTGAAGTGCTGCATTTTCACGTTTGCTTTCTGCTGTAAATCAGATATCCAGATGAACATAATTTGTGTTTCAGTAAATACAATTGACTGCAGATACTCATAGAGTGGTTTAAAACGCCTAGAAAGGCATTGCCTTTCTAGTTGGCCTCTGCTACCTTGAAGATGTACCCTTTCACAGTGGGTTTGGGCACAGGCAGTGCTGCCAGCCCAGGCTCAGGGCTGGTGTCCCCGTGCACAGGCGGTGCTGCCCGGCTCCGACATGTGCGTGCTGTGCTGTGCTGGGTGCTGCTGACAGCTGCCCTGCTGGGCTGCTGGGCCTGCTGTGCCTGCACTCTGCACGGCTGGACTTCAAGCCCTGGGTTTACCTAGGTGTAGGCAGAGGGAAGCAGACAAAGAGTGACAAGCACATACCTGTCCTGGGGCCCTGGGAGGAGTCCGGAGCAGCAGTCTGTTAGCATTCGGTGTCTCTCAGCATGTTTTCTCATAGTGTAAGAGCAGGTTAATGTTTTCCCCTTGCTGCTTTTTTTTTTTTTTTTAACATGTCTGTGGTTTTTAAATGCTCTGGCTGACGCAATTAAAACCAGCATTCAAGCAGCCAAGGCACATGAAAGTTACCTAGGGAGGTGACAGCAGGATGTGAGCTCCTGTGGAGCTGCCCACTGGTGCTGTGGTTGTTCCCGTCCTACAGTGCAAGCAGGGGATGCACCATGCACAGATGCTGAGCACGCACAGGGATGGGGAGCCCAGGGGGGAAAACTGGGGGAGCACCATGTGACCTGCTGGGGGTACTTCTAATAGAAGTTAAAACTTTTAGAGGTTTGCCAGGCACTACTAAAATACTGGCACTGAAATCTGTCTTGTTAGTGCCCTGGTAGTTGAGAATCCTCAGGAATTTACATATTGTGCCATGTGAAAAACCAAGTTAAGAATGTCTGGTTTTAGATTTAGTCATAGGCTGAAAGTTCAGACCATATTTGTTGAGATGTTTGCAAAGCTTCTTGATCTGGAGTGCTCCTTTGGTCAGCATTGAGCAGATGTGGGCTGATGTTATGCTGTTGTGCTCATCGTGCAAGGCTAAGCTGCACGGTTCCACTTGCTTTTTAACTTGAAATACAGAATTCGGTCAGTTTTTCTGTGCATCTCCCACACAGACCAGCTCCATTGTGCAGACTGAGATGAAGAGAGGCTGGAGGGAGGGAAGGGCTGTGGGCTGACATGGGTGGGAGTGGGCTGGTGTGCTCTGGAGCTGTGGGGCTCTGGTGGTGGCACAGTGTGAGGGCAGTGCTGTGTGGTGAGGCATGGCTGAGGTCTGACACACTGCGCCCTGTGACGGCCCTCGGCCCGTTCCTGGGTCTGAGGGTCTGTGGGCACTGCACTGAGTGATGCCTTTGGCCCATCTGTGGGTTGGCTCCTGGGGAAGTGCTGCCTGTGCTTTCTGCCTCTCCGCGGGCTGCCTCAGGGCTCGTTTACAGTGTGCTCCTCAGGGGGAGGGTCCAGCTGGACCTGTGTTGCTTGTGAGGCTGGGCCAGGCCTCGCTCCGTGCTGCTGAGGGTTTGGGTTCACCTCTCTGCTGATGTCTTCAGCGAGCTTTGTGTGCCTGCAGATCTATAAGTCAGACAGATGTGTGCTGGCTGCAGAACTTATGGCCAGGCACAATACAGGGGAAACCCTGGTTTTGTTATTTTCTGCCATTTACGTGATGATAGGCAGAAAACCCTCTCAAACAGTCACTTGCAAACAGTCAGTTTTCTTTCAGCTTTTCAACTCAGAGAAGCAATTGGAGCCGTTCTGAGGCACAGTGGTGAGCAGATGATGCAAATCAGTCCTGAGGGATTTTCCCTCTCTTCCTGTGCACGGCCGCGAGGTGAGCGCTGGGGCACATCCTTGGGGACTGATCTGCGCTGTGTCTGGCGCATCCTGTACCCCACTCATGTGCCCTGTGCCCAAACACGTACAAACAAGCGAATCCACCGTGTGCTGCTAAAGATTTTTGTGGCTTTCATTAACAGATTAAAAAGTTTTATCCCACTAGGATAGGTCTGCATTGTAAGTGAAAAATGTATGTGTACTTGGCACAGGGGTTGTTATGAGTTCTGTGCAGAAATAACTATTTGTGATGAAGAAAAGTCGCTGGCATTTCTATTTACACACACAGGGAGAGGAGATGTGCCCAGCAGCGTGTGTGTCCCTGGCCCCTTCTGAGGGGTCCCATGCTGTTGGCTGTGATGTGGTCTGAGCTCCAGCAGGGCCTGGGCATGGTGGGAGAGCTCAGCTGGCAGAGCGCAGGCACACCGTGCAGGCAGTGAAACAGCCAGCGGCTCCCTGTGCCCCTCGGAGCCTTCTGTCTGAACACTAGGCCTGCCCTGCTGTGCCATGGCTTGCAGCTGGCAACTACAACATGTAGCCCTTGCTACATCTGCCGGCTGTGACTACAAATCTGCTATGTACCAACAAGTGGCATCAGACTCCTCTTTGGTGAGATGTTCTAGTTTGTTTGCAATAGAGATCGATCACTTTTGGAGATGGCTTCTTGCATAACTAACCTCGACAAGCCATGTTGCTGGTTTCAGCACATACAGGATTTTTGTATGTTGAGAAGGTTGCGTAATGAACTTTTTCTCCTAAAATAGTGCTTGGAGGAAGGATTTCCGTTTGCTAAGCATAACCCCTCAAATGGGAACCTGATTTAGCCTTGGTTACCCATAAATTTCACTGCAACAACTTTAAGGAAGTAGATGGGCAAGGCACGAGCTGGTTCCTAGTGGAATTACAGGACTTGGCAAGTGTCTGAATTGCTTGCCAGGGTTATCTGAGACGTGGTGTGCTGGGAAGAGTGTCACAATTAACTTATCAGTGTAGGAAAGAGATCGGCCTCGTACCTTTCCATCCTGGTTTATACAGCAGAGCAACCGTGGCAACGTGGAGCAGAAGCTTGGCTGGATAATGGAATTGAGAGCTGTGGCTCCCTGAGTACCGGATTGCTGTAGGGTCTCAAAATGTTTTCTGAGTAGCGGAGTTACTGGAGGGAGCTGTTTTGTTTTTTGTTTTTTATTTTTTTCTTAATTGAAACTCATCAGAAGCTTGGAATTCAGTGTTGCTCTGGAAACAGTGTATGGCATCAGCATGCTTTCACCTGAGGTGCTATATGTAGATTTTTGTCATTGTAGTGTCAGTAAACTGTCAGGATACAGAGAGAATTCTTCAGTAGCAATAGTGTTGTTGTTGTTTTTGTTTCTTTTTTTCCCCAAAGCTTGCAAAGTAATAAAGTTATACAAATGCAAATCACAGACATAGATTTTATCACTTTGTGCCTCTGTATTTTGACATACGCAACTACTTAGGTTTATGTAGGCAAATAAAATCCATCTTGTATAAGGAAACAAATGTTTTCGCCATCAATTACAAGAAGTCACCTACAAATCAAAAGATTCCTTTCCCTTGCACATTATTTCTCTTGCTTGAAAGGAAGAGCCCGCAAAGCTTTGACATGAGTCAGGGAGCTCATGGTCGAGGCTGCTGGTGGAGTACTGTTACTGCAGATCAGTGATGTCAGTGACCTGCCTGGCTTAATGAGAAATGAGGGCGGTTCATGGCTGGGATATTGGATAACCAAGAGAAGTTGCCCACAGCCTTGGAACGCTTACAAAGACAGTGTATTTAAACAAAGTATTGACCCTGAGACAATACCTGTTTGGATTAAAGTAACATACAGTGGCAGAAAGGTAATAGATGTTATTTCTGTTCCTGTAACTTCTTTGTTATGCAAAATGAGAGCTTCCATAGTCATTTCTAGAAAGCTTTTGTGGATACTTAATGCACTGGTACAGTTTCCCTTTATGATGATTGGAAAAAAAAAAAAGGCTGCAATGAAAAATATCACTAAAAGAAGATTACAGTTGCATGTGGAAGGTTGGTGTTTCAGCTGTTACTTCTGTACATAGTTAGGTGCTTTACCATAGTGCCAAAAGCATTGGAAAACTATCAGACCATTCCTTCTGGATTTCAGTGTATGACCTCCCAGTTCCTACACGGCTCCTGAACTGTTCTTACCTCCTGCAGCAACAGAGAGGGTGTGCGTGAGTTTGGTGTACGCCGTGTTTTGTCAGAAAGCCCTGACCAATACGGCACAGCGCTTACCAGCTTGTGGAAGGATCCCTCTTCAAACATTTCCTTATATTGAACATTGCATCTTAGAAGTTCTCTGGCTTCTTGATGCCTTCGGATGACGAATAGTCACATTGGTTAATTCCCTAAACTTGTAGAACGCTTTGCTTAAGAAAGTCAAAATATTTTTATAAGTTTCACCTTTTTTTTTTTTTTTCCAGGCTTTGTGCAAATCTTTGAGGATTTGATCACTACCTCATATATACATATATATACATACACAACCACTTTATTTATTTATTTATTTATATGTATATGTATATACAGACACACACAGGGCTGCCTTTTCTTTGGCAGTTCATTAAAGCATTTGAGCACTTCATTAAAGGCTTTACTGTCTGAGTTGGTGAATGCACAGAGAGCTCTCAGTGGTAGAGGCTGAGCCAGGGAAGCCCAGCTGAGCTTATTGTGTTGCTTTACGGGGTCTGCTCTGGTTGAGCTGGGATGATCGTTGTTCCCAGGCCCTTTGGGCTGCCCTGCTGCTCCTCAGAGGTGTCCTGCCTGGCTTCATGAAAAACGAGGGCAGTTCGTGGCTGGGATATTGGATAATTCATTCAGAACTGTGGCCTGGCACTCCAGAATGTTTTGTTCCAGTTACTCTTCTCTTTTCTGAGATCCAGATAGGTCACATTGCACCTCAGTGCAATCGTACCATCAGCTGAAATACCACGTAGTAAATACACTGACAGCATGCAATAGACTTTCTATATAGAGAAACATTGCTTGGTATTTTGTGCTTGAAACATTTTTTGGTTTATTGCTGGTCGTCATCTGTTCAGTTTCGTTCTGCAGTGTCAATATTTGCATTCTGGGGTAACTTTCAAGACTCTGTTATTCTACAGACCTGAACTTACAGAATGTTCACACTTTCTTGAAGCGTGTTTGATCTCCTCGATTTGGTAATTTCAGCCTCGCCTGACGTTTTCAGCTTGAGGTGCAGTTTTTGATACAGCCTTTCTCTAAAAGGTTGGCAGAGGAAAAAATAAATAATGGGATCGAGGCACACGTTGGCAGCAGACAATAGCAGAGTGAACTCCTTGGCGTGGAACAGAGCTCTCTGTGAGCGGCAGTCAAACCGGGAGCTCGTCTGGCTCAGGGTGTACGGGATTCGGCAGAAGTGGTACGGCACAAAGCAGAGGACAAACACGAACATGATGGTGAATATATTACGGCTGGTTTTTCTCTTAGTGAAGTCTGAGTTCCGTCTGAACTTTTTGTAGGAGCTGTATATTTTTTTTGAGATTGAAGTGTAAAAAATGATGAGTAGGAGGAAAACAATCCAGAAAATCCCTGTACAAATATAACTTGACACCTTGTGCCACTGTTTGCCAAGCTCGCTTTTAAGACCGATGCATTTTCTGGAATAATTTGCTTTAGGGATTTCGTTAGTTAAAATCATATTTGGAAGCGTTATAAACATAATCAATAGCCATATGATGACAGAGATAACCTTACTGTAGCGAACCGTGTGAACAAAGGAGGTGAATAAAGGCTTCACGATTTTGTAGTACCTGTCAAAACCTATGAGGCCAAAAAATGTTATTCCGATATACATGTTTGCATAAAAAACAACAGCAGAGTATCTGCACACAAATATGTTGAGCTGTGGAGGTGCAATTTCCGAATCAGCGAGAATTTTGAAAGGAAATGTCAAACTCATTAGGAGATCTGCAACAACGATGTTTTTGAGATAGACGATGAAACTCTTCTCGCTGGAGATGCACAGGAAGATCCATGCTGCCACGCCATTCAGCAGCAATCCTACCACAAAAATCAAGCAGTAGATCAGGGGAATGACTGTCTTTGTTATTACTGTGCTGTTACTGCAGCTGCTTCCCGAGGAGTTTGTGCTGGAGTTGAACATCTTATGATGTCTTTGTTCCTAGAAGCAGAAGAAATATTATCTCAGTAAGATAAAACAGTACTGTGCTTTCTATTAATTAGTGTAGGATTTCTAATCTTATTTCAAAGTAAACGTGGTGTACTTCTCAGAAACCATGTTATTGCTTCCAGCACAGTAAATTCCAGCACAGTAAATGCTTTCCAGGTGGTGCCATCTCAGTGTTGATGGTATTTAGGGGCATGCTGCTGTTTTGGGCTTCTGTCATTTCTTCTAGATTTGGGTCCATCTATTTTGCTCAAATCCTGTCCTGTGGTTTTCAGTGTGTGTGAGCCTACATCCTGGGAAGCCACCGTGTTCAGTGACTGTAAGTGCACCTCATTAACCCTGAACAACTCGTGTGTATTTTAGCACTGATTCACCTAGAAACAAATGAGACATAAAAGTTCCTTGTAAAAGTGTTTTGTATATGGTCATTGTAAACGCAATTCTATTAGTCAAGCCTGGGAATAACTAATAGATGCCAGTATTTTCTGATTCTCTCTTGAGAGAGAGCCTTCTGTGCAGCTAGCAGTTTGCTTTAAGCTTTTAGTAACACAACATACAGAAGAGTGTCTATATTAGCACGAATTAGAAGTGAGAGCGCCCTCTCAAGTCATTCAGGCTTAAATTTTAGAGGATCCCCAGAGGGGCTCCACGAAATCACATCTGCTGTCTGCTTTTCCTTGGCAGGTTTGTCAGGGTAAATTACCCTCTGTAGGGAAGCCTGAACAGATAGGGGGTATATATTGCTGCTCTGTGGACAGATGGAAACCTGGGCAACTGGAAATCGTGTGCTGTAGAGTAGGGGGAGAGAAACATCCTGTTTGCTGGAAGATGAATAATTTCCTTACTGCTGCAATTCAGAGCCAATAGCTGGTGCCTCTGTGTAGCAGATAGAACCCTAATTCAACCTAGAAGTAACTGGAAATGGAAACTTTATTTCACATAGGTAAAAGTTTCCCTTGGTATATTGTTTTCTTTGTGTCTCTGGAGGACATTATAAAGGCTGACAGACTTTGTGGCTGTTTTGGAACTTGCTTTGGTAAGTCTGCAATGTACCCTGAGCTGCAGTTCATCTCTGCCTGTTGTCTTCCCACAAGCAGGCCTGCTCTTCTCTCTTCAGGCTTGGGGTGATACTGCTGGAAGGAGGAGGATCTCTGCTTCTTCCATGTGTCCTCAGTTGGGGGGGGAGCACCACCAACAAATGGCATTCTTATTTAGAGTGGTAACCTACTGTCTGAAAGCTGTTCTCTTCCCACTGCTGTCTGCTATGAGTGTGTCCTGTCCATCCTGCAAGGCTGTCTGAGCAGGACCTTCTCTCCCTATGCTGTGTGCTTGAAAGTTGTTCCTCACCTGCTGGGTTTGTTAAATAACAGATGTGGGAGGTTTGGTGCTTGGACCTGCAGCAGCAGGTATTAAATGGCTTGGGAAGTCTGCAAAGTAGTTCTCGTGCTAACATATTATGCTACAAAGGATTATTTCAGGAGTGTGTGGTCAGTGCTCAGAGATGTGGCCGTTATAACTTTGTGTACTGTCTCTAGCAGCATGGAGGAAACTCTAGACATGGAAGATATCACTTCTGATGGCAGCAGATTTATCAGCTGTCTGTGCCTGAGAAGGAGGCCAAAGTCCGAGACAGACACTAAACCTTTCCATACCAGTGGCATGCCCTTACCTTTCTGGATTAGACTGCTGCGGTGCTTTTAGTGAGGTGCTAAGGGTCTTGAGAGCCTTCCATCGATGGCACAGGGCCTGTCCTCCAGTGGAGCGATCTGCTAGGCAGGAAAGCACGGCTGTTAGAGCTGTCATCACAGTGCTGCTCTGTGCAGAGGGCAGTGCACCTCCTCTAATCTGTCAGCAGGCCCTCAGCATTGCTCAGGAACAGAGCCATGGTGGGAGCAGCTGTGTTTGTCCTGGACCATCACTGTATGCATACAGCTCGAGGCTTGAGGCTCTGCTGCTCACATCATGCTGTTGGCGTTCCTGATAAAAGTTACCTGTGCTTTTTCTCACCTGGTCGGGCACCCAGTTCTCTCTGACAGGCCCTCACTCATACTGCAGTAGGTTTTTGTTGTCTTGAGTGTATTCTGCAGTATTAAGTGGACATTTTCAGCTATTTATGGAGATTAATGCTGCTGTTTGATAGATATGTAATGCAGCTGCTGGGTCAGAAATGATTGATGGTGGTCATTTTCTCCAGAACTCTTTTCTGAACTGCTAAATGGCATTTATCAGTGAGAAAGAACATGCCAAGCTTATCTCTGATGTTTTGAGACAGGGCTGATAGAAGAGCCCTGATGGAGGTGTGCTCTGCAACAGGGTCTGTGTGCGGCCCTGGGGGCAGAACCTGGCCGTGTGTTCAGTGCAACGCTTGGCACGGAGTGGCACAGAAACTTCAGTGGTGCTCCTGTAGCAAAAGGTAGTAAGCAACTAGTAGAGATAACAGCCTGTGTGGTATTCTCGGATCTGGCTCAAAGAAAGGTGCTCTCCTGAGCATGGCAGTGGCTGTCAGAGGGTCTCAGTGCGTTCCTCACTTCTGGGACCTCTGCAGGCTGGTGCGAGACAGAGTGGGTCTGTCCAGCAGCTGAGCTCAGCATGGGAAGAGCAGGCATCCAACTCTGTCCACTGTAGCTGTGCTTTTCTCTTTTGGTCCAAAAAAGCAAGACTTGGAATATTCTAGAGAGGAGGTATGAGTCAGTCATTGGTGGAGGTGTTTTGTCATGGTGTTCAATTTTCCTCACAAGCTCTTTACTTCCTGAACGTAGGATGAATGAAACCAAATGCTGGACCTGGGCCACCTCCAGCTCAGAAAGCCCTTTGGGGTTCTTTTAAGATGATGTTCCAAGGCCTGGACCTGTCTGCCCTGGGTGCTGCCCGCCATTCCCTCCCGTGAGCATCTTACACCAGGCCCTGCGCAGCCTGCCGCTGTCGTGCTCAGCATCACTAACAGCAGTGCAGGCACCGCAGGGATCTGCCCTGCCATGGGCAGTGCTGCCTGGATGTGCTGTGTCTGCCTGCAGCCCTTTGCTGTGCATGGGAGGTGGTGTGCCCTGTGGGTTGGTGCATGCAGTGCACCAGATTCTCCTGACCAAAATTGGTGCAGGCAGTTGGATTGTGTGCGATGCTTTCTTGGCATTTGTGATTAATTTCTGGTGTTCTGAAGGACAAAGCCTGTGAGGAGAGCTAGTGGGTGTGAGGAGCAGTTGTAGATAAGCTCGTTTGCTTTGCTGTTAAAATAGCAAGCTCTCTGGAGGGCTGTGTGAGCTCCTTTGGTTCCAGGGCAAGGGCACCTCAAGGGTGGAACCAGGAACTGCTTCATTTCTTCTTGTCTGAGGGACCCTGTGCTATGGTGTGCCGTGTGAAATCTGACAGCCTCATTTTCCTAAGAAGAAGCTGAAATTTTCATTCTGCTTTTGTCTATTCAACCTTTTAGCACTGAGAGATCAGCACCTGCATTACTGCCTGGTGATACAGGCTGGTGTGCTTAGCAGCAGGGATCAGTATGTTAGTTTAAGGACCAATAGAGTAGTTTAGCAAAGGAATCAGTGAGTGCTGGTTCTAAAACTTCCCATTCCAGCTTTGCTTGGTGTGTGAGCAGCCTGGTTTGCCTCAATGATTCTGTTCCACAAGAAGCTGTGGGATCACAACAGAATCATAGAATGGCCTGGGTTGAAAAGGACCATAATGATCATTTAGTTTCAACCCCCCTGCCACAGGCTGCTGATGTCTTTGGATTTCATCAGGTGCAGGGATGTTTTCCTCAGATTTCACATGTATTGCTTTATTATTATGGCCAAAGACACCAGCTCAATAAAAATAGAAGCAGTTGCTGAGGAGATACGTGGCTGCTTCCTCCAGTGGTGCCCCGCAGTCCCTCCCCACACAGCAGCTCCACTTGGTGCAGTGCCCTGCACTGACAGGGACTGCCTTCATCTCTTGTATTTATTTACAGTTCCTTTGTGTTTTAAGGGATTGATTTATTTCTGGTTTGTATTACACCTGGATGATTCTCCATTGTCAATTAAAAAAGTAATATTTGTTTAGAAGTTTAACAAAAAAGTTGAGGAGTGTTGATCAAGTACAGAAATCTGTCACAGAAGCATTTTCCACCTGGGAATATTTTTCAGCTTTTCAGCAGTTAAATGGAAGTACAGAACACAGCCTTTGCAATCTCCTCGTAACATAAAGCTCCATAAGTACTGCATTAATGACAGCAGGTCGTTACTTACTGCTCACAGCGAAGCCTCCTGCGCTGCCCTGCCGGGCTCATTGGTGTGTTCCTTCCAGCGGTGATGTCCTCCGTGGCTGTCAGTGTGTGCTTCAGCGTGCAGAGCTGAGGAGCTGCTGACCGTGCCTTGCTGCTCTGCCTGCTGTGCTCCAAATGTCAGTGCTGCAGCTGGGCAGTGCTATTTTAGTGCACTCAGTCGTCCTTCCACAGAGATCAGCTTTGAGCTGGGTTCAAAAGAGACACATTTGTGCATTTAGCAAAGCAGCGAGCTGAAGTTTTCTTTTCTTAAGCAGTTCCCAGGCCTGGCTGTGACCTCTTCTGTAAGGCTGGCTGCCCCGATGGCTTCTGTTTTTGTTAATGGGAGTGTTCTGCGCTGGAGTTCACAGGGTTGTGTCACGTTTGCTCTGGGCATGCTCTGAGACCCAGAGATTTATTCTTGGGACAGGTGATAAATCTCTGCTTTGTGGCCATTTTCTTTCTACTTTCTGCAGTTTTATCTTATTTTGCTTTTTTTTTTTTTTAACCTTAATCACCTGTCTGCCTGTTTGCTGTCCTCTCTTCCTATTCTTCTCATATGTTTACTGAGAGGCATTTGAAACCAAGCACAAAATCCATTGAAATGTTTGATAAACAAGAAGCTAGTATAATCTCTTATTAGGAATGTGGAAAAATATTGCTGTTTATATTCAAGTAAAATTTGTAAATGGTGTACAGCAGTGTCAACAAACGTTCAGCAGATGACTTAATCTCTGTCTTACAGTGCACTACCCAGAGCCCCCTCGAATACACGTTGCCCTGGCACACTCTCTTTCCTATGCTTGCAGAAGTTGTGTGGTTCTGCTGCTTAGCTGCACCCATCCTGCATGCAGCCAGGGCGTGCTGACCTGACTTAACAGTCCCTGAAGGTCACTGAGTCTTTCTCAGTGAAGTACGGTGACATCTTCAGAGACCTTAACAAAATTGCTTTGCGTTTTTGCTCCAGCCTGCAGCTGAGGAGGAAGTGGTGAGTGCCAGGGGTTGCAGGCTTTAGCCCTGCTCTGATTCATGCAGTCTGGGTGACAGCCCTGCAGCAGGGCTTTCTGTCTGCATGGCTGCTGAGTGACCCTCTGGCATGTAGAAGGGCTTCAGCGTGGCCCTTTGCTCTATTCCTGCTGCCTGTGTGATGGATGTGGCTCTGTTGAACGTTTGTTAACACTGCTGTACACCATTTACAAATTTTACTTGAATATAAACAGCAATATTTTTCCACATTGCTAACATGTGTCCCCAGGGCCAGCTGCTCCCCTCTGCTTAGGCTGGAAGGAGCTCACAGGTGGGCTGTGAGCAGTGGGTGGAAGCCCTGGGGCTCCGTTAGAGTGCCAGGCTTCCAGGTGGGGCCCAGGAGAAAGCAATTCCTTTTGGCAGTTGTGGGATGTTTCCTTGCTTTAACCAATGAGTGTTTCAGGAAAGTTCAGATTATCTTTAATTGGTCAGAAAGCAGAAAGAGAACTTGAGGGGCGTTGCATGTGTCCTGGGTTGGAGCCTGGCTTCCTGTGGTAAGCAGGGCAGCTTAGTGGCAGTACAGACTCTTCCATCTTTACACCTGTGTTTGCGGTCCTGTGACGCAGATCCTGTGTGTTGTGCAGGCTTGGTGGTAGACCAGGCTGTCAGTTTTGTGAAGGCCAACACAGGTGCAGCATTGGGAAGCTCTGCAGCTCCCAGCCCATGCTCTGGTGCATGCTGGGCTGTAGGGCCCTGCTGCCAGGAGCCAGGACTGCCTGAGCTGTGGGGCTGCTCTGAGCTGCAGGGTCTGGGCAGCCCTGAGCCATGCCTCAGTTGCACTGCTGGGGCAGGGAGCCTTGCTGCGGGGCGGTGGGGTGAGTGCTGCCCTAATTGTCCTCCTCTGGTGGATATTCTGCACCAGCTTAGGACCAAGCACAGCAGGCTTCTCAGATGCTTCCAAGGAGGCATGCAATCAGTTTTTCATCTCTTTCCCTCTATCCTATTGTCATGTATTTTTGGGGCTGGGAAGTGAGAAGTGGGATAGAAGGGCTTTACAAGCCTGTGGCCCTCTGAGGCAGGCTTTGTAGTTAATTCTATAGAGACTTTTATTTGTTTTTCTTCTTTCTTGTTTTTAAATTTTATTTTCTTCTTTCCCAGTAGCAGTAGCCTCAATATCCCTTTTGGGACCAGGGACAATTTTCACATTGTGACTCACAGCAAGCTTTTTCCGATAGCTTCCTCATCTAAACCTAAAACTGAAGTAAGCGATCTTCTTCTATTTCTGTCTAGATGAAATCCTTGCAGAGGGAGTAGAAAAGCGTGGTCTGCCAAGAGAAGGGATTTTGAAAGGCAGTCACAAAAGGCCTCAAGCTAACTCTGTGTTTTCCACGTGCAGCACAGGCAACTGTGCACTGTGTTGGGTAAAAGCTTTGTTATGTGGCACGGAATTGGGATTCCCTCTGCCAGAGAACCTGGTTTGTTGTGAATGGCTCTTCTACTGCAGAACGTCCACAGACTCATCGGGGTTACTCTTATGTCTGCAAGAACAGAAGTCTCTTCTTCCACGTACACGTTACCAGTGTCAGACAGCAGTGTCTGCAGGGCCCTTTTCCTCAGCCTGAGCTGCTCATCTGAGCAGTGTCACTGCTGTGGTCACAGGGAGAAATGCCTCATGCTTTCTCTTTAATTTGATATATAAAGGGAGAAAATCTTAGTTTTCTCTGGGATGCACTCCTTTAGGTAATAACCAAGTGAACATCAGGAAATAGTCACGGTTGAGTTCTGTACACAGCTGCATACTGTCTTTTCTCTTTCAATGAAAGGAGCTCTGGAAGCCTTAAATCGTGGGAATCTGTTGTCCTTTTATTATAAATTCAGAACAGTAAACTTTCGCCTGCTTTGCTTGAAGAATTCCCTTTATAGAGTCATAAAATCCACAAACTCAGATTCTGTGCTCTACAATGTCTTAATCAGTCCATGAAGTTATTCCTTATCTCTCAAAATTGTTGTCCATCAAATATCTTGCTGCAGGGGGTTGGTCTGCTATGTTTAAAGTTTAATTTAATCAGGTTGTGGGGTCTCCTCTGGAGACATTCTGGACATGTTCCTGTGTGACCTGATTGAGGTGTTCCTGCTTTGGCAGGGGGATTGGACTCAAAGATTTTTCAGGGTCCTTTCCCATTCCTGATATTCTATGATTCTCTTTATCAACCAGAGGTTTCCTGGAAACATCACATCTGGCAATCATCTCAGCAGTGCAGTGCTGTCTTCCCTGCCAGCTGCCCTAACATGCTGATAACCGATGCCCTAAGCCTCTAAGTATGCACAGAAGTGGAAAACCATGGCAGTGGGTGTGAGTCCTACTCTTCCAAGGAAGAATCCTTAATGGAGAAACCTTCTGATTTCTGTGCTGGGTTAACTCCTGGCTTTGTGCAGGTAGGAGCATAGGTATACATGAAATCACTGCAGTGGTATCAAGGACAGGCTCTGGGACTACGAAGCTGTATGCAGGAATTGCTTGAATGATATGCCAGTCCTGCACATGCTGAAGCAGTAGGGACATTAGGATAACACAGTTGCCATCTCTAATTATGAATGGAGTTACCTGTCAGGAGGTTCATTTGTCAGTGGGACAGGACTTGTGCCTTTTCATGAAAGCATGTGGGTGAAATGTTCTACAGTACACAAAGATGTGAGGGCGCAGGCCTCTGTGGCATTGATGCTGATCTGGCATCAACTGGCACTGATCTCCAGTGTGAGGTGAATTCTAGGACAGTTTTGATAGCAGTGTTCTGTATACTTGGGTTTTGATTGCAGGTTATTCTCCACTCAAAGAGCTCAATTTGAATTGGGATGTCTGACTTGAAAAAATCCTAAGTGTGCAGAGGGGTTCTCAGCACTTTCTAGGACTTGGTTCCTTTCTTTGCATCTCACTTGACACACCGGTTTCCCTCCTGCAGACTAGAAGTGGGGCTTTGATGCTGTGAAATGGTGGTTTGGGTGTCTTCCTATCTCTTTTCCCGCTGCTGTCCCACCCTCTGAAAGGAAAAGAAAAAGAATGCTTTGAAACAGAACGTGAAGCCTCTTGTTCTTGTCAGCCTTTACTAACAGTAAAGGGAAGCTCTGATGTGCGATGTGGCAGGCATGGCTGCTGCTTCCTAGCTGAGAAGGTGGGCTGACCAACACGTGTGCAGCAGAGCAGCGCTGCCAGAACTGACTTCTCAACTTTGCGTACAGTAGAGATCTGGAAATGAGTGCTTTCAGCATTGATGTTGCGAGAGTGAATGTTTAACAAATTGTGGTTTTGTTGGGACTATTTCTCTGAAGAAAACAATGCAAGCACCATATTTATCTTAAACAGCTGATTTAGACAAAAGATTTCAAAATAACAATGTGAGCAATCTGATACTGCAGTTGATTTTCACCAGTTGAAATATTGGAGATCCAGGTTTGCTTTAGAAAAGCTCATTTGCTTATTTGTGACTTAGTGAAGAGCAGAGCAGAACTCCAAGGAATACCATGTGCTTGTTCTGCACGCAGGCACACTTAGAGGTGAGCCCTGAGGGCTGGTCCTACCGCTTCCCCAGCACTGCCCACCCAAACTCAACAACATGCGTTTGTAGCAGTTCTTGTTTGGCTCTGCTTACATACATTGGTTTGAATCCTCAGAAGGAGACTATGAAAATGGTGTTAAATGCAGTCTGCCTTTGAATGGAATCTCAATTTCGTTCTTCATAGAAGGACACAGATCTGTATTTTTTTAGATTGAAATCCTGTGTTGTCACTTAGTTCTTGCAAAGCCACGGGTTCTTTCCTGTGCTTTGCCAAATATCTCTGGGCAGTTGAACCCTACGTATTTTGAAGTAAGCTGAGGGAGACTCTTTGAATGGGCAGCATGACTTTATTACCCAAAAGGAAATATTTGGTGACAGTGCTTGCCTTTCATAGTGAGTAAAGAACACAATCTTGTGCATGAGTTAAATGTACCGAGATAAAGGAGGAAACGCTTAAAAACAACCCTTGAAAAGGACCTTTTCATGCTAAATGTTCGGAGCTGTTCCAACGGCTTTAAAGAGCCATCCTGTTTTCAGCCTATTAATGATTCTCCCTCTTACTCCAGCTTTACTTTATTATTTTTTCACGTTGTTTATTGTTAGAAGTAGAACAGTAGAAGCAGAGAACTACTTGCCAGGGAAGCAGAAGTGAAATATTGTTGGCCTTCCTCTCTGAAGATCGCAAGTAGGCAGCAAATACTGGAAAAGGAAGGCAGTGCTAAGTAGGCTGAGTGCACTCAGAGACACCAGTTGGCAAATGGAACGTGTGGATTCTGGTTGGTTTCTCTGAAGCTGTGCAGGGCTCATGATGCAGAGAGGGCAGTTCAAGCTTCGCAGCCATTCGTATGAAGTTCTTTTAAAACATGATCATATGCTGACAAGTAACAGAAACCAAGGGTGAACAGCTTTGGAGATGACTTCTTTGTGTTGTATGTTGTATTATGAAGTATGTCATTGTAGAATTACTTAATGGCATGGCTGTACTTCTTGGTTTGCAATGTTGTTGTGGTTAAAGCTTGCCAGAATGTTTACATTAAAGCTACCAAAGAAGTTCTGCCTTCAGTAAAAGACTGAAGTGTGCAGCTCTGCATGAGTATGTGAGGTCCCGGAGGAAGGAGGGATGCTGTGTTTTCAAGTGCAGGCTGCCACTCTGATGGATTAAATGTTACGGCACACATAATTTTTTTGCGTGCTTCAGAGAGAAGCAATCATTTGTTCAGGGGGAGAGGATTAAGAGCTTAGAGGGCGGGCGGGAAGCCTCAGCTCTGTGTGCAGTTTCACCCCATCGGAATGATTCCAGACATCAGGGCAGACTGAAGGGTCACTTCATTATGCAAACATGGATATTTTTCCAAAATGCCAGCCAATTTTAATATATAAGGATCTGCAGACACAGCTGTTATTTCCAAAGGGTCAGAAGGTGATAAGCATGATCGCCAGAAAGATTCCTTCTGTATATCACGTGCTTTTGGTGGCTTAAGAACAACGGATAATATATTTCACCCTTAGCCATATAAGTCTTTTTCTTCCCCTGAACTCCAAAACTCCTGGTCTAGTCATTTTTCTTTTATTAAGAAAATAATTTGGAGGTTTGTGAGCTCAGTGCCTATGAAAGGAAACTGCATTTATAGTCCTACTGATCAGCTTCTACATCAGAACCAGAGAATGTGTTTTCATAGCCAGAAACAGGAGAAAACTGACATGATGTTGGAGCTCAGCTGGTTACAGAGGGGCTGGCTGTGGTGGTGGCCAGGCGGTCCTCGTGCTGGTGGCTGCTGGCAGAAGTTAAAGCTGGGCTGGTAGCTCTGCTGCCCTTGGGAACAGGAGTGGGGCTCTCAGGCTGAGATCTGATCTTTTCTAAATGTACTTTACTGCACCAAACTGTTGCCACACGTACACAATATACCCTAATCTTATTAGAGGTCTATGCTTCATTGTCAAACCCTTCGAATCCAACCAAACATGAAACCGCATAGACAGTGTGTATTTACATCCAGTTGCTGTGAACAGACTGAAGTGGAATGAACAAGATAAATATTTTTCTAGAATAATCCCCCTAGAACTCATGCTGATTACGAAGGCACTGCAGGACTTATGAATGCATGTTTTAAGCTATCAAAGCGTGCCAGCAAATATTTTCTGCCCAGCATTGCCATGCTGGCTGCTCAGTGCCTCAGCATCACTGTAGAATAGCCTTGGGAGGCCTTACAAGGATGTGTCTCCAATTCAGCCAGGTTATGGCTGTGCTCTGATGGCTGTGGCTTGGGGTGAAGCATCCTGGTGCTCGTGGCACAGGGTGTGGGTGCTGGGACTGCTGTGAATCTCAGTAAGCCCAGGGGCTGCGGTGGTTGCACCATTAGGCTTGCTTGAGAAGGCTCTGGTGTGTGTCAGTACAGACATCTTCAGAACATTTGGGAATTTCACTTTGCTTTTTTAAGGAGCCCAGGAAGCTGCAGTGGTAGGAAGTCATGGTAAAGGTGGTTGCCAGAGTAATCTCAAAAGCAAAGCACACAATGCATGCAGTGCCACGAGTCTTGCACAGATGGTGTTCTGGAGCTGTCTTGAAGTACATCCCCAGAAACATTCCTTCCACAGCAGTTCAGGCAGCACTATCAATTACAGCACAATGCTGGACTTCTTCAGTGAAAACTTTCACTGGTGTTCACTAACAGTGTCCTCCTTGCTTTCTTGGGTCTGGTTTGCTGTCATACTTCCACCTGGAAGACCTTCTCTGTGGGGTGTCCTGCAGAACACAGCAGTCCCAATCTGCGTGATCCAAACTCAGGTGTGTGCCTGTCCTGTCCTGCTTCCCAAGGGCACAGCTTAGGTCAGCATCTGATGCTGTTCCTATAACTGCTCGTTTCACGAAGAACTTGGGCACAGTACAGAGAATAAGGAACACCAGAGCTATGGCTGAAAGAGTGGGGAATGAGTCATGTGTAGCACTGTGTGGGCTGTGAGGGGAAATAATGCTGTGCCATTGGAAGTTACATCACAGGATAAGGAGTAGTGTGTGCTGAAGTACATCCATGTGTCAAAAATAGACCAATTTGGGTGAAAAACAACAAAAACAGTTTCTAAATTGTTATTGTTTGATCCTACTAACCTCTTTACTGCTTATGAAATTTGTTTTGGTCAGAAGCAGAGGCTTAGTTAAAAATGCAGCAATTTAAATAACCTAAGCAGATAACAGGCCTAAAGAGGAATGGTAGCTCAGAACAGGGAAGTGAAAAAGGATATGTCTGAAAGTGAGTCCTCAGGCCATGCAAACCAAATGGTGACTGATGCAGCTTCCTACCAACAGTCCAGAAAAAGCTTGTTGCAGCAGTGGGCATTGGTGAAGCAGTGCTGTGATCAGGCCTATTTCTTCTCAGGAAGAGAAGGCTTTTAAGTACCAAATTCCCTGTAAAATGCAGACATTATAGTTAGTTATCTGATACTTTAAAAGTAGGATTTTCTTTTATAACTCATTTTTAGTCCTGGGAAAAGATTTTCCAAGCAGCATCTTCCAAGAACTGTAGAACTGTTGTATAAGCACGAGTGTAAGTTGTAGTGAGAAATGTTTATCACAGATACGCCCTGTCAAGATAAAGTAAACAGGCAGTTTTATGGAACAGTGCTGACCGTGTTGCTGTTGCTGGGCTCTGGAGCAGAGCCATCCTGGCCGCCCTGTGCCCGCATTGCTTATCCATGCATCCTCCAAATGCAGGGTGGGCACACCGCTCCGCAGTGCGACTGGGGCCTCTGCCTTCCCCAGGCACTGCTGCTTCATCTGTTTGGCCTTCTGGAAAGGGCGTCGTGAAGCTTTCATCAGAGGGCATCCCCTGGTGGCAGTGCTTTGGGTAACAGATCATTTTGGTATGAAATCATTACTTGGGGAATGGCAGTTCTGCATCTTCTAGGAGGAAAGCTAATGTGAATGCATAAGGTAAAAACAGGTGAGGTAGTGAGAAACAGCAGCCGGTGTGCATGCAGAGGGCAGGAGCAGTGTGCTGGAAGGAAGCACAGGTGGAGAGAGGAGAGCAGGAGGGGCGGAGAATGTAGCGCAGTAATGGTGCGTCTGAGGAGCCATCAGCCTGCCGTGCTTCCCTGTTACTTGTGTCATAAAGAGGAGACAGAAGCGTTGGGCGTCACTTTAACCATATAGGACATGATAAGGTGTTTGGTTACTAACGTTGGTGTGCACACTGACCTTGCTGTTCCGCAGAGCCAAGCCAGCAGCGTGCTGTTCCATCTAATGTGGAGCTGAAGAGAATTTAAACCATGCAGCTCAGTCACAGAAGTGGTTCTCTTAATATGGCTTTACGTGCTTCATGTACGTGCAGACTTTAAGAGCACAGAATGGCAAATGCAGCCCCAGAACTTGCCTTTGGTGTTGTGTATGTGAGTGTAGTTTTTTCTATAGGGCTAAAGTAGGGTTTGTTCTGTGTTATTTTGGCTAACTGTACTATTTGTGTTTTAAATGGGGTAAATATTGGGAGTGTTCTTCCTTCCTTTCCAGAAGTGACCCCTTCCCCCAAGCAGTGTCAGTTTTGTAGTGTTTGCATTAATCCATTGATTTAATCCAAATGCTATGTATGATTATATATGGTATGTGCTATCTGTATTATGTACAACGCACTGAAGTTTTAAGCTATATATAAAATAGTACATAAAGCTAAAATAACTTAAAGAATGAAGCCCTTGTCTTGTTCATGCTGTGTTAAGCAGGCGTAGTGCTGTGAAAGTGCGCCGTCGGCATGGTGGTAGTGCTGGGCCCTGCCCTCTGCAGGGCTGCTGAGAGCTGTGTTTTGGTACCCTCACTGAGGGAAGCAAAGGGTGAAGAAATATGGGGGTGTTTGGGGCTCTTCTTTGAGAAGAGACGGACCAGGAGGGCGTTTGGTTTGTGCTGATGTCTGGTGGGGATGTGCTGTGGCTGGGCTGACGCGCATTAGGGATTGTCCTGCAGCCCTCCCAGCCTGCAGCTCGGCTGGCAGTGCCACCAGGTGGGTGTTCATGGCTTCCTGCTGCCTGACCTCGCTGCGCTCACCAGGAGACCCGCCGATGGCTCTGGGTGCCATGGCACTGCCCTCAGGCACCTGCTCTGCTCTGCCGCTGCTGCTGCCACCTCCTCCTCCTGGTGCTGCCTTTAACCTGGCTTCTGTCTGCTGCCACCAGTACAATCCATTTTTTGGTTGTTAAGCAATGTTGCTTGTGCTCACAGTAAATAGTCCGGGTGAAAATATCAACATTACTGTCTAAACTCTGCAAGAAGGTGGGAAGGAAGAACTGATCGAAGATCAGTAGGAGTAAAAAATGAATTAAAAATGAAATGAAACGCAAAGGAAGGTTACTGAGCTGGAGTTGTCACTGGGCCTTGAGCTGGGGGAGAGCAGCTCCTCTTGGTTAATGGGAACATTCTTTACGTTACAGGATACTTATATGGGATTTCTTTGGCTTCTGCTGGTCTTAAGAAACAAAACAACAAAGCAAATGTACCCAAATGCCTCTGAAGTGAACCCAGTCTGTGTGTGTATTTATAATTTTGAGTTAAGATAGATGTTAGTGAGCTGCAGTGGCAGAGCTGTACATGTCTGTACACTTTCAATGCACTTCTGTGGTCCAATACCCAAAGACAGGTTTTATTTACATGCTGTACAAATACCCTCAGCAATCAGCACCAGTCCGTGCGCGGGGAGCTCAGACGTCAGTGTATTCGTGGTAGATGCGCACTTCGGACCTCCTGACACTCTGCAGAGACCTGATGCTCTCACTCCTGGTTCTCATATTTGATTTCCTGAACAGCCTTCGTGAGAACGATCTACACATGAAAAAGTAAATGATTGGATCTAGACAAACATTACATGCAGACAGGAACAGTGTCATTTCCTTACAGTAATACAAGATTTTATGTGCAGAGTCATCCAGCAGTTTATCCAGATGGCTGAATGTGAAGGGTATCCTGCACAAGTGGTACGGCAGGAAACAGGTGAAGAACACAGCTACTACAACCCTGATGCTTTGGTTATGCTTTCTCTTTCTGCTCGATGAGCTAATGAACTGTTTGCTCGATTTATAAATGTACCTGGATATGGCAATGTAGCACCCTATGAGCACTATAAGCACCACCATGAAGGTGCAGGTGTTGATGTAAATAACGGCTGTGTGCCACTTGACTCCCAAGGGAGACTTCAGCTTGATGCAGTCGTCGATGTTCCTCCTCGTGGGGTAGCCGTTGGTGAGGATGAGGTTGGGCAGGGCGAGGAAGGCCATCACCACCCAGACACAGGCGGAGAGCACCTTAGTGAAGGTGATGCTGTACATCCTGGAGTCCCCAAAGGGCTTCACAACCTTCAGGTAGCGGTCGATGCTGATGAGCCCGAGGAAGACAATGGTGGTGTACATGTTGGCGTAGAACAGAACTGTTGTGTATCGGCACAGGAAAGAGTTGAAGTGCCACGGTCCCAGCTGGGAGTCCTGGATTATCTTGAATGGGAACGTCAGCGTCATGAGAAGGTCTGCGACCACAATGTTCTTGAGGTAAAATATAAAGCTCGTTTTGTTTCTGATGTGGAAGAAAATCCACACCGCCAGGCCGTTCAGCAGGATGCTTGCCAGGAAGATGACCAAGTAGAGCACAGGAAGGACGATGGTGGTGAACTCATCCTGCGTGGCGTTCCCAGGGGGGCCCACAGAGCGGTTGGGGGCGGCGCTGGCAACTGTGCTCAGGTGCTCCTCTGTGGGGTGAGAGCAGCGTTAGAGTGTTCGTGGTGTCCGGTGGATGAAGAACTCTAGAATGTCACCTCCCTGGGCAGCCCCATGGGCTGCTGCTCAGCCACTAAAAGCAGCAGTCAAATCAGCGCTGCTGAACTCGGTGCATTACAGCACACGGTGTGAGCACAGCGGTGCTGCTTCCTGCTGGAAAGGGGCAGCAGAGCTCTGTCCATCCAGTTACCCAGAAACAGGGCTCTGGAGGGTATCTTTGAGCCTATTCAAATGCTAATTTGAAACTTACTTTACTTTAATTTACTTTTTAATGTAATTAAAAACCACATTCTCTGGGGGTTTTAAGATTTTGTGTACAAGTGTTTGTGAACAAACTGCAGGCTCTTCTACATTATCTCACTTATTTTTTTTACCCAAAATGTTTGCACCTTGTCTTGGCTGGTAAGCCAGGACTGAAGCCCATGGGGCTGCATGTGGCAGAATACTGAAGGCCTCTTTCAAAAGGACTCATCTGAACGTTGGAGGCAGTGTTGGTGACACTGAGCTGCTGTTCCTGACTGTACCTGGTGGCGGTCCATAGGACAGGTTGTACCCCATTATTTGTGGTGTGTTGTCGGCCGAGGTGCCTCAGGAGTCCCTCTGGCAGCCACGGGTCCAGGCCTTGGTGTGGGCAGCACCAATGTTACATTCTGGGGGAAAAATAGAAGTTAGAGGGAGCCCCGGGGCAGCCCTTCAGTGCCAGGGAATCACGGGCACCAGGTACTGTGAGGCTGAAAATGTGGAACCCAGTGTGTGCTGTGAAGGCATGATAATGGTTTGGCATTGCTCAAAGAAATCTGGTGATACCAGTTTGTAAGGCAACACTGCAGATTATTGATTCTTGTATCATGCAAGTGCAGTATTTTTTTCCATGCTTCCTTTTCTGTTTGTTAGTTTTGATAAGAAGACTGCAGCTAAATGGCTCAGGTCTCAGCTGTTCCACTGGCCCTGACTACCTCCCCTACGGGGATGAGCAATGGACAAAACTACTGAGCCCTTGTGCAGATCTGAGCTTGACACAGGAAGGGAACAAGTTCTTTCTTTCAAGGTCCCTTCCAACTCTAAGGATTCTCTGTGACTCTGTAAGTTTCAAATTGTCACTAGGTGGCAGTAAAGCAAATCATTATGTTTTAAAGCTCTGGTTAAAAAAAAAAAAAAATGTAATTCTGCTGTTTTTAAGCTTTTTTCTCAGTTTAGCTGCTTTTTGTCTGACATTGTTTACAAATTCTGGCTCCTAATGAGACCATCGAAAGTAATTTAGGTATTTTGTTTTGTCTTCTGCTGAGAAGCAGTAGTCGTCTTCCTAGGGAGTAAGAAAAGTCCCTATTGCTCTGTTACTGTTGTTTATAATCCACAGCTATTCTTTTTTGCCCAGGAGGCACAGAGATCAAAAGGACAAGTGATTTTATAAAAAGATGCATATCTCTGTCTTAGGCAAATAAGACGCTTATTTCCCTGTTTCTCAGGGCTCCTTTCCTGCCTGTTGCCCGGTCCCCAGAAGGCTCCCTGCTGTCCCACTGCCCACTGGGTGAGGCAGGAACTGGTGGCTGCCATGTGCCCATTCAGTGACTGGGGAATGCTGTGGGGTTCAATGGCACTGGGTCAGGTCTGTGCTTCTTGTGTGCTGTCACTTACTCCAGGTCCTGAAAGGAATTGCTGTAAATCCTGTTACAAAAAGCTCATGAACTTTTCCACCTCTGCCTCCATCCTTCAAGTGAGTATTGTCACAAAGGGGCAGTATGGATCTGACAACATGTAGTGACTGTGAGTGCATCTTTGTGCAGGAGCAGCACCTGCACTCTCCGAAAGTTCCGTCTCTTGACTCATAGCAGAGAATGAACCGATGTTTTTTGGCACATATGAGAAGGGTCCCTGGCTGCATGGTGGTCTCAGCCACTGGCCTCTCCTCCCAGCTTGTGCCAGTCAGTTCCCATTGGCATCATGGGGCTTGCTGTCAGCAGAGATGGGGCAAGCTGAGACTTTCAGGCTCCTGCTCAGAGTGCATCAGGGTGCAGTTCCTTTCCTCACTGTAGATGGTGTTTGTTTTGGTGGGTGCTGTTACTTGGAGCCACAGGGCTGCTGGTCTGAGTGCTGGGATTTAGGCAGTTACCTTGTAGGTGAAAACTGCTGCAGCGGATGGACTGCAGCTGCTCGGACCAGAAACGTTGAAATCACTGTCACAGAGGGCTCTCCCTGCACAGGCACATACCTGACTGCCCTGGGGAGCGGACTGCAGCTCCAGCTTAGCTGTGCCTGTTGCGTGCAATGCTGTCAGCAGCTCCTATGCTTGCTCTGTGATGCATGTGCTTGTGTGCTCATTGTCCCAGTGCCTGCAAAGCCATGTGTGCAGGAGAAGTCCAGCTGATTGCTCACTGTGCTCTGCTGTCCCTTCCAGGTGTAGCAGGGCAGGGGAGCAGAAGCATCCCTTCTTTCACACTTTTCAAGTCAGTGCTTCTTCCAGCAGAACCCATGGGGTCTGGCTCATCCTTGCCCACAGCACTGGCTGTGGGGGAACCCTGCGACATGTATCTTCCTTGCCTCCGAAGGTGTGACTGCAGTCAAACTGCCTAGGGAAATAAAAATCGCCCTGGAAGACAGACCCTGCTCTGTCTTCCTGCAGGCCAATTAGATCGAGCACCTGAACGGATTTCTCTCTGTTATCTTATTGCTAATGCTGTTAATACTAAAACATGTTCCAAAATAAAATAAAATCCCAGCAAAGTGTTGGTTGGCAGAAGAAAGCAGAAAACTCTTCACAAATACTGTCACAGAGCGGTGACTGCTGAACCACATTGGCAGTGCTTTGTGTCCTGCCTTGCTGGCGCAGCTGAGCTCAGCAGCAGCCTCTATGCGTGCAAGGGGTGGAGGATGGAGATGACACCTGCCGAAGGCTGCCCCAGTGATGTGTTGCAGGCTTTCCCTTATGCTGTTGTAATTCTGTAACTTTAACATCACAAGCAGGTTGGTGAGGGCAGCAGATGCAGTCACAGTAGTCTCCACTGCATGGAATTGGTTGTCTGACAAATTTTGGGATACACAAAAATGATCCTGCTTAGATTCAGAAATCTGAAGGTGCTTAGCTAGCTTAATAGACTTTAGCAGGAAACTAAGAAGTACTGGGATAGACAGAGCACGTTCCTTGTATCCCTTGGCTCTGCAAGCTGTGGCTTTTCCAGAAAATACCACTGCATTTCAGACTTGAGGAGTACAAAGAAGGTTAAAGAATATTTTAAGACATTTTGTGATTGTACTCTGGCAATGTGCTCTGGTAGTGACTTTTTTACTTGCGGTATTGGATGTGGTATTTCTGTGCTGGACAAGGTTGGTTTTTAACTCTTCGTCCTGTTCTTCATACTCTTCTGACCAATTTCATCCTGTGTTTCTCCAACCTCCAGCCTGATGCTTCCATAGAAACACGTTCTGTCTGGGTTCTTCTGAAGATGCAGTGGAAGCTATTCCTTTATTTCATGTACATTTTTAAACCAAGTACATACCTTCTTCTCTGTAGCTCGTGCACTTGGCTGGCTGTTTTTTTCTTTCTTTCCCCTAAAGGCTGTCAGTTGCAGCAAATGTAGGTTAAGCACACGCTGTTTCACTGATGAGGTAATGTTCTGCTGCCACTGTTGACAGACTGGTTTACGTGCCTGACTGCGATGGCCTCAGATGAGAAGTGAAGTAGTAGTAGTCTGCACGGTAGATTTCACTGCCAGATGGGTAGAGAATGACTGTATGGTTTTTCTAATGAGTAAGGCTTTGGGTTGCCTCACTATTTGAAGAAATTCAATACCGTCACATCTAATTAATCTTCTTGCATCTCTTATTTACAACTCCTTAAAAGTTAGAAAACTTTCTTTGTGAGGTTGAGCAGAGATTTTGGTTTATAGAGCTGCAGGGCTTTAAGTGATGCTTGGTTACCTGAGCACAGCTGCTCAGTATGCCACTCACTGCATGTCAGCATAAGGTCTGGTAAGTGGCAAAACTAATGTGAGCAGAAAAAACGCGAAGCAGTTTGGTAAATTTGCTCTTGACTGACTGTACTTAAGTTCTTTTCTGTTCCCATCAGAGCAAAATCACTGACTTGTTTAATTGTAAAGATTTGTGAGGGAGAAGAAAAAGCATTAGCGCAGGCCGCAGAGCATTTGTGCATACTGCTGCAGCCAGCTGGCAAGCAGTAGTACAGGGCCTGCATCCCCGCCCTCTTCTTTACCTCCATCCATTCCCTCCCTGCATCATTTCAGCACACCTGGCATTGGGTGCCCACTGCTGTGGGCTGAGTGCTGGTGAGGTCATGCAACTGCTTGTATTTCAGGCCGAGCCAGCTGTACATGTTGGCTGCCTCTGACTGGAACTGCTCCCATGTGTGCTGGCAGGGAGGAGACTGAAAGCACCCTCCCTGGGCTCTGCACTTGCTGCTCCCCATTCCTGCCTTCCCAGGAGGCGTGCAGGCAGCTCTGCGTAAAGCAGACACATTGCCACCCTGACTGAACTTCAAGAGGCTAAGAAACAGGAGCAAGGTATGACTGCAGCTGTGGGCTCCAGTGCCTGGCAGCTTAGTCATACCCAGAAACAGGAACCAGTGCCTTGGCTCAGAGAGCTTCACGTCTGCCTCAGTGTCTAATACAAAACCCACTTCTTGGTTTCTAGGTTCCTCCTGGAAGTTCCCCTCCATCCCAGGCTTCTTTCAGCAGCTGTGAGCAGCAGCCCTGTCTCTGGGCTAGCTGCGGTACAGATTGCTGCCAGCGGGAGAGCTCCTGGCTGAGAGCCTATCCTCTGCTATCCGCTTGTCCTCAGCGAAGCCTGCTGCCAGCCCTGGTGAAGGCTGCACCACACAGCGAGCCGTACCTGCTGTGGGCGAGTGGTCCCTGCCATTGCTAACAGGGCCTTCTGTCCTCACAGCACTCGGCCCAGGAGCTGGCTGTGGGAAAAACCCTCCATAAGCTATTCCTGGGAAAATTAAAGTTTCTCATGTCAGTTGCTCAAGCTTGTGTTAGTCCTCCTTAATCCTTTGCCATAAAGGTAAAAGTACAGCGCATATGTGTCTGAGTATCCAGCTCCATTGCTCATTTCTGCTTTCTGCAGCAGCCTTTGGCATTGCTTTATTGCAGATACTCCTTAACGTCACATTCAGCTTGTGCCTGTAACTCTGTTCTGCTGTACAGTTTCTGGGGGGCCTGCAGTGGGTGCAGCAGTGCAGCAGGATGCTGCAGTGGGAGTCAGTAATGCTGCTTATATGCAAAATTCTCTGTTTGCCACTCTTGCCACCAAATATTAAGTTCAGCAGGGGGTAGGGCCATACCTATAGCATAATGTGATTTCTTTAGTTTAAAAATACATATATATCTATGTATATCTTATTTTCTAAACATCAATTTTGGAATATTTTGTCCAAATGATTTTTTAATATTAATTTCAAGTGAATGATTATGAACCCTAATTTTCCAGTATGTGGGATGTGTCTGATGTGAAGCCTGTTCGGGTTGCTGCCCAAATTATCAAGTTTGTCCTTAATTTTTCTGTCTTTTGAGATCATTAAAAGTTCATGGATTAACATTGCTTACTTTGAGTCAGATTTTCCATGCACAGGTTACGAATCCTAGCAGAGGTTGTTAGTCTTTGGTGTAAGGCTGTCTATTTTGGCAACTCATTTGCTGCACCTAAAGATGCTTGAGTTCTCTTTCCTCTTAAATATGTATAAGGGTTCCTAAGAGATGCTGAAGAAATGCTTTCAGATCTTCAGTTGCATTAATAAGAAGAATATGCATCTTTTGTGATCTGGAATCAGGGTCACAGCTGCCATGTTGAGGATGGGTCCTGCTCTGTTGTGCTGTGCTTTGCAGCTGGCAGACTGGCTATAGTGGTTGGCTGTGTATTGTCTGTAGCACAGGATGGACTGGTAAAGCAGAACTGAAGTTCAGTAGTTCTAAGCCTTGCAGATCCTCATCTCAAATACTGATTGCTGTTTTCTTTGGTTTTGCTCAATGGTAACTTTCTGAAGCAGATACTTTTAGCTCTGCTGAATGTGGGCTGCCGTGTGCCTCAAGGACTGTGGGCACCCAGATCAGTAACTTTTCTGTTGAGATTTTCAGCCTGCTGAACTCAGAAAATGGGAGGGAGAGCAACAGGATCCTCGGCATTGGTTCTTTGGTGGCCAGCATTTTGCCAGTTCTAAAGCAGTGTGGTATGAATTGTTGTGCTCAGGCATCTCTCTTATAGGCTGCAGTTGCTTTTACATGAGGGTTTAGGAGAGAATTGGCAGCAGAAAGGCCCCACACTGGGCTGCAGGTAAAGGGCTGTTGGTGGCAGAGGAGTGAGGTGTTGCAATTCTGATTTTTTTTTTTTCCCCTGAAAACGAAGGGAGGACAATGCAGTGGTTGACACAGTTGGGATAATGAATGTTTCTTGGAATGGCAGCCTCTAATTAAGCAGGGGGAAGGGATTAGCTCTGAAGTGTTTCTTTTGTCTCTGTCTAGAAGATGCTGCTGGGTTGTTTCGCTTGTGCAGAACCTGCTGATAGCAGAAGCCATGCTGTAGCCCATTGAAGTAGCTGTCCCTGAGCCCCTGTTAGGGGCTGCCATGTGAGGTGCAGTCAGGCTGCTGCCGGCCTCGCCATGGCACAGCATGCACTGTTTCCCCTCTCCCTTGTTCCTCCTGCACCTGCCACTGCTTTCTCTCACTCATATGGCAATTAGAAGAGCACCCTCCTTCCTGAGTCTTCACCATCTTCATCCTTGTGCTATTGGCCTTGGCTCCTTCCTCTCTCCACACATTGTTTCTGATCTCCCACGTGATGTCAGCAGGATGGATGGCAGTGATGTGGGTGATGCTGGAGATCAGTTCCATGCCTTTCCCTTCTTGCCGGAAGCTTGTATGTCTGCTTTGCCTTTCAGCTGCCCCTCCTGGGTGCCCACCGCTGTTGTGCTGATAACTGTAGAAATATATATTCTTCTTTCCCCCTCTCCTTCAAGAGGAGGGCCCCATTCCCAGAATCATAGGCTAGGTGAGGTCGGAAGGCACAAATATCTGGAGATGGTCTGATCCAGCTCCCTGCCCAGAGTAGCAGCAGCTGTCTGACTGTCAGAGGGTTCCTGTCGTTCCATAAGCTGTTCCTCCTGTGTGCTGTTATCCCATAGTCAGTCTTCTGCGTGTTAAGAAGCTGTTAGAAACACACTGATCTGGCAGAGAGTGAAGGCTGGTGGCCCTTTGTTGGGGGATGTCTGCTCGAGTGGGCATGGGAGCCTCTGCTGAATAGTACTGCGTTGTGAGTGTGGATGTTGGTTCTGTGCGATGGGAAACAGGATTGAAAAACTTGCAACGGAACTTTAAATACAATCAAGATGTTGTCTAGGTCAAAAAAAGATTAAGGTTTGTGATTGTGTGGCACAGTTCTGGCCACTGCGTGCTGGCCATGTCTCCCAGGTGCTGCAGGGAATGCTGCAAGAAGATCTGAATAAAATGCTGATGCATACATGTAGGCAATGCCAACTGGCGTTTGAAGTCATTCTAGACTCACTTTCAGGCTTTTTTTTTTGTTTTTTTACTTTGCATCAAAATTTCTATTTCTTTTATATGCGGTGCTAGTTCCCGTTACAAAAGGATGAAATCCACATCTGCTGCAGTCAGCTGGGTTTTTCTGTGCTTCAATGCACATTGCTAGCATGGGCTCACCACGTTTGGCAACAAAGCCAAGAAAAGGTACGTGTGGGGAATGGCAGCACTGTGTCCTGTAGGAGCTGCCGGCCCTGTGCCCATGGCGGCGGTGCTGTGTGAGGGTGATGCGGGCCGGGCTGGGCTGCGCTCACTGCTCTCACCTGGGTGTGCCGGCAGCATTTCCCGAGGAAAAGCAAGAAGCAGTGTGCTGCTGTGATGGTGTCCTTTCAGGTTCAGGGTTGATCAGACCTTTAAGCCTGCTCCTCATAGCGCATGTCCTGTGGTTTTATTTTTTAAGAAGATACAGGGATGTGTAATGGCAGGAAGGGCTGAGACAGCTGAGATGTGGGAATGAAGTGCTGAAATCCTGCTGTGCTGCTTTGGCAGCTCTGGGTGAGCAGCTCTGGCCTGGTCCCCTGGCAGGGATGTGGTGTGATGGCAGCAAGGTAGCTGCGGACCTCAATTCCTGTTGGGCGCATCTTCGCCTAGCCCCAGAACTCTCACAAACGCAGCACACCTGGAGTTCTTCATGGCCGGCCTGGGCGTCCCCCCACTGCCTGCACAGGAGCAAAGGGCCGCCTCGGCCGTCTGGGCTGGGAGAGCCCGGCCCTGCCCAGCAGGCTGCGTGCTGCGGGGCTGCGTGCCGGCACAGGCTGGGCCGCGGGCACCGGGTGAGCTGGTCTGCCTGCCGCTGCCGCCCTGCCCTGGGGATGCCCCGGCAGCCTGGGAGGGCACGAGGGTGAGACGGCAGCAGGCCGTGATGGGAGGGAAAGCCGCGGGCGGCAGGCAGGAACCGGCGCAGTGCTGTGAGAGCGGCTGCTTGCTTCCCACGCACCCCGAGTGCAAACAGATGCTTTCTGCCTGAAACCTCTCCCACCCTTTGGCTGCTCTGCCTCCACTGCTCGCTGCACGGCGGCCCTCAGATGGGCCCGAGTGGCTGCTGGCTCCAGTGCCAATGCTCCATGCGTCCCTGTTTGTGAAGGAAGATTGCAAAATCTTCTCTAGATGATGGGACGATATGTGAAACCCTATGAGAGTAACACCGAGCGTGCCCAGTGAGAAAACAGTTTTCTGCGTCCCTATAGCTTGCCTATGGCAACCATTTCTGTAAAATATAAAACCTTTAGTTGCGTTGCTGTTCTCAGTTATTTGTTGCTGAGCATAACCACTTCAATCTGAAATACTTGTTACACGAGAGAGGTCTGTGAAAGTGCCTATCCTGAGCGTTGAGACAGATCCGACACTCGGTGTGAATTGCCTGCTCAGAGCTATGTGGTTTTTCCAGTGAACCGGACAAGTTTTAACATGATCGGAGTGAAGCATGAAGGAAGAGAACCTTTATTCTGTACAAAGTAATTAAAAGAATTCAAGTACGCTTTCCTGTACTGAACGAGGACAAAAGGATCGAATGCAAACCTCGGACAGAGATTCAGATGTTCTGGTTACTGGATCTTACTCGATATGACTTAACCTGTGTCAGGAAGGACGGCATTAAAACCACAAGCCCTCTTGCGCTTTGAATAGTATCTCAGGAGGAATAATTAGTAGAAATCTGTATTTTTCTCTTGGGAGAAAAATAACGAGTAACATTCACCACTGAATTAATACAAGATTGGAAGTTTTCACTACTTGAGACTTCCTCCTGCTTTTAATTTAACTGATCCTCAGTTTATGCTTCTCTGTCTGATTTTTTTTCAGCAACTTTGTCTTAATTCCCTCTTTCTTTTCGGTTAAGGGTGTCTAAGAAAGGGAAAACGTACAGAGCAACCTATCAAAGCTTTTCAGATGGTCAGAAATCACTTACCTGTCCCCGCTGTCGCCCTCCGTTTGTCTCCGAGCTGCATCGCGGAAGTGCCTCAGACTCCTCCAAAATGCATCTTGAGACTAAAAACAGTCACGAGAGTATTTCTTGTGCTAAGGTGGTTAAATAAACCATATCTGGAAGTAAGCTTCTGTGCTTCCAGTCGCCTTTTTTTGTGGTACCTGATCAGAGAGGCAGAATTCACCTGGCCAGGAGCAACTGGAGCAACTGGCTCTCTCATTCCCAGGAATGACTCACATGCCGGGTAGGCAGCGCGCTCGCGCCCGGCTCCGGAGCAGCCCAGGCCTGGGACGCAGCTGTGATTCACCCAGGGGTGGGCTGCTGTCTGCCCCGGGCAGCGCGCTGTGCGCTGCCACCTGTGCAGCCGTGCCTGTGCCTCCCAGGACTGTTTGTCTGTGCAGTGAGCGCAAGCTGAACGCGAGGCTGAAAACTCTGGTGCTGGGTAGATGCAAATACCTGCTAATCAAGATTATCATGTCAGTTATTAATTTGACTGCATTTAAACGTCTTTAATGTTGTGCTTTGAACAGATTCTCTCATCCAAAAGTAGGATGAAAGTGAAATGTGAAGCCTGTAACTAAGTATTTCAGCTAAAATGACCGGACTGCCTGTCAGCTCCGTGCTTCCTGCTGTCCCCGTGCTCTCTGAGGCGGACCCTGGGCCCGCTGCCTCCTGCGGAGCGGTGCTGCCAGTCCTGGTGTGCGTCCCGAGCAGGGGAACGTGGTGCCTGGGAGCACTGAAATGAGCCCTGACACAGTTACAGAAGGGACAGTTTTGCTGTGTGTCAGTCAAGGATGAAGTGATTGATTTCCCATTTCTGTAGCCTTCGTAAATAGAAAACAAATACAGACAGCACCCTCCCTCCATTAAATCTTCAGGAGAAAAATTCATCTTCCAAACTGCACTTCCAGAGCAGGGGCTGCCACATCACATTTCCTTGATTTTTGTGTCTGTTCCGCCTGGACTTCTCCGTGCACACTTTGTTTTCTTTTCCCCCAAGCTGTGGGTGGTGGAACCCCCAGCCCTACTTTTCTGACATCAGAGCCTTCTGCACAGGTTCCTTTGGCAGCTGCCTGGAGCCTTGCTGAGCCAGAGCCAGGCCCACCAGCTGCCATACCCGTGGTGCACTGCTTCCTCTGGCTGCGTGTGCAGGGGAATCCTGCAATCGTTTTCACGTTTCTGCTCTCTGCTCACTCCTGGGCAATCTGTAAGGTTCCTACTTGCCTCAGGACCTTAATCAGATACAGTCCCTGATCACAGGAGACTTTTGACAAGGTTCATCTTTGAAGACCAGCTTTTGCAAGGCAAAACAGATAATGCAAAAGAAGCCGGTAGGGACACAAGTTATACTTCTGCAGTATGTGATCTGATCTCAGGAGCTGGGTATTCCGACATTAACTGGTGGTCCTTGTTGCTTGCATGCAACAATATGGCAAGAGAAATCTACCTCTTCCATTCATTTTTTTCACAACAGATACTCTCTGGAATGTTTGAAAACCCTGAATTCCAGTATCTGGAGTTTGTGCTGCTCTAAGGACCGCTGAGCTCAGCACTGACCAGATGTGTTGGTCGTGCTCCCAGCATTGCTGTGCCTGTGCCCACAGCAGTGGGCAGCCACGTGCTGCTGTGTCTGCTTTGGGACCTCAGGCATCTCCGGTACTGGGAATGTCTTTGGGACCTTAAACAGCGCTGTGGGAAGTACTGTGGGGAAGAGGGAGGAGAAAAAAAGGGAAAAGAAAAGCAATTTTTTAAGGAGATCCAAGTGTTCAGTACTTGGTGTCCTATATTCTTGTTTCCTGAGTGTGGTGTGATTGCACATCAACTTTTCTTTAAAATCTCTGTGTTTTGATATATTAGTAAAGCCAAATGAATTAATAAGCTCTGCTGCAGCATCCCCAGGAGGCTGTTAAATTGAAGAAGCTGTGTGGTGGTTCTCAGGTGGGAGCAGGTCTAGGCAGGTCTGCACACAGAAGGGAGATGCTGTGGATGGAGCTTACGTAAAAGCAGCGCCAACGAGATGTGGGGCTGTGGTACACTGAGACGCCGAGGGCTGACCTGTAACTCTGTCATAACTCAAAGGCTGGATGTCCCTTCTTGTGTTCTAATGGTTACTGAGCAATTCTCGGATGACATGAGAGTCTGAACAACTTTATTACAGTAATTATTGTGTTGCTTTACTGTAAAATTCCTTTACTATCGCATTGGCAGTACAGGCTGTGGGCTTACTTTTTAAGCAGATTAGCCACCCGGATAATGAGAATCACTTTTTCTTTTTTGAGAAAGAGAAAATGGTGGAATTCTGAGAGCTTGCAGCACTGGTGTGACGCCTGGTGTGCCGTGCTCCTGTGTGCAGGAGGTGCTGAGTTCTGGAAATGTCTTGGGAGCCTCCAGCACCTCCTTTCCTAGGTCTGATGCAGCCCCTGCTTGGTGGCTGCCACTGAAAGGCAGGGAGCTAAGAAAGGAGCTAAGAACTCACTTCCAGAAAGCTCGTTTCTTTCTCCATCCTTGTGCTGTGCTGTAGGTCTCTCCAGCTGCACACTCTGGCTGATGATCCCTTCTGGGGCCAGAAGTCAGTTTGAGAGCCTGCAGTCTTCACATGCAACCTGCTGGCCCTGCTTGCTCATGAACAGTCATACGGGGAGTATCCTGGCTGCTGGGCTTGGCTTCCCAGCTCTTATTCACAATGCAAATTTTCTTTCTGTATTCCAAGTGAACTGAAGTATGCCATGTATCACGAGAGCTTTCTCAAAACTGAGTCACAGAAGTGCTGGTGGAGGGGTTTGTATTGGTGCTGGGCACCACTACATGTCAGGACATGTGTGAAGTGCAAAATTTGTCCTGAGATGTTCAGGAATGAGCTTACTGTCCCTCTGATTCAAAATCTGGAAGGCTAAATTGTAGGTGTCTTTGGCAATGGCTTTCTCTTTTTCATAGAAGCAAGTAAACTAATAAATAAAAAGAAACATCCACTAGCCTTTGTGCACCCAAAGAAGATGCATTTCCTACAAAACTTGTCTTCCTGGTGCCCTGTGGTTCCCCTTCTGGAACCCAGCAACCTGTGAAACCTTTAGAACGAGTGTCAGTAGTTTTCATGGGAAACCAGAGCCTGGGAGGCTCATTTGTCCAAACAAGTCCAAGGCCTGCTGCCAGCCTTCCCACTTCTGGGCTGTGGGGGCTTCTCATCTGGACTGTAGATGAGCCAAGCAAATGCAAACTTGGCTGTGAAAAGAAAAAGCCTCGGTGCTGCATCACGATGATGATGGGCTGTGTGTGCCAGGTCAGGATGGTGCAGCTTTGCTCTGTGCTGTGTAACTGCTGTCATACCTCAGTAGCTCCTTTCTGGGTTAAGCTGGGGGAAATTCAGATTTGGAAAAATAGCAGCTGTTGTTCTGAGCATGCCGTAAGCACTGTGGGAATGAGACAGATTCCCAGATGGCACTGAGGAGCCGTGCAGAGCCCCACCAGCGGCCCTGCTGCTGTGCTGCTGCCGGCCGCTCGCCGTGGGGCAGGTCTGAGCTCAGGGCTCACCTCTGCTTGTGGGAGAGATAAAACAGCATTGCGCTGGTTTTTTGAGCCTCAAAAAAGGAGAGATTGAAATGCTGAGGTATTCTTAGTTCTGTCTGGCGGCAGGGATCTAAAAACTGTCAAAACTGTCAGACTATTAGAATTCAGGGGGCTTCTCCTGGAAGCGGATCAATGAGATCAACGCGATGTCCTGTCCTCCCAGTCAGCGAGCATTTCCCTGCGGCAGACCTTGGGAACGGGCTGCTTACTGCCATCCTGAGAGGCTGCAGCAGAGCAGATGACTCAGGCTCCTCGGGAACCTCCAGCACAGCCCTTGCTTGAGGAGCACCCCTGCCCATTTTGTGGCTATGCCCACCCATAGGCACAGGCTGCCGGTGTGCACGCATTAATAGGAGTGCTGTGCTGTGTTCCGAGCAGTAAAACATGCATTTCTTCAGGCAGTTGCTAAAGCAGGGAGTGTTTTAACAGCTGAGAATTTAGTATATTCACTTTAATTAAAGTAGCCAAATTAATCCTCTTAAACACTGTGGGTGGGGGGGAGAGAGAAATTAATTCCTGAATAGTATTTAATCCTGAGAAGGCACTATTTGAGAAAACACTGATCTGTAGAGCAGTGCAGAACCAATTGGAAGCTGGCTGGGGATTAGTTCAGTTTCCAGTTGTAAATGAGTATTGCATTAAAGAAAGCACCACTGTGCCTAGTGGAGGAGATACAATGAGCTGAAATTGCTGAGTGATGCATCCAGCTGTGTGGTAGAGACAGGGAGTCCTACAGACACACGTAATTATATGCAATAATCTAAAGACAACTTTGAAAAAATCAAGCTCTATGGAGCAACCTGTGCGAGTGCATTATGCTGCTGTAAATAGACAGTCTAAAACCAGCAATTGAGTGGTAGTCATAGCATCTGGCATATGAGGTGAGCACCAGACTGGTAAGAGCCTGAGAAGGGTAGTTTGCAATAGGGCTGGTGCGTCTCAGCACGGCACTGGGCTCTCCGGGACATCTGGGCATGGTGCTGGGCTCCCTGTGGTGTAACCAGGTGGGAGTGCCTTGAGCCCGCACTGTGATGTGATGGGGCAGGAAGGGTGGTGGGGGCACAGGAAGCAGTAGGGGGGTGGCAGGGATACACTGAACAGTAGGGGTGTAGGGGTGTCAGGGGAGTTACAGCGAGCAGCAAGGCCGATGGAAGGGAACAAGTGGTGGTGTTTTGCTGTGTCTGCTTCTGCAGCACCACGTCGCCTGAGCAGTTGCCCTTTGCAGTCCTGGGGCCTCTGCTGGCCCAGCCTTGGCGGCTGCTCAGGAACTGAGGTGCTGCAGAGCCACAGTGCCCTCTGCTAACTTCTCTTAGGGGGGGAGAGGAAGGGTGAGGAAATGGGTAGGCGGCAGGAAGGTAGTTGTGTCAGAGGTGGGTAGGGACAGGGAGCCTGGCCTCCTTCCCTCTGCCAAGTGTGGTTTCTCTTCCCCACTCCGTGCCCTGCCAGCCAGCCTGGCGCCGGGGTGAGATCTTCTGGGTTTTGCTCCAAATAAAGCTTAATTGTTAGAAGCAGCTGTAGCCACTGAGCTGTGAAGTGTTAATAAGAAACGTTGTTTTTTTTGCTTGTTTTGTGTGAAGCAGATAAAGTTATGCCATAGCTTGTTCTTAAGTGATATGAAGGTACTCTAATTCATAGACAACCATTTGTACTACGTGGAGTGGATGTGATTTATCGACCAAATCAGAAAAGCTTCTGCTCTTGTTACCTGCACAGCACCAGCAGTGCGGGGCTACAAGCTGATCAGTGTTATGCATCACTGATGCGGGCAGTTCAGAATGATGTGGTTACAGCTGTGAAGTCGTTAGTGATCTGAAGCGATACACGTCTCTGTGATATGAGTGCAGTGGCACTGTGGCCAGGCGGGCACATCTCAAACACTGCTGGGCTTCCCCAGCTTTGGTTACTGATGGGGTGTCAATGAGAAAGGGAACAGCTTGGGGAAAGACCTGTGTCAGATCAGCTGGCAGTTTGGGGGGGTAGCTTTCCACCTGTCGTGGTAAGGAGTGAGCATAAATATGGAAATCCAGCCTGCCCTTTTATTAAGCATTACAGCACCACCATCCTTCAGTTTTCTACAGCAGCAGTGAAACAAATTTCTTAATTTCTCCGTGGATGTACAAAGACTCCAGAGTGCAAAGCTACAGAATCAAGATTCGATGGCCAAGGTTCCTGCGTCCAGTTCAGTTCTTGGGTTTGTATGAACTGTTCTCTGAAGTGTGTTTACTTTCCCACATAGCGTTTTTGCTAGGAATGGTTTGCACAAGAACACCTGTATCAAAGGCTCCATGCAGGTGTTTGTGGCAGCTAGCCAAAGAGTGCTCTCCTTAGCAACAAAAAGCTGATTCTGCAGGCAGCAGTCCATCTGGGTTGTCGTTTGACTCAGCATGTAGGGAATGGAAGGGGGCAAAGCAGAAGAACACAGTGAAAATGATGAATACTTTCCCCTTGACCCTTTGTTTCTTTTTGCTTTCTTTCTTTCATGTTTTCAAGTAAGACTTGTACACCTTTTTGGCAATAATTACATAAAATAGAAGCATAAGAATGAGGACGGCCCAGAAGACAAACTGGCAGATGTAATCAACAGCTTGAGTCCAAGGTAGCTCTTCAGTGAAGCACGCTTCTTCACCAGCTGTGGTGTTGCTTTCTTGTTCAGTAGGATCATGTTTGGCACAGAGAGAACCAGGAAGAAGAGCCAGACCAGACCCATGAGGATCTTTGCTGAACTTACTTGTTGCACCCAGAACTTCCCGAAAGCTCTCGTGATCTTGAGAAACCTATCAGAAGCAACGAGTCTGTGGAGCACTATGCTAATATACATGGTGTCATAAAATATTATGGCTGAAAAGCAACAGACAAAGGCCTTCAGCTGCCATGGTCCCAGGCCAGTGTCTGTTAGGATTTTCAGGGGAAGCATCAGAGTCATTATAAGGTCAGATACTAAGTTATATTTCAGGTAGGCAATGAAAGTTGATGTACTTGGAATATGGAAGAAAGCCCAAATAGCCAGGCTGTTCAGTGTGAGTCCCAGCAGGAAGACAAGCAGACAAGCATGTAGAGCACTGGGAAGACCAGGTGGGTGACTGCGGTGTCGCGGTGGCACAGTGCTGACTCTGCTGGAGTCACTGCTGGTACTCCAGTTTGCAAAGTCCCCCATTTTTCAAAATAGACTTGGATAAAAAGGGGAGAGACGATGTAAAGTATGACAGTTTGTATTCAGGATGACACATTCCTCATTATTATTATTAGCAGGTTTATACAAATGCACAAAAAGTCTCTCAAATGTGCATTAAACAAACTGACCAACATTAAATGTAAAACTTTGTCAAGGGTTGTTTGCAGAGTAGTGAAGAGTTGAAAGGTTATAACAGTAGAATGTCCAGAGAACCATTTGTCTTTACACGGAAATGTATTCTAACACGGAGTAGAGATTTTGTGGTTGTGGTTAAAAAGCCCCCCAGGTGCCTCTGGGAAAGCGAGTTCTGGCATTTCTTACCCAGCACACACAATTCTTCCTTTATCAGCACAGATTTTAACATTTTTGAGAATAAGATGCACCTGCTGGCTGTCAGCCTCACATCTGCAAACGAGACACCTGAGTGCTCCACCACGCCACGGGAACACTGTGAGAGTGCAGATACCTGACACAGCTGGCAGCAGGAGGGTCTCTGATTATGATTATCTGGTTCCTTTGTAGACAGGAGCCTGGAGCAAAGTTCTAACAGCGAGGAAATGTGTAAAAAGAAGAGACTTTTTCTGCTGGCAGTGGTGTGTCGTTTCCTTCCCGATTTTCATGTATCACCCAAGTTACTTAATTATGTTTTTTGTTGCCTTTCTGTCTTCCTTTTGTTCTCTGTCAGGAAGAACTACTTTCTCTACTGACAAAGGAAAAATTACCACATCTGTGAAGACAGGCATGCCTTCTGGATTTTTGTTTGTGTGGAGTGGCTACACTGTGCTGTAGATGTGCGTGCAGATGTCAACAGTAATGTTGGGCAGAGAGGGCAGAGCCCCCGGAATGGCAGAGGTGAAGGTGGCCTTTCTCACTGTCATCATCCTGATGTGTCCCTAGCTGCCTGCCCTGACTTCTGGTCATGCACCAGGACTACGTAAAGCTGAGGTGGTTCATTGCATGGTGCTGATTTCCAAGGCAGAGTCATCATGTTTTCTCCTATATCTTGATGCTGCTCCCAACTGAAGAGGCGGGTACTGTGTGCCTGTGTGCAGCGTCAGTGACATCCGTGTGGTACACAGAGAGCTGCAGTACCTACTGTTTGAACACTCCAGCTCATCAGGAGAGGCATCTGCCAGATAATTGCCACTTTCTCTCCACATGTGGGTGCAAGAAATGTGGGCAGTGTGTTGGGAATCTTGCACGTCCCTCCTGGCCCCCAAGCAGGTGCTGAAAGCATGCAGTGAAGTGGCTGCATGCTGGTTCTAGGGAAATAACAGCACCGTGTTTTTGATGCTGGAGTGTACAACAGCGAAATCTGTGCACAGGAGGCTTTGTGAAGTCCTTGATTTGTGCTGACAGGTTATAGGAGATGCATTAGCTCCAAGACTGAGTGCTGACATGTGTGAACTGTGTTTTAATGTTTTAGGAAGTTGGATATCAGTCCTGAAGACTCCCTGTGCCCCACCAAGGGGCAGAAACTGTCAGAGAAGGGTAGACAGGACATTGGGTGGCTGGTCTGCACACTTACATGGTGGTGGCACATGTTTCTCAATGGGAGCTGTTTTGCAGTGATGATAAATGAGCCCTAATACATTGCATCAGCCTTGGGTTTGTATGGTGATTGTTCCTGACAATTCCAGCCTGCTTATTCTCGCTTTTCCAAATGAAGAGAAGTGGTTCAAATTGTTGTTTAGTGCAAGAAAGCAGTCCTTAATGATTAGTAAAGATTTTACCGAGTCTTTTTTTCCCTGAGATCTAAATATTCTGTAAATCAAGCCTTTGTGCATTTTTAAATGTAATGTATCTTTCTCTATAAGAGTTATTTTTTTTATCTATGAAGGTGAAATATTTGAAGATTGAAGTTGCATTAAGATAAGCCTGACTATGTAGTTATTTTCCGTGATGTACAACTACTGATTTTTGGTCAGTGGATTAAGAATTGCAAGCATATACTGAGATAAGCAAAACGTTACGCTGTTATCAGACATCTGCACAGGCAAATAGCTTACTTACAGATGTGCTGCATTTCTGTTTGTCTGATGATTGCATGCTAAGTGGCAACTTCCCATACTGAAAAGCTACATTTGTTATGGGGTTTATTTACATCCATTCCTTTGTTGTCACAGACTTTCCTCTGGCTCAAATTAAGCTGTTTCTGCAAAATCTCTGTAGTTCGTCTTCTGTTCGGTAGTGTTCTGTGACTCTGGTTTAATATTTTCTTACAGCTCCAACTATAAATTCAAACTTTTTCCCAGCAACTCTGTCATACGTGGAGCCTGTGAGCAGATGGTGCTCTTGTTGTATTCAGTTGTTCTAATTTTTGTCCTTTCTGCAACTGGTGATGTTGGTTCCATGGATCTGTGTTTCATCTGTAGGGCAGTTTGTGAAGGTGCAGGTGCAGGATTCTTCTGCTCCCCCTGCCCCCAGGGAAACGTACATGGCCAGGCAGGGGCGTGGGTGGTCCTTTGTGCTAAAGTGGGGTATCGTCAGTGTCATCTCTTTCATTCTGCCCCGCTATCTGTGCTCCGAGTTCTGGCGATGCGGTGTGCTTGCACAGCATGCCTAGCAAGGACTTTCGAAATGACTTGCAAAGGAAGAAGTAAATGAATGGATCTAGGCAAGCATTTAGCGATGTCAGCCACAGCGTGCTCTCCTTTAAGTAAAACAGGGTGTTCATTGCAGAACAGTCAAAAACATTTCTTGTTTGGCTCAAAGTGTAGGGAATTCTGGTAAAGTGGAATGGCACAAAACAAATAAAGAACACTGCGATTATGATAAAAACCTTCAGATTTACAGATTTTCTGGATGGTCTTCCCGTGCATCTTGTCCTCTGATAGGACTTATACAATTCTTTGCTTATAAGTATGTAGCATACAACTATGACTAGTAAATTAACCCAGAAGATAAGCTGGCAGATATAGTTTACGGTTTCATGCCAGACTAAGCCAAACTCAGATTTCAAGAGAGCACACTTTTTTACGTTCTTAGGTGTTTTTTTCTTGTTTGTTAGAATCATGTTGGGTAATGAAAGAGTAAACATCAATATCCAAATAGCCATGGAGAGGATCTTGGCACCTAGAAGGCTCCTTGTGGTTGATGTTCTGAATGGCGAGGTGGCTTTCTGATAGCGATCGATGGTTATCAGCCCGAGAAACAAGATGCTGATGTACATGGTGAAGTAAAATACGACTTGGCTGACCTGGCACACAAATCCTCTCAGCACCCACGGTACCAACTGTGCGTCGCTGAGGATTTTAAATGGAAAAGTCAGAATCATGAGGATGTCAGAAATGACAGTATTCTTGAGGAAGATGATGAAATTGGATTTACTTGATATTTTGAAGAAGATCCACGTTGCTAGGCCATTCATAGTGAGACCCACCAGGAAGAGAAGAGTATAAAGCAGAGGGAAGATGACCTGTCTGATTCTGTTATCACTGGTGCAGTTGCTGCCATTGATAGAGTAGCTGAAGTTGCTTGTGGCTTTTGTTTGCATTTCGTCTTTTCCACCCTCCTTCTAAAAACAGAAACAACAAAAGAAGAAGAAAAGTAAAAAATAGCAAAGCTGGAGATTTTGCCTTTTATGATTTCAGTCTTCTTAGTCTATTTTTCATTTTTATACAGGGAGTATTTCTGTTGGACTTTGCCACCTGCGCTGCTTTCCTCTGAGGATGCTAGGTTGGAGCAGGCAGTGCTGGGCATGGCCGTGCCAGGGGCTGGTCTGGCCGGGCTGAGGGGAGCTGCTGTCCTGGTCTGTTGGGTCCCTGCCTGGCAGGGGCTGTGAGGAGGTGTGGGATAGGATGGGCAGAGGTCTGCTGCTGTGATGGGCTGTGGGACTGCCAGCTCCACCTGGCTGCGCCTGCTCTGCCATGTGGGGCCTGCGGCAGGGACTACCTGAATGGTGTCCTCTGAGCCCAAGGAGAAAGGGCAAACATCGCTTTCCACGTCCTTCTTAATGTGGGAAAGAGGTGGCAGCAGAGCTCCTTTTGGGTGCACGTTTGGTAGAGAGAGGCCAATGTAAAAGTAATTCCCTTGTTTCTCTTGCCCTGACTGTCTGTGCCCCAGCCCTACTGTCGGACACCTTCAAGGCCCTCTCTACCATTCCCCCACACACCCCCCAGATGCAGGGATGGCTTGCAGGTTCCTAGTGTGGGTTTGGAGTCAGGAGACAGCTGTGGCAGCCGGGCATTGCAGGCTGCCTGAGAGAGGGGGCTGGTGGGTGCCCTGCGGCTGAGATGTCAGCACTCAGACATCGGGGTGTTACTGCGGCGGATGCACGTTTGCCAGCATGGTCTGTGAAGGCTTTTGTAGCTTTACTTGTATAGGAATTAATTTACAGCACCACAACTGGTTTTTCCTGTCACTTTTCTAAACCAGCTGTTCTATCCAACGTGGTACTGCAAAAAGCACTGACGACCCACGGTGTGGAGCTGTGTGGCATTGCAGGTGCCATCAGCACGTGGAGCTGGCAGCCGTGCTGTGCCTGCTGTGAGAGGCGGGTGGGTCTGTGTGTCCTCAAAGGGGCCGCTTTCGGGTGCACAGTGATGCCATTGTAGTGAGTGCAGTTGAGTGGGGTGAGCTCTGTCTTTGAAAGCAAGGTCAGCCAGCACCTGAGCATCCCGACACGGCCCTCACTGAGCTGCCAAGTTTCTTTTCTATCGATAAGGGTTTGAGAGGAGTATTAGAATCTGCTTTTGCCCTGAAGTGCGTGGCAGATCCGGCTGCCACGTCCAGTCCTAACAAAGCAAGGAATTGCCAGGCATGCAAGATCAGAAAACAAGCAGAAATCAGAGAGGGGGTTACCGTAGCGTGCTGTGGAGCAGCGCTGCTGCGCTGGGTTGCTGCGGTTCCTGGTGCTGCAGCGGCTCTCTGTGAGTGCCTGGAGCTGGGGGGCCTCAGCTGCTGCGGTCCCAGGGCTGCTGCTGTGCCGGGGCCGCTGGCGTGCAGGGTCTGGCTCCTTAGCCGGGAGGACAGCTGCTGATCCCAGGTGACGCCATCAGTGCTTCTGCTTTTGTTTCCTCCAGAACGGAGAGAGAAATAGAACTTTCTATATAATTAGAGGGTTACTTCCTGCTTTTGACCTACGAATAGAGCTGCTATTTTTAAGGGAGATTGTATCATGTATTTCATAAGCCGGCACCACTTTCCTGAGCGTGGAGTTGTGCTCCCATCTCTGTGTCTTGTGATTTGTGTGCAGGTATTTGTTATTACTTTTGTGCGCAGCCCTCCTTGTTTGAAAACTGAGTGGTCTCATTGTGTAAAGAGAAGTAGTGATTGGAGAAGGTGATTTTATGTTATAATTTTAAAATATTTACACCTTTTATAATTTGCTGAGCAGTTCTTCCAGTTTTAAAGTTAAAGCATCAACTCTGTGTGGTACATGGTAGTAGAAGACTAAATGTAACTAGAGTTTCAGTAAACTGCACGCACGTCATTTTCTTTTGGATTTACAAAATACAGTCTTAAGAGTTGGATGGCTTTTTAGTGGAGTTGTACATAGAAAGAGAAGTGAGGAGCAGCTGCTGGACATGTGCTCTGCGCGCTCAGTGCTGCCTGTCGTGGGGCTGGGATGGACATGGTGTGCATCTCCTGGCCCTGCCTTTGTAGGTCCCTACGGGATGTGTAGTACCAGATGACATGTATTCCCTCTGTGTTCTGAACCTGGCTGTTCAGCGATTGCACTTGGTGCTGTTTCCTCCCCAGTGATAGTCAGAGGAAATGCTTTTTGCAGTGAAATGTTCATTATTGCTTGTTGCAGTCTGGGTTCTGCAAGTGATGACAGAACAGTGATAAGAGACTTCACTCCTTCTGCTCTTTTCAGGATGAATCTTCAAGTCATGAGTGTAACCAGCGCATGATTCTCCTCTATGGTGTTGGCAAGGAGCGTGATGAGGCAAGACATCAGCTGAGGAAGATTACCAAAGACATCCTGAAGATTCTGAATAAGAAGAGTACTACTGAAACGGGTGGTAAATGCTTTTGCACTGCTGTCTGGTTGCCCGTAGCAGAGATGATGGGAGCTGTGCAGCCCCAGCATGAGGTGCAGCCTGCTGCCCTGCCCTGCTTAGCATTATGGCAGCCAGGCTGTCTGCACCAGAGTGGGGATAAAGCCTGGAGTTTGGTGCTCTGGCCAGGCAGTAATACGCATTGCTTGCCTTCCTAGCAAAGCAGTGTGACCGTTTTTCAGTTGTTATTGAATATCACATTTTTTGCACTAATGACCTTAAAGTAGCTTTCACATTGTTATGTGGAAAACTGAGGGAAGAAGGATTTTATGTAGTCATAAGTGATGTTTTTTCTGTTAAATGTCTTATAAAGCGATAGTAATGCATAGCTACTAGGGCTCCATTAAATATAAAATGACCAAAATAATCTTTTATTTGTTAAGTTGGGGATGAAGGGCAAAAAGCCAGGAAGAACAAACAAGAAGCATTTCCAACTCTAGAGACTGTGTTCACAAAACTACAGCAGCTGTCATATTTTGACCAACATCAGGTGACGTCTCAGGTACTTGCCTTGTATAAAATTGTAGCCTGTTGTGTTCTGCTGTAGAGTTATCAATTAGGGGACAAATCTGGGTTTTTAAGAAGTGTTTTATATATGCTAGGAGTACCACTGCTTCTTTTAAGGTAAGAGAAAAAAGTGCTGTGTTGGTATTTTAAAATACTGCTTCTGTGGGTATTTCTTTGTTTTGTTGGGATGCTTTTGTTTGCTTTTACTGTGTTTGTGTGTTTGTTTGCAAGAAGCTTTCGGGGTTTTTATAGATCTGATTTTTTTAATTGAAAATTTGGAAGTCAATTTTATGTTTCAGTTAACAGCTTTGTCAGGGCTCATTGGTAAATTAGGTCTTATCAGCCAATCTCTTGCATATGTGTAAGGTCTGTTCCTGCATTTGTGTGAAGGATGCTGAGCTCATCTGCGTGTTTGTGCAACGTGTTGAGTACTTCTGTGGAAAACAGCTGGATAATACAGTTTGTTCGTCCCTTGCTGTTAAAACTGGTACTCAGCCTTTGCTATTAACAAGCTGTCTTAGCAGCTGAATGGAGATCAGAAATAAGTTCCCTGGGATGGCATGCTTGGTGCTCCTGGCATCTGGCAGGACTCACGTGCCAATATCTGGGCACAGGCTTTCCTCACTTCCCGTTGGTATTGTTTCAAAGTGTTTCTGATATCCCAAGGCCAGCCTAGGAAAAGACTAACAGTGAATGACTGGTATTTAATTTATAACACATCTTCAGTGCTTTTCTTCTAAATGGATTTATTACACGTTATGTTCACAGGGTGAAGTGTGAGTTGTTATCACTGTACAAAAATCACAGTTCCATAGGTTGAAAAAAAAAGATTTGTCCTCTCTTTGAAACAAAAATTGCATTTTAAAAGTAGGTATTTGTCAAGAGGAGTTTGACCCTCAGCTGTAAAGCAGCAGGCCAGCATTTTCTGCACGATCGTTGTAGAAAATATAGCAGTATTATAACTGACTTGCAGAATAGTAGAGTAACATATAGACTCTGTGGTTGTGCAGATGACATTATTTGTTAGTGCTGTTATCTACAAAGTGCTGTCACTTGCTATTAGCAGTTACAAAGCAGGATTTTTGGAGCGCTAGTGTGTTTGAGAGGCCCTTGGATGTCATACAGCCTTTCAACATTTATTTTCACAGATCTCCAGCAATGTTCTCGAACAAATAACTAGTTTTGCCTCAGGAACATCCTATCACCTCCCCTTGGCTCACCACATACAGCTGATCTTTGATCTCATGGAACCAGCACTGAATATCAACGGACTGATAGACTTTGCAATACAGGTACAAAGAGTTTGTTTTATGAACGGACACACTGGGACACAGCTGTGAAACACATAGTGTGAAACCAGAAGGAAGAAAGTGCTGTACAGCACATTCTCCTGATTTGCTGCTGTGTGCTTTTCTCTATTTCAGTTTCCTAACCTCTGAAACAGCGTGCCAAATACTTCCCCTCCTGCCTGTCTTTGACTGTTACAGGCAAAGGCTAGCTGTATTTTTTTTTGGTAATTAATAAAACTCTGGATTATTTTAGCATAAAATATTTTCATACGGGCTTCACAGTTTTAGGCTCAAGCATCTTGTTACACAGCAAAGCATTTGCGTGGCGGAAATGCTGTTTGCTTCTGAAAAACAGTTCTGAGGAGCACGTTCTGTACTTCACAGTTTATTTGGCTGCCTCTTTCCCTCATTCTGTGGCAAGCAAGGAATTCCATTTTGGTTTGCTGTTTAGTTTTCCCTTAATTGGTGTTTTCTAGTCCCTATTTTACATGTCGGAAGTTGTTCTCAGTTGATTGTTCTGCTCTATGTTGTCAGCTGCTGAATGAGCTGAGTGTGGTGGAGGCAGAGCTGCTGCTGAAGTCGTCCAGCCTGGCAGGGAGCTACACCACGGGGCTGTGTGTGTGCATCGTTGCCGTCCTGCGGCGTTACCACGCCTGCCTCATTCTCAACTCAGAGCAAACTGCACAAGTCTTTGAAGGGTTTGTGGCAGCTCGTTTTCCTGAAAGTATTTCTGTTGTTATTTTTAAATAAAATATGTGTTTAGGTTCAGGTGGAGAGACTGAGCAGTGCACGGTGCTGCGAGCTGCAGCAGCAGCCCTTGCTGGAAGGCTGCAAGCCAGCTCAGAGCCATGCTCAGCCTGGTGTGAGGTGGCTCACCTCTGCAGCCTGCTCCAGCCAGTGGGACCTCACCCTTGGCAGCACGGCAGATGGTGGGAGCTGCGTCTTGATTTGCTGCCCTCTTGCTCAGTTGTGCCCTGGGCTCCCCAGTTTCTCTGTGTCCCCTCCTCTGGCACCCATGTGAGCTCACAGGTGACACCAAACTTCACATGGGCCCCATCAGTCTGTGCATGCAAGGTTTGCCATCACCCTGCCAGCAAAGGTTTTGTGACATGTAGTGATATGAGATGTGTTGGAATGAACTCAGAACTGTTTCATCTTTGCAGGTTGTGTGGAGTGGTGAAGCATGTTGTTAATCCCTCGGAGTGTTCCTCCCCAGAAAGATGTATTTTGGCCTACCTCTATGACCTGTATGTGTCCTGCAGCCACCTGCGAAGCAAGTTTGGAGACCTCTTCAGGTGAGTTCTACTGGGATTGTTCCTCGCCTGCTGCAGACTCCTGGGCTTTCGTTCCAGTTTGCTTTCCATGGAAAATGCACCGCTGCCTTTGCAGCTTTACCTTTATGGCTACAGTCCTGCTGCCCAAGCTCAGTGCAGTGCAGGGACCCGAGCAGTGCTGGTGTAGGTGCTGCAGCTGCCCTGGAGGAGCAGTGGCAGGGACCTGCTCATGCTCTGCTCAGCAGCACAGCGAAGGCGTGGGGCAAGGCAGGGGGCAGTGTGCTGCACAGCTTTGAGCCTTCCCATGCCTCCACTTCTCAGGGTTCAGTGGAGCTGATTTGCTGCAGCGTAATGCTAATCTGTAATGCTTTAGTGATTGGCTGTAGTACTTACAGTGCTGGACAGAAAATAACAAAATCTCAGTTGGCACAGCTCTGTCATTCTATTAAATATTTCTTTGATGTGGTGAGAGACACAAACATGTTTGAGTTTGTGAAGTTTTGTGCTCCATTGTTCAGTTCCTTGATTTTTTAATTAAAATAATATTTTAGATAGCTGTATGCTGCGTTTTTGGCTCTTACTTTTTAAAGGGGGATGGAAAACCTTTAATATGCAACTATATGTCTTGTTACAAACCATCTGAGTTACTGTTTCCCCTCCTAAGTTATACACCTGGATTTGGGCTGTGTGTTTCAGATTTGTGGTTTTTGTTTCATGGTGAGCAAGAAAAGAGTTCTCAGTAATAACTTTTCAATGAGTTTATGAACGTGTGGTAATAGTAGTATTTAGTTTGAGAAACAATAGGAAAATGAAACTAAAGAACTACAGAAATGTATTGGATGTGTGGTCATTCTTCTACCTAAAATCTGAAGTTTGCTAATGCAAGAAACATCCTACCCTGCAACAGAAATTCAAAATGTCATCTAATAATCCAGAGAGATTTGGGATATAAGATCACCCAGTAATGTAGTTTAAAGCCCCCTTTTCAGGTAAGCGGAAATTCTGTGAAAACTGGCAGTAAAATTTATGCATATGTTTCTTAAGCAGCTGTATATCGGATGGTGTTGCATCACTGCTTTTCTTCTTGGTTTCCTTACTGCTATTAAAACAAAACCAAACCCACTAACCTGCACCAGTAACTGCTTTAGCAGCTTTTTAGCATGCTGTAAGTCCTGTGTTTCTCTCTCTCTACATCAGTTTGAAGGGGCATTAAAATACGGTTCATAAATGTACGAATTTTGAGACTTACCTTCCTGACATTGCAGTGCTCTGGTGATGACTTATGATTCCCTCTGCAGTATTTCTCAGCTGGGTTTTACTTGGTGATCTGCATGTTTTAGTTTGGTATTGTTAGTGTGTTTAATCACATTCACTAAACTTTCCTTAATAAACGATTCATTCACTTTTTGACAACTTACAAGGAAAGCCTGTGGTGTTTGGTAAGTCATTGCCATAAGGAATACGTGTGTGCTCCTTTCCTGGCCACTCACAGTCTCAGTGGATGGCACAGAAGCTACTTACCAAAGAGGGCTTTTGAAGCTTGTGGTAATCAAGCTAGGACTTGATGATCCCACCGTGTCCAGTAACGTTTGTGCAGAGTACCTCTATTTTTGGCAACTCTCTCTGTTTTGGTCCTCAGTAGTGCCTGTTCTAAGGTGAAGCAAACAATATACAGCAATGTTCAGCCTTCAAATTCCAATCTGCTGTGGGACCCGGAGTTCATGCTAGATTTTATTGAGAACCCTTCTGCTCACAGCATTAACTACTCAATGCTGGGCAAGATTCTGAGCGACAACGCAGCCAACCGCTACAGCTTCGTCTGCAACGCTCTAATGAATGTGTGTATGGGGCACCAAGATGCAGGAAGGTAAGGGAAACCTTCTGGAGTTGGAACTGTATGCATCTTTACATGGCACACATGAGATTTCTTTTCACCTGTTTGGTTTGTGTCTCTGTTGCAATAGTTTTCATTCATTACTCTTTCTGATTGCTGAAAATGTATTTAGTGAGTTTCCTTGAAGTGACATTAATTAAATCAACCTGCATAATTTAACAGAAAGGAGTAGCCAGTAGGAGCTGCTCACTGTAGGGTAAGCTGGAAGCTGTAATGTCAGCAGATGTGCTGTTCTGGGTAGGACAGCTCAGTGCAGCCTTTGCCCATTAGATGCCTGCAAACGAGGGAAGATTCTGCATTAGATCATTTCCTTATTATGCAATCTGTGCTTAATTCATTAAGTGTGCCTCCAGCAGGGCTCCAGCCATCGGAGTGTAGGGTGGCATCAGCACCCCAGCAGGTTGCCCAGCTCTGTCTGCCTGTAGCACCAGCAGGATCCAGCTCTTGTTGCAGTACAGTGGAGTTTGGTCTGATCCTGTGTGTCACTGCTGGACCTTACAGCTCTTAGAGCTTTCTAGGTGGTCTCACTACATGGAAGAAGTGTAGTGAAGAACCGCTGCAGTAAAATTACTAACGGTGGTGTAGAATTTTACATCACTCCTTCCTCTGTGCATCACCTCTGTCTTCTCGTGCAAAAGCAGCACTGTGGCACTAAAGCTGCCTTGCTCTGTTTTCCAGTTGTGCAGTCCCTGGTATAGGATGAAAGGAGTGCTAGTTTGGGATCTAGTCTTTATCCCTGTCCCCAGCACCTTCATTCCTATTAAACAATGAAAATTACCAGACTTTGCTGTTCCAATAGTGTTCCAATATGTATGAAGATAGTCCTGATAGTTAGGCCTCGTTGCAGCAGAAGCCAGCCATCAATGTAAAGGCTGCTGGCAAATCACAAAACCTGAGGAAATGGGGAATATTTTTCCTTTGGATCGGCTCCTGCCCAGGGTGTGTGCTATACCAGTGCCTTCCTCCCCTTTCATGTTCTAAAGGCACCTGGGGAACTTGGGGCATCCTTGGCAGAGAGGAGCAGCTGAGACAAAGCAATTCTGTACACCAGCAAAGAGGAAATGTGTCCAAAAAAGTTTTACTGTGGAACGGGGGAAAAATAACTTGTGCTGAGCTGAGTCAGTTCTGCTCTGTTTTTAAAAATGTCATTTAACTGAGTCATACACTGAATCACACATTGCTGAATATGCAACTTTGAAACTGCATGGAATGAAATTCATAGAATCAGAAATTCAAGAATCACCTGAGTTGGAAGCGGCCTTTAAGGGCCGTGTGGTCCAGCTCCCCTGCAGTGAACTGGCACATCTACAGCTCCATCAGGCTCTCAGAAGAACTCATTCATGCCGTTTAATTTTCTCTCTCCCTGCTCCCAAGCAGTAGTGCTGCCTGGCACAGGGCGAGCTGACCAGGGGGTGGGGTGAGGAGCACTGCACGTCCTGCTTTCTTGTGGCATGTTTGCGTGAAAGAGATCATTGCTGCTGTTTGCAGAGCAGTGCTGAGGAAAGGCAGTGTGTCCAGTGGGCAGGAAAGCCAGTATTGATGGGGGTATACAGCAGGGTTTGCACAAAATAAAGGCCCCGTGGTAGATATATGCATGCCATGGGCTGCTAGTCACGTATTGTTTCTTCGGGGTGCTGCGGTTGTCCACAGCTGGATAGCATAAGATTATGTGCAGCATAATCATATTTGGCCATTACCAACACCTTGAGTAGGGAAACGCCCTTTCTTTTACCAAGCAGGAATTTGCTTTGACCTGAATATTTGTTTGTTTTGTTCTTCTCTCCTAGGATTAATGACATAGCAAACCTTTGTGCAGAGCTGACGGCGTGCTGCACCGTGCTGAGCTCAGAGTGGCTGGGGGTTGTCAAAGCTCTTTGCTGCTCTTCCAATCATGTGTGGGGTTTCAATGATCTGCTCTGCAGTGTGGATGTAAGTTCACACTACCTTCTGAAGTACCTCTTGAACCTATTTACCTGGAAAACATGTATTGTTGCAGTAGGGTCTCCATTCAGTATATAATGCTGAATTTTGCACAGTTCAGTCATTTGTCTGCTGAAGTTTTCAAGGCTTTTCATTGGACTTTGGACTGAGATTTCTGATTTTTATTCTTTCCTACATCTTCAGTTTGAATGCTAAATGAGGGCAGTGCTTAGAGTTTTCTGTTTGTTATGGAACAGTATGTAAGATTTGGAGGTGCTTATGGAAAGGGACAGATGTACTTTCTCTAAAATGCTGGTGGATATGTAAATAACCATCTCTATTTTAATGACTGGCTTTTAGATTGAAGAGGTGTTTTCTGTTCTTTTCTCCCTGATACAAGTTGCCATAGTCCTGTTAAAGTCAACAAGATTATAATGAGTAACTGTATTCAATATCTGATCCAATATATTGATCCTCAGTTTAGGAAGCTGTGAATGCTGGGGATATATTCTTGTCCTGAAGAGAAGCAATGATTATTGGTGTTACCAGTTTTTATTGAGTGATAACATTTTCCCAGATTTGTATGAGACTAGTGGTTGTTAGTTTGGAATTAATTTGTGATATCTGAAATAGATATATTTTAAAATTAAGAGCTATCATATTGTCGCAAAAAGTTTGTGGACACACTAAAATGCGTAGATGGTTGCTTACATGTACACATTTTACTGTTTGTTCTCATAGTTAGTTCCTTAATAATCGTGGCAGCAGTGTGCATGCTGTCATGTGAAGCATTGCCATGTTTTCCCTCCCAGGTGAGTGATCTGTCATTCCACGATTCCCTGGCCACTTTCATTGCCATATTGATTGCCCGGCAGTGCTTTTCTCTGGAAGATGTCGTTCAGCACGTAGCACTGCCTTCCCTTCTTGCAGCTGGTAAGAACATTGAGAGAAAAACTTAGAATGAAAAGCTTAAGATGTTTTAGGGAGTTTCCTTTGATTGAGTAAGAAGTGAGAAGTGCTCTCCTGTAGGAAAAGCCACCTGTTGTACGTACAGCATGTATGTCACTGTAGTTCCCAAGAGGAGTGATGCTGGGTTATGTCAGAGCTCCCATGGCTGACAAGTGATGGCAGAGCTGCTGGCAGTGCTGTCTTCTTATGTTACGCAGCATAACTTTCTGCTCAGGACTTTTGTGCTCTACACTACATGCTTGAATGTCCACCAGATCTACTTAAGTTGCGCTTAGACGCATCTTGGAAGCTCACCTTTATCTTCTGCAGCCCACAGCAAGCATTTGTCTCTCATTTCCTTCTGCTATCAGTGCCCGATGTTGGCATTTTCTCTCTGACATATCATCCTTGCATCCAGCCTGCAACTTGTGTTCCTCTTTGTTGGCCACATTGCATGTTCCTTTTCACTTTCTGCCTAGATTTGTGTTTCTTATTTCTATTTTGACTTTCAAAAGCCAGTTTAATCATGTATTCATTTCTGCCATTAGTTAGGACTCTGGCTTAACAAAAATCATGCTGTTCTTTCCTGCATTTGAATGGCTCAAGGCCAGAAATGCTGATTCCTGTTGATGAAATTATTGTACTTGCATTTAAAATGGGGCTGTGAAGTAGAACCTTTCCAGGCCTGACAGCATGACTTGTGAGGTCTTGGGTAGATGCCCTACGTCCATGTCCCATGTTCCATAGCCTGTGGGGACCCAGATGCTGAGCCTGGGGCCAGGATGACTTGTCGGCTTCTCCTGCACCTCTTCAGGACACCGCAGGTCTGCCTCTTTCCCCAGGGAGCAGGTAAGCTGCCTGCTGAGTGGTCCTTTTGTTTCAGAGCAGTGGCTTCAGATATCATGTGTGAAAATATCCGTGGTACAAGTAGAAATGACAGCTTGCTTAAAGTAAAAAATTTGTCACAAGTGAAAAGTTAATGTGTAGTATTCTTCTTTATTTGTAAAATAGAGTTCTGTATGTTTATGAAACTCTGTACATTTACTGAAACTTGTTCATTGGCAAGAGCTGTCCATTCAGGTATTTACTGTTGGCAAGCTCCACCATATTAACTCCATATCTTAAGAAAAAGAATCACGTTTTAAAGCAGCACCCACGTAGACTTCAGCAGAGAATGAGCTTTAGAAGTTCTGTTCTGACAGCTCTCATGCTGTCCGTGAGTTTCATTGCAGCAGCCATGTCCCTGTGTGCTGGCAGTACCACGGCCACACTCTCTGTTGTGCTGACTTTGCTGGGGCAGTGGTGGCTGTCAGTGGGGTCCTTCTGCAGGGAGATAAAGTGAGTAGGGATAAACGTAATGCAGTTTGATAGCTTTGTGTGTAATTAGAAATTAAATGAGCTTTTAAAATAGGGCACAGTAAAACACCTATAGTCCAACAGCAGAAACGTGAGGAAATTGGACCTCAGACTATATTAGCATGTCTGTCCTTCTTAATTGGAATGTTCTGTGGTCTGACCTGTGTGTTTTGCCACAGACCAAAAGAGGAAGGAAAGGGGCAAGGAACAAGTAGGTGGCAGCTAAAAGGAAGTAACCACTGAAATCACCTGTGTTTTGACTTCTAAATATTTCAGCAAACTTGATGACAAGGCTGTTTCTAAGGGAGGAATAAACTGAAAGCAGTTATTATGTTAAACTATTAAATGATGTCAAGTTCTTCTGTCTAAAATTAGTAGTTTCTTTTATGAACAGAAATGAATGAGCTGCTCTTACATACTCAAGCAAAATAAGCGAGTGTCCACTACTCATAATGGTTTCTTGGGAAGACAAATAGCATCACTCTGAACATCCCCTGCTTCCCCTTTTCTTTTCTGCCAGCCTGTGTTGCTGAGCATGATGCCACATGGTACGGAGAATCCCTTTGGTCAGCTGGGGTTGGCTGCCCTGGCTGTGCATCGTCAGCATCCTCATGGCGTGGCAGTGACAAGCAAAATCACTGTGGCTGTGTGAGCACTGCTCAGCTGCCATTCAGAACCAAAGCACCATGTATCCATGACTTAATTGGTCTTCAGCTTCAGTTAGGATGTTCAGTTCTTCATTCAGTTACTGTACTTCTGTAGTTATTGTAAGTTGTAAAGCGTAATCATTTTCTACAAGATTTATCCTTCTTTCCGTAGGAAAGCTATTTCCTGGAATTCGTTCTTCTTGTGATCGTCACCTCTTGGCTGCTGCTCACAACAGTATAGAAGTGGGAGCTGTGTTTGCAGTCTTAAAAGCAATTCTGATGCTTGGTAAGATTATGCAGAGTAACATGTAACACTTCTGTTCTAGAGCTCGGGTCAAAACCTGGTAGTGCTAGTTCACATCCCTGGGAATGCTTCTGGGAAAGGAAAGCCCTGGTGACAGAATTGAAATGTAGATGCTGTCTGTGCTCCTGAAGCATGTGAGCAGCATTTCCCTCTCAGGTCAAGAGGCAGAGTTTCTCTGGTGAGTCAGTGCCAGCTGATGGCTCCACGCAGATGTGACTTTTTGTGCTTTGACCTCCCCATACCAAATTCCAGTGCATTTCTAACTCTGGCAAGTCAATCAAGTACACAGAGGAAATAAGTTCTCAGATCTCTTTTCCCATCTTTTTCTTTTCTTCACCCCAATTTGTGTATGTCAGTCCTTGAAGAACTTGAAGAAGAATCACTGCTATGCAGTGCTCCATGAGCAAGGAGGTATTATTTATCCAAACAAATAACTGCCTCAGATTTTTGTTTTGGCTTCTGTTCAGTTTGAGCTTTTATGAGTTATGATGATGTGTATTTTTGGAGCTAGGTAAATGTCCAGTTAAAGAAGCAGGGTGTTCCAGAGGTGCACATGCCCACAGAGATGTACCTCCAGATGGAGTACTGTTGTTTTGCTCTCTGTTGGCCACTATCTCAGAACTGTCTCAAAACCCCGTGGTCCTTAATGATGAGACTTGTTGTGCCATGTTGGTTGTTGATGCTAATAGCAAATGAGGGGTTTTCTAGAGGATGACAGTCATAATGGTGAATCCACAGGTATGATCCACAGAAATTTCTGCTGACTTGAGATGTTTGGCTGTGTTAGCCTGCTTCACGTGCAGGCTGTCATCATGCACACTTCTGTATGGCCTCACAGGGTGTTACTGTGTGCAGCTGTTTGGGCTCATTTCTCCACTCTTCCAACCTGTATCTGCATCTTCTTCCTTGTCCAGGGTTTTAAAGCCTTAAACATCAGTTATGTTAAAACTTGTACAGGTTTGATTTTTTGCATCTTGTCCTATCTGCTCAGCCGTGCTTGTTTTAGGCAGATGGTGTGGCCATGCTGAGCTGATGCCTTGCAGAGAGAAGGGGCTCCTGGGCTCTGCAGAGCTCCCTCAGCATGTGCTGCCTTTCTCCATTCCCACAAAGGTCCATTTCTCTGGGGAAGCCCGTGGTGAAACAGGCTGAGGGAACCATCAGCCCAAACTTGTCTCTTGATGTGTGAAGTGTTTATAAATCAGAGTAGAGAGAAGACTTGGAAAAAAAAAGAGTCATCTGAGAAGAACAAGTAACCCAACTCTTCCTTATCTGCCAAAGCAATTCCATGCACTAGTGGGCCGTTTCCTGTGGAGCACACCGCGCTTTAAGTTGTGTTGAGTTCATATAAAACTTTTTCAAATTCTGAAATATCCATCAGAAAGATGTTACACAGAAGGAAGGAAGTGGACGAAACGTTGAGCGTAGTGCTTTTCAGACAGACTCCCAGCGCTGCCTTTATTTGGAAGCAGCTGCTTCACTCCTTCCTTGCTCCCGTGCCTCGGGAGATGCCCCTGCCTGGAGGCACTGGGCTTTGGGTAGTGCTCACCCTGTGCTCCTGCTCTGCAGGTGATGCTGAGATCGGCAGCAGCAGTGTGACCCCCGTAAAGAACGAGGAGCTGCCTGTGAGAGGCTTGCTGGATGAGATCCCTGAGGATGAAATGTGGGCTTCCTCTCACGCTCTGAAATCACGTGGAAAAGCTGTTTCCATAGAAACTGCCAGTTTAAGCGAGTATGCTAGATATGTGCTAAGAAGCATTTGCCAGCAGGTAATGTGTAAAACCGCACTCTTCACATAGAGAAAGAATGGTATTTCATTTGAAAAGGATAATGTGTATTTTGGTGCAGAATGAATGCTGCAGTATTTCAGTATATGAGTTCTCACTGGTTTTCCTGCACTGGTTTAATACACTGAGTAGGATGTTATCAAGGCTAAAAAGAAATATACAAAAGCATAAGTTAGTTTCTAGCATTGACCTGTGCTCTCAGATTTCTTTTTCCTACCTGGCTCTTGAGCAGAACAGTCTATCAGCTGTCTGTTCCAAGTGCTTTTGCAGTAATATTTGTTCTATTGCAAAGTTGCTTTCAAAGCATAAAAGAAACTTTTGGAACCAGTTAGGTCTAACACTTTCAGGTATGAATGATGGAAGAACAATATTTCCCTTTTAAGTTTTGCATGCTGAAAATCCCTTTTCTGTTTAGTTTACCAGACGTTAGTATTACACTGAAGCTATTTTGTGAATCTGTTATCTGATTACTTACAGGAATGGGTTGGAGAGCACTGTTTAAAAGAACCTGAGAGGCTGTGCACAGATAAAGATCTAATTTTGGATCCCGTTCTTTCAAACAAACAAGCGCAGAAACTTCTTCAGCTTATCTGTTATCCTCATGGTGTGAAAGAATGCTCCGAGGGGGACAACCCTCAGAGGCAGCACATCAAACGCATACTTCAGGTAAAGCAGTGGACAAAAGGAAGGGGAAAAATTACCACTGATGTAGTAACTCTTAGGCTGTCACTCAGCAGAACTGCTTAGCAGTTCCTGGTGCAATCTAACAGTAGGCCATAATTCTGTAGAAGTTCTGTGTGCTCAGCATCCCCAGTCTTTGCTACAGCCATCTTGCAGTGTGACTTCTGGTGTTCCATTGCTTCTGATTCCACTACTGTGGAGAAAACAAGTGTGCAAAGTGTGCACCATTACTGCTGCATGTCAGTCACTGGGCAGCTGCTGGAAGGGAGCAGCTCTGGGGGCTGAGGTGGGAGGCATTCTGCAGGAGAGCTCTGTGATGGCAATGGGCTAAAAGACATTTGTGCTCCGTGGAAAAGGCTCAGGTGTGTTTGCATGATCCTCTTCCGATCATCTGTTCAAATTCAGCTAGCTCAGGAGCATTTCATTTCTCAAACTACAGAACTGTGTTTCTTTGAGTAGAACTTTGAAGGTTCAAATCACTGGTGTCCAGAACAAAAGTAAAAGGGATCGGTGTGCTGCAAAAAAATCACTTCAGCTGCCGGATTTAATTTAGTGGTGTCTGGATGACCTTGTACCAAATACACCACATCTATTTGCATGGCAATACCGTGGTTAAATGTAATTGCTAATGAAAGGGCAAATTATGTTTTCTGTACTTGTATTTAACTAGACTCGGATTTTGCAGAGAGCATGGTTTTTATTCAGAAAAGTTACACATTTAAGGTGTTGAGTAATGAGTGTAGACAGTTAGCATACGTTCTCAGATAGGTCTGGTATCTCGAGATGTCATCAGATTTTCAAAGAGTGCTGATGGTGATGGTCTGCTTGTAAGCTCAGGTTTTTGCACATAGTATGAGACTGTTTCCCCCTCAAACCTTTGAAGTTGACACGTGTATTTGTAATGCTGATTCCTACCCAGAACTTAGACCAGTGGACTCTCCGGCAGTCTTGGTTGGAGCTGCAACTAATGATCAAGCAGTGCATGAAGGAGCCTGTGAGTATTTGCCTTCAGCCTTTCTTATCTAAATATTTAATGCAAAAAAGTATGTTAAATTTTAACGTAGTCCATGAGCAAACATACCATGAATGTGCTAGTTTACTTATGTTTTACTGTAGGGTTCTGGGTCTGTGGCTGAAATGAACAGCTTGTTGGATAATATTGCAAAGGCGACAATAGAGGTGTTTCAGCAATCCGCTGATCTAAACAATAACTCTTCTAACTCTGGTATAGGCCTCTTCAATCCAAACTCTGTTGGAAATGCTGACACAAGTAATACAAGACAGAATGGTAAAAAGACATTCCTAAGGTATTTTCTGTAGTACCTTTTTAATTATTTTAGCCAACGTGATGCTTAATTATGCATAGATTGCCTAGACTTTTTGCTCTTGAAACAGGAATGACTTACCTGAAGATTACTGCTGTGTACCTTAGTTTAACAATAAATTATTCTTGATAATTATTCTTGAATTTTCGGAAACCAGAAATTATGATTGCTCTGCCCACGCTAGTTACTGCAGATGTGTTGTGCCCTTATTAAAGCAGTTCGGTATTGTAGCAGCTAGCAGTGGTTGCAAAACTGCACAGATACTTTGGCTGAAATAAGCTTGTTCTATTTCTAGTTCCTCTGAGTGGCGAGGAGTGTGGCTGGTGGCTCCCTTGATTGCAAAACTACCTACCTCAGTTCAAGGTAGGGTCTTGAAAGCTGCAGGAGAGGAGCTGGAGAAAGGTCAGCATTTGGGGTCATCTTCTAAGAAGGAAAGAGATAGACAGAAGCAAAAGAGGTATGACCTTGGGAGATCTCTGTAAACAGAGCTGACAGGTATTTTTGAAGGAGGGCTGTACTGGGCACTGTGTTGTTGCATCACAAGACCTCCTTGGTTCACTTCTTTGGAGCATGTAAGTTATCAACTCCACCCAGGGCTCAGGTTTAATTTAGTCTGAAAAATACCATTGGTCTCAGAAGACAAAATGTGAAAGCCCTGTAACACATCATCCAGAGACTGTCCTGCATCCATCAGTAGAGGGGAGTATAGAACCTCTCTCTGCCTTTTGTTTCTTTTCCCATGGGAAAGCTCCTGTGTAGAAGACCTAAAACAAGCTTCTTTCAAATAAAATGGCTGTAGAAACTGTTGAGCCCTTCCTCTGTCTTGGCTTTTATGCACAGAATTAAAAGCATTTACACCACTTTGTGTAGCAAGGATGGCAATTGCAATAATGGTTGTCTTTCAAATTGTCATTTTTTTCTTATGGCAATTAATGCAAAAGCTAACAGGTACTCCTACCACGTTGTTGCTTAGCTCTGAAAAATCCCCATTTAACATGATTTTTGAAAATGTAGGCCTTCTAATTGGTTTGTCTTACAGGGCCTAAAGATTTTGCTGTCCCTTTAGTCTGGTTGTCACTGAAATTGCTAAAGTCAAGTTAAATGCCAAATGAAAGCAGGTGTTGAAATGAATGCCTATATGAAATAAATGTGTATGCATGGATGTATGTTTTATTGTGTTCAAGATGTGTGTCATTTCCTAGGAGTTTACATAGCTAAAACTGTAAAAATCATTGCATGAACTGTTACTCAGCCCTTTGCTCACATTTTTAGTGTCTCTTCTCCTTCACTTATTGTACTCCCAGATTTATCTCTGCACGTTTCTCTCCGTTTGCCTGAATTTATGTTCATAACAGATACACAGTACTCTAAAGAACATATATATGGATTCTGAATGCCCTTACACTGTTATGGCATGTTTCCTGCAACCAGCTAAAGCTACCTCTGGATTTACATATGCTAAACCCATGGTAAAATTTTAGTGGGATTCAGTTGGCTTTCATTTTAGTCAGTGCTCAGAGGGGAAACTTGGGATTCACTTCGGGCCACTAAATGGATTAGAAGGTTTAGCTGTCTGGTCTCCACCACAATTATATCCCTAGTTAATGAAAGCAGTATTAAAATAACGTGTTCTGAGTCAGACCTGCAAGTGTCCATGTAATTCTTGGCCATGCAGTGCCTTGAGCTAGGTGGGTTCTCAGCACTCACACGTATAATAACTGGCTGCTAATCTTCCTACTTCTAGGTGCACGTTCTTTTAATTCATCTGGTGAGGCTTTCATTTACAAAAACAGAAACAGACATAAATGTAGGCAATGCTACTTCCAGAAAAAAAAAAATAGACAAAACAAAGATGGGAGTGGAGATGGGAACTATCAAAATAACATTACTAATTGACTTCTGTGTTTGTCTCTCCTAAAGCATGTCTCTCTTGAGTCAGCAACCTTTCCTTTCTTTGGTACTTACTTGCCTTAAGGGACAGGATGAGCAGCGGGAAGGGCTCCTAACATCACTGCAGAATCAAGTCAATCAGGTAAAACGAGCATGTAATCATGAGCACCTTCAGTGGACGTTTGTGTCACCAGTTCGACGTGTACAGGAGGGGTTCAAACCAGGAGAATTGTGACATGTGGTCTGCTGGAAGGAGCAGTGAAAAAAAAATGGGGAAAAGTTGTATCCATTTGTTAGAGAGAAATCATCATCTTTTTTTTTTTTTCTAAAATGGTTACAGCAAAATTTAATGAATGTGAGTCTGGTTCAGTTCTTTCCTGGCTCAGTTCTTGTCCTGAGAGGAAGCTTCTCAGTCTCTCATTTGGTCTTAAGAAGTTTTTATAGGTTTGAAACTTTATAGGTTTGAAACTTTTATAGGTTTGAAACTTGAAACTATAAAACATATATATATGTGTGTGTGTGTTTTTAAATACTGCTAGTCTCTAACTGGCAAATTGCCTACAGAAACCATCCCTACTGCTCTTTGTTTGAATCCCCAGTGCTTGTTCACACCCCCTGCTGATTCTGCTCTGCCTCCTTGTTCCCACCCGGTTCCTGCTGTACCTGCATGAACTTCATTAACTCCTCCAGACTGTCCTTTAAGTGAACATACGCAGTGCATGGTGTGGTGCAATGATGTCTCTTTTTTTCTGTCTCTAGTTTCTCTAACTTACTGTGACAATGAAAATTAATACTTGTAGGGCCATTATTTGCTCATATTGCCTCTCAGTGCAACTCCGGGCCCTGACTTCCACATCCTGGTTAAATTCATTCCTTTGACCTTTTTTTTTCCCTTGGTATTTCTTTTGATGTTTTTTTTTTTTCCTGGTAGTACTGCCATGTGGACTCTTCTTCTGCTGTGTGGCTTCCCCCTGTAACACAGCAGGTGCAGTTTCCCTGAGATTCTGCTCATTTCTTGTCCTGTGCACCCAACATTTTTTGCTGGGAAGCTGCGTCCCGTGCAAGAGATCCATTTACATACCCAGTTTAATGGAATGTTTGAGACTGTGTTCTTAAACACAACCAAGCTGCTCATTTTCCTTTTGTTGCATCAGGAAGATCTAGTCATATAATTGATAGCAGAACATCAGCTCTTTATAAATATTTACATTTCTTTAGTTTGTTTAATCTGCTCTAAGCTTTGAAGGGGTATGAGTATATGAGGATTAATACTGCTTCCTGTTTCCTTAAAGATAATAGTCACAAAACCATAAATTTTATAGGGAGAAAATTCCTGTGCAAGTGGAAAACAACCTTAATCAAATGGTTTCTCTTAGATCCTTAGTAACTGGAGGGAAGAACGGTACCAGGGCGATGTTAAAGCTAGACAGATGATGCATGAAGCCTTACAGCTTCGTCTAAATTTGGTAAGAAAATCTTCTGTTGGTATGAAGTGTTGTAGCAGCTGCTCTGAAGTGCTGCTTGTGGCACTGCGGGGGCTGGCACTCCCTGAGCATTGGGATCTGAGGGGCATCTGTCATCTCCCTCAGGATGGAGATGGGATGTCAGTGCACAGGAGGGGGGTCAGGGTCAGAGCTGGAGGTGAAGGGATGCTCAGACACAGCCCTGCAGGGTGGGCTGAGGCCCTTGGCTGGGGACATGGGGACGGGCGTGGTGGCCCCAAGTGGAGCTGGCTGTGGCAGCAGGGACTCAGTGCCCCCATGCCCTGACACAGCAAAGCAAGGAGGTCTGTGCCCTTCTCACCTCTCTTGTTTCAGACTAGTTCTGATGGAAAGGCGTATTTTGCATTAACATACAGTATTGGTAAAAATTAGGAAAAAATGTTCATGGGGTAAAGCATATCATTTAGCAGTTTTCATTCAGTGCTGTCTTGTTCTTTGCATCCTTTTCTGTGCACTGGTTTGTTTTTGTTTTTTTTTCATATAGAAGGAAGGCAGTAACTATGAAGTTTTATTTCAGCACCTTTTCCGTTTTGAGAATCTGTTCACACACTTCAAAATTTGTTGCATCAACCATGCAGGTGAAGATGTGAAGCTTGACAGAGCACTGTAATGCTTTTCCACAGTTCCTTCTTAAGTGAAACATTGCTGAGAGCATGGGGTGGGGAGAAAAGTTACTTAAGGTCAGCACATCAGGATGGCAGTCAGCACACAGGAAGACGTGGGGCTGACTGGCAGTTTTATTCATAAGTAATAGACGTGGTCATGGAAGTGTGCGTCCGTGAGATAAATGCAGAGCTTTGCTATCTGCTGCGTTATTTTGCAGGTGGGTGGCATGTTTGATACTGTGCAGAGGAGTACCCAGTGGACCACAGACTGGGCACTTCTGCTCCTCCAGATAATCACTTCAGGAACAGTTGATATGCAGACCAACAAGTATGTGCTGCTCAAACAAGCTAATTAATGTGTTGTTCAGTCTAGATTGCATGTATGCTATCGCTGTATTTTTCTTCTTATTATTCTGTTATTGCTTGGGTGCAACTTACATGCTCAGAGCTGGGCTCAGCTAGGGAGCACTTCTGTTCTGGAAAGCACCGGAACAACTGTTTACATTGCTTCTTAATGAGCACTGGCCTGGGCGCTTTCCCATAGCAGAGCTCTGGTTCCTGGTGGCCATCTGACAGCAGCTCTGTGCTGCGGTGCACGCTAAGATTTATGTGTACCCTGGGAGATCCACCAGCACCACACACGGGGCTGTGTGTGCATGCTGAGATGTGTGCCTGCAGAAAGCACCGCAGAGTTCAGCTTTTGTGAAGAGCTGCGTGCGTGGCCTTTGCTGTGAATGTCTGTCCCTGGGTCTCTCGCCAGGCGGCAGTTCCTCAAAGTGACATTTGTCATTTCGCTCTCAGCGAATTGTTCACAACCGTGCTGGATATGCTGGGCGTCCTCATCAACGGCACGCTCGCCTCCGACTTGTCCAGTGCTTCCCAAGGAGGACCCGAGGAAAACAAAAGGGCTTACATGAATTTAGTGAAAAAGTTAAAAGTAAGTGTTGTGTCTCATCATTTCCAGCATTTCTTTTGAATCTCGTCATTTCTGGTGCCTTGGAAAGAGAAGGGGGAATGAAGTGGCATTAGTAATAAGGAAGAAAAGGAGGAAATAAAAAATTAGGAATGTGAGGGAGACAAACTACTAAGATACTTCTTATCGTTACATTGCATTCAGAACCCTGAAAGAGACTTAATTGTTTCTCTTTGTTCATGTTCGAGGCACTAAGCTTGCATTTACTTTGTGTTATATATGTTGTATAATCTACTCCAACAAGGTAACTCGTTTTCTTAAAACCAAGCTAAACAGGCCTGCAAAGAGACTTGTTTAAATTTAGTAAAAGCACAGGAGAATGATTCATCCCCAAACTGGACATTTTCTAATAGTGAAAGCCGTGCAATGTTTCTCTTCCTTTTTTTCCACCTTCCTGTTTGACTGAGCACTTTGTTTATCCCTTAGAAGGAGCTGGGAGACAAGCGGTCGGACAGCATTGACAAGGTTCGCCAGCTGCTCCCTTTGCCAAAGCAGACATGTGATATTATTACTTGTGAGCCAATGGGATCCTTGATCGACACCAAGGGCAACAAAATTGCAGGGTTTGACTCCATTGATAAGAAACAGGCAAGAGTAAATGTATACCTTCATCTCTGTTTTTTCGTAATGTTTTGATGCATGGGAAATTCAAGCAAACATGTACAGCTTGTATAATACACACATTTATGTCCAGTGTCCAAAAAGTATTGTACTTCTGCTGTAGTACAGCTTGCTAATGCATTCAGTCATTACTAAACTTCAGCCTCAGCAGTGCAGTCCCTGTAATCGAGCAATGATGCAGAAGTGTGCAGTGCCAGGTCTGCAGGACCCCGCTGTTCAGATCAGTTGTAAATGACTGACTGGGTTTTGGTACCAAATGTAATTCTGTTTTCAATACACATGCAGGGTGTTTGTTTGCATGATCCATATGAAGGTTCTTGGGCAGTGTGTGAAGCCAGGAGTGGGTTTGGAGAGGGCCTTTCAGATTCCAGCATCGTGGTGCGACGTGTGGCAGTGCCACCATCCTGCATCAGCACTGACAGTGCTGCTGTCCTCTCCTGACAACTCGCCCGAGCTGACAGATAGATAGGTCAGAGCTCTTCATCTGCGTGCCCCTGGAATGGATACAGCTTTATGCCACCCATACAAGCTCAGGGGTTTCTGAGACAGAAATCACCTTCTGATTTGTCCATAAGTCTGTCACCAAAGCCTGTACAAACAAGAGCTGGGTGATGCACAGAACACGGCCATTTTGTGACTCCTCATGTAATGAGTGCTGACAGAAGCTTGCTTGATTTTGCAATCCAGCATCTTGACTGACTGAAAAGGAAAATTATATCTTCTTGTAGCTGAAGAGCAGAAACTCTTACAACAGTATTTGCTTTTTCATCAGAATCCTACATGTGAGAGCTTGATTGACATGGAAACCTTTTGTCCTGTTACATGCTGGGAGGACAATGCAGGGGGTGCTCCTGCTTACAAAACACGGAGAAAAGAAAGGGAAAATACCAAGTGTGCTGATAGGGCTTTTTGCCAGCATTTTTTATGGTGAATTTATGTAAGGAAGAAAGCTAGACATTGTAATTCTACAGTATCTCTTTTCCTCCTAAACATGATTGATGGAACTTGAGATTTTTCGCATGGCTACAAACAAATGCTACTATAAAAATATAACAGCTTTTATCCAGCAGCAGCTTTGGGTGGAGGCTGAAGTCCCATCAGCGTGCACTTGGTATGTTCTGTTGGGGGAAAGGACCCTCACTGGATTTTGTGACTCAAATCATGATGTACAAAAGCAAGTAGTTTGCTGTGGTGTTCGGCTTCCCTAAAGTGCTGCCTTCACTTTTATTTTAATACAGGGTCTTCAGGTTTCAGCAAAACAAAAGGTGTCCCCTTGGGACTTATTTGAAGGTCATAAAAATCCCGCTCCTCTCTCCTGGGCATGGTTTGGTACAGTTCGTGTGGACAGGAAGGTGATCAAATACGAGGAGCAGCAGCATCTGCTCCTGTATCACGCGCACCCCAAACCCAAGCCGCGGAGCTACTACCTCGAGCCCTTGCCTCTGCCTCCCGAGGAGGAGGAGGAAGAGCCCACCACCCCTGTGTCTCAGGAACCAGAAAGGAAGTCAGGAGAGCTTTCTGATCAGGGAAAACACGCCGCGGATGACGAGAAGAAGACAAAGGGCAGGAAGAGGAAGTCAAAGTCAAGCTCTAAGGCTGATGTAAGCGGTTGGTGCCCCCGTGCAGAGCTGGGAACATCCCGTCGCCTTGCTGTCTTTGCTGCATTCATAAGTTGTGCCCTACCTGGAGGGGTTCCATTAAAGGGAGTGAATGGAAATGGTCAGCAGGAGGGTGGGTTTCTATCAAATACAATCAATGTAGAAGAGAGTACCGTGCAAAGGACCTTCCATGCTATGTAAACGGTGCTAGGCTGGATCTTAGCTCACTGAGTATTGCTCAGGTTCTATGCATGCTTCCGCATTTGGTGTAAAGTTATAGCAGATACATTCTTTCTCACTTTCTGAAATTCCTCCTGCTCAAATTATGTCCTGAGAGCAAACATGTTGGCTCAAACCTGGGTCCCGTTCAAACAGAGAATGATTAGAAGGAGGCTCTTCCACACAGCTACACCTTTTTACTGTATAGTTTGTTCTGAGCCGCTTGCTGTGTTGGCCTTGTTGGTTTTCATGTTTTTTGAGGTGTGGGTGAAAATCTCAATAGAGCAAGGGTTTGGAAGACATGTCCAGCAGCACCTGCATAACTGCATACGTTTGTCATTGTGTGGCGTCTTAAATAAGTGTAACTTGGACATCGTTTTCTGGCCTTTTTGATATTTCAGTTAAGATCCTCCTGTTATTTCCTTTCAAATACAGTACAGATGCACCGTGCTTGTGCTGTGCCTAATGGTAGCTGCCGAAGGTGCTTGCTAATAAGATAGAAATGGATGGTGTCTCTGTGAAGTTGTTAGTGTTAATTACCTGTGGGCAGCCTGAGACTTAATCTGTTTTTTACATCATTGCAAGTGACAATGGGAACTGTCTCTGTCCTTTAATAATTTAGTAGGAAAATTGGCATTATTTATGAGTTAGTAAGGTATGAATGTCAGTAACATTTGCTTTTACTGTATATTTTAAGGAATATCCACCGAACAGCTTATACAGAGTGCCTCCCAATTACTCGCCCGTTCCCTCACAAATGATGCAGCATCCTCAGTCTGCCTTGTGGGGCTACACCATCATGGGGCAGCCGCAGCAGCCTGGCTTCTTCGCGCAGAACCAGCCCCTCCCTCCAGGTATGTCTGAGCTTTGAGTTCACCTCTCTTCTTGTTGCTGGGTGGTAAATTTGACTTAGTGCAGCCGGGTTTTGTTCCTGACTCTGAGGCAGGCTGTGATACCAGTGCCATTTGCTTTATTCCTGCAGTTAGCCATTTTTCAGAAGAGCTCTCCATTAGTAGGTCTGTCTATGTTAAGCTGTTGAACTAATTTGGTAGAGAAGCAGGAGTGACCTGCTGATGGGTTTGTGGTGCTTTTTTGTGACACTGATGGATTTTTCTTCTGAGAAAACTGTATAAGTTCAGTGAGGAGTTAAATAAGGGAGAGATGATTAGAAGAAACAAATGACCTTGGGGCTATTTCATTTCTAATTTGATCCAGACCGAGAACCACGGTGGCTAATTTAACATCTACTAGATGGAATAAATAATCAGCAGGTTGACTTTTTTTTATTTTTCCAGCATTTGTGTTGAGCTGATTTTTTTTTTTTTTGTACATTTGTTTCTTCCAGGCAGGGTGTAGACAATTTAAGCGACGTATTTTAGAGGTGTGTGTAGCAGATGTTTTGAAAAATAGATGTTCTGCTCTACTCAGGTATTATGCACAGAAGCGCAGACATTTGCTTCCAGTTATAAATGTCAAATATTTTTTCTAGAGCTCCAAATATATCTAGATCTGTATTTAAGATGCATACAAGTCTTCAGAAAATACCAGTCAGTGTCTAGGAAATTAAGAGAAGATCATTAAAAAAGCAAAAAGAAAAAAGTGGATAAGATGTACCCTTGTAAATCTGTTGACCCACAGGTCCATATTTTTCTATCAGGTAGCACAGAATGCATTAATCATTGCCATCTCATGATAACATGGCTTGACATGATGAGCTTTTGATCTGGCATGCAAATTTTGCTTTTCAGTAGCAGTCAAACATTCCGTGTGATGTAGAGGATGCAGCTCATAGCCTTTTTACTTTCCATTCTCATTTGCAAGTGGTAGCTTTCAAAGCTCTTTTGCCCTTTTAATTTTTCCATCCAGAAATCTGGTTGAGTCCAGTTCCTTGCCTTCCTTTACGGAGATGAGCTTACCATCGTTATGGTAGAGCCAACCAAGTGGAAGCCGGTGAATTAGCAGCGATCTGTACTGACAGCTTTTGCACAGAATACAGCCGTATGTTTGTGCTCTGGGTGGCTTTCAGGTGGTTCCAGGCTGGATCCAACGAGCTCCTTCGTCCCAGCCAACACGAAGCAGGCCCTGTCCAACATGCTGCAGCGGCGCTCCGTGCTGCAGCCCCCCTCCCTCCACGCGGTCACACCTCAGCAGCAGTTGCTCCAGATGAAACTCCTGCAGCAAGAGCAGCAGCAGCGGCTCCTCAGGCACCAAGCACAGGCACGGTCTCTCCAGCAGGTTTGTCCAAAGCCCCAGGGCTGATGAGCAGCACAGTGCTTTTACCTTCTGCTAAGGCTGCTTGCCCTACCTAGGCTTACCGAGTGGGGAGCCAGCTGACATTTACAGTCACAGTAACTTCTTAAGTGTTGCTTAAGGGGGGCTCATACTTCCTGCCCTTGGGTCTCATAGCCCCTTCTGTTTTCACTCTGTTTCCTAAAATCAGATTTTGCTTCTGGTATTTGATGTTATAGCAGTTTCCTGTTGTTTCACCAGTGGCTTTCCTGATGGAATGGCGCGGTGCTGTGTACCACCACACTGCCAGTCGGCAGCAAGTACTCCTTACGTACAAAAATTCCAGGGAAAATTCTTGGAATTCCAAAATTCCATCAGATGCTGTTTCCACACACATGCACACGGGCGTGCATGTTCTCAGAAGCAGCTGATATTTTCTCCTAATGTTTTGCAGGGTAATGTTGCCATGTGCCAAACCACACATGCCTGCTGTGCAGCTCCCTTCGGAGCCTGAGCTAGTTTTTAGAACATGGTTACAGCCAGGCTGCTGCTAAATTGATGGCGTCAGGAGACGAAAATTGCTTTTCCTATTGCAGACAAACAACAGTGTGTGTACAGTAGTTGGTGGTACAACCAGTAACTTCTCACTTTTAAAGCCCTTCTGTACCCATTCCTACCATCTCTGCTGTCATCTATATTGTGTTGTCCTTATGCTAAGTTCTTGCCTTCAATCTTTGCTCTCAGGCTGTGCATTTCGTTAGAGCTCCCTCATCATCACTGTCATCCCTTCTTCTGTTTCTCTCCTGTGATGCACACAAAGCCCAGATCCAACCTGGAGATGCACCAGGTCCAGCCTCACTGCCCTGCACCATGCACAGCTGGATCCTGGGGTGCACTGCCTGGTGACAGGGCAGGGAATGCTATGCAGGTGTGCAGGTATGCCTGTACAGAGTGTTTGGAAATAGAGGAACAAGACAACTTGTGACCACTGCTACTATGTGACATAGGTTGTTTGGCTGAGCTTCAGTAGGAAAGGCTTCTTTGTATTTTGTATCTCTACAGCTGGAGAATGGAACTCCCTGCTCAGCCTGAGCCCATGGAGAGGGTGGTTCTGTGACACCAGTTTGTACCAACCCGATCTGCAGTGCTAAGCTCTTTTACAGGAAGGGCTGTGTGCAGGTTTTGCAAAGACCGTGCTTTATCCAAAAAATGTTGCATATTATGTGTAGCATTAATAGGCTCTTATGGATGGCAGGGAGTCCTTTCCATGTTTTGTGTTTCATGTTATAAAAATACTGAGGCTTATTAGTGTCATGGAACACCCAGAAAGACTCTGCCATCATTTCCAGCACCACGTGCTGTGGGTGCAGGCAGGTGAGGTGGGCACTGTGAGGGTGCTGTGCTGCTCCACCAACACTCTGAGCCTAGGAATGTGTATTCTGTGTATTGTTTGCTATTTTCTTGCCTGTCCTTTTTCTTCAGGATGTCAGTAGCTCTGCCGTACCCCTTCAGGATGGCTTTGACAACATAATGGTAACTGCTCGGGGATTCTGAACTTTCTTTTCTCTTTTGCACAGTCATTCCTTCCAGCACCCAGGCTGCACTCTGCTTTCAATGGGAATGATATGCTTTGGGCACTCCTCATGGCTCAGCAGTGCAGTGGCTGCATGGAGAAGGCTGTAAATATACTTGCACACACAAAATATTTTTGTTACAAACATTCCCAATAACTGCATCATCACTGTACTTTTCCTCTTCAGAGGGTGTTGTGTTTCTCATTGTGAGAGGTCACAGTAGTCTCAGTACTCCCTGACACCACGTCCATCCAAGCATGGCTTGTGCTCTCCCATTTTGCCCGGTGTTGCAGCCCTGTGCTGGGCAGGGCATGCAGTGGGAGCAGCCCTGCTTTGGGCCCTCTGCTGCTTAGAGATCAGTGCTAATGTTTCACAAGACTCAGTCATTCCTGGGGAAAAGAGATGATGTCAGTCTCTGCGACGTGTACTTTCATCCTCCTAAGACAGGAGAAATTCTTTGCAAAACTCCATTTTAAAGGGCGCCTGCCCTTTAAACAGCAGCAGCCTTGTTGGCAGACGGCTGCAGTGCTGCAGTGGTGGAGAAGTGCCTCTGCCAGAGGTCAGGGCCAGCCCTGCCCCTGCTCCACAGGCAGCTCAGGGCCGGGCACTTCTGGAGGAGCTGGGGATCCTCTCCCTGCTCTTGCTGTGCACAGTGGTGATGTCATGTCAGGAGCAGGGCCAGCCTGACCACGTGTGTCTTGCAGGGTCAGCCGATGGACCCCGCTGCTCTTTTCACCCCGCAAGTCCGACCCACGCCGCAGCTACCGCAGTACCCAGGGCTTCAGCAAGCACAGGTACTGCATGCTCTGCAGAGTGAGTGCACAGCAACAGGTGAAACTGAGCCCCTTCCCCTCCAGGCTGGCCGGCCGTGCTGGAGGCTGCCTGGGATCTTGCCTGTGCCCTAGGGTGGTGTGATGCTCGGCCATGGGAGCTCGCTGCTCTCTGCATGCTCAGCTGTAAATGGCTGTAACTTTCCCATTTTTCCCTAGTGATGTTCTGGTAGAAGGCAAGCATACTTCGGTGCCAAGTCTGTAATGTGACCACTTTTACAATGACGCTGATTTATGTAACTCTAATGTGAAGCTCCTCTCTGTCTGCTTTCCATGCAGAGCATGCCCCACGGGTACACGATGTACAGCACCCCGATGCCTTTGCAGCAGCAGCAGCCCAGCAGCGTGGTGCTCTCTCCTGGCTACACCCCCCGGGCATACACAGCCCACTCCAGCCCCGTGCTGATGGAGCGGCTGCGGCCGGGGCAGCCAGGCGGCGTGGCTCAGCAGCAGGCAGCTGCCTACATGCAGCCCCTGGCGGGCGCTCAGCGGTGAGCTTCTGCCCTTCTCGGAGCTGTAACCTTACAAGGTTTAACCATGATTTTGATCTAGAGGTCCAAAGTGTTTCATGCTTGGTAGTTTTTTCCATTATTTCAGGAAGTAAGAAGTCTTTATAATCGGTTTAGAATCTCTGGAAATGTAATTAACTATGGATGTTTTTCTCAGAGAACATTTTAATGCTCATTTAGAGTGCTTGCTTGAAATGTAGAGTCTCATTGCTCCTTCTATCAGAGTAAGAGTGAAACGGTGTCCTGCCTGCATCACCTGCAGGGTGGTAGGATGGTGCAGCTTCTGGTTTGGGTACTTCTAGAAGCATTCCTATTTGGAACAATAGCCATTCTGTAAAACTTGCAGTCTTTCGAATCTGTTGAAGTCTGATGTTACAGCTTTTAGTTGTGCTCCTAGACTATCTCTGCTCTGTCTTTAAATTAAGTAGAATGCCTTTTTATTGTATTATTTTTCAACCAGGTTGACCCATCAGCCTCTGCAGCCAAACTCATTGATAGGGACGGGCCTGGACAGCGCATCAGCCACACGTACCCATGCAAGCCTGAGCTCAGCACAGCTGCCCCAGGAGCAAATGCGACAGAGGCAGCAGCAGATCCGACAGCAGAGACTCTTCCAGGTGAGGAACCCAACTGTCCTGAAGGCAGGAGGTGCTTCTCTGCAGGGAATGCATGCATCCTTCCTTGGCCCTTTGGAATTATTTCCATGTTTTCATTGTAATGCAGTGGATATCTGTGCCCATTCCTGACAAATCGTTGTGCATTTCATCTGGATGTTTTGATGTAATAAATTAAACATACCAGCTTTGGAATGTATTTTGGTTATTACAAATGTTCTCAGCTCAGTGCAGCTGATGATGCAGAGCTGGAGCACCAGCAGGCTCCACACTTCCTGGGACCTCCTGTGTGCCAGCCCAGGTCCCAGCCCATACACTGGCCATGAGCACCTGTGGTGCTGTCTTAGGGACGCTCCCCAAGGCGGTGTGTGTGCAGTTGTCTGCTGTCTCAGGGCCTATCTTCTTTCAGATGCAGCAGGGACAGCAGCAGCAGACTCTTGATCTCCAGCCCGTGCAGCCGCAGCAGCCCCTGGTAAGTGGGATGGATGGTTAGCTTCGGGCAGGGGCAGAGTGGGTGAAGCTTGTATTGAATTCGCAATGCCGTGTTTCCTGGACATGGCCATTTTTTCCGGACGTATTTAATTGGTTGAAGATAATTAGAACAAGTTCGGTCTGGAAAAATGGAGGAAATACAAGCGACACTGAATTTGCCTGCTGCCAAGTCCAAAGGCATTAATGCAATTCAAAGAGAAACCAAAAGGCAGCATACAGGTGTGGGAGGAGTGATAAACAAGGGGTCTTTATCTGATCACTACTGAAAGATCATTTCCATCTATTTCTAAGCTTTTCTCAGTATTCTTGTCTTGAGCAGACTGACTCTGATGGGTTGCCACAGAGGCAGAGCTCTGCCAGGCACCCTCTCTTCCAGCAGCAGAGCACTCCGTGTGGGTTTCACATCCCCAGGAAGCCCTGGTGTGTGGTTAATACGTTTCACTAACCTCAGCAGTTACTAGAGGCTGCTAGTCAGAGGATTACACAATGTATTTTAAGTAAAGGATTGGTTTTCAGAAAGAGGAAAAAAAAAAAGCTGAAGTCTTACTAAAGCCCTGAAAGTCCCTTTGGTTAGCTGAGGTTTCACTGAAACAAACACGGGCGGACTCTGCGCAGTGTGTGCTGCCACCAAGTGTCACTGTGCTGCACTTCAGGCTGTCGGCCTGGGTGGGTGTGTTGTTAAGCAGAGTCTGTGGATGCTTAAAAGAAATGCTTTTTTAATCATTAAATTATTATTAATAATAATTTAATTATTAAAAGTTAAAAATTATTATTAATAATAATAATTTAATAATTAAAAGATGTTTTTTTAAAAGAAAAAAGAGCACGCAAGTAGAAGCACGTGTTCTTTCATCAGATCTAACGAGAAGGAAAGCAATGGGATTTTGAAAACTGACCAAGAGAACTCAGAGGCCCTGCAGTAAATAGGTAGTTCAGTAAGTGGTGACAGTTTTGACTTCAGCAGCCGGCATAGCAGCCCCTCATGCATCACAGACCCTCAGGAGCAGGGAGGTGTCAGAGCTGTGCCATCAGCTTTCTGTGCTCGGCAGCCCCAAGCATCTGGCACTCAGGTTTCACTTCATGCAGGGGACATCTGTGCTTCCAGGGGGAGGAAACACCTCTGCTGTGCACCACTTCTGACTCCAAAGGGACCCATCCTAACAGCACCATAGCTTCAGATGGTCTGACCATCCAGATTTATCTATTGTGATTTAGCAGCTTGACTGGACAGATATGTACTTCAGTGATGGGTTGGTGAAGGTCTTGGAGGTCTTCGAACCTTAATGATTCTGTGAGTCTGACCTGCAGGTAGCTGACCTATTAAGTTATTAATAGTGATTTTCTTCTGGCTGATGGGTAGAAGCACTGAAAATAGAACAGTGCTTGTTCTCCTGCCTGGTGTCACAGAGAAATATGTTGCATGGGCTGTTCAGCTAGGGAATAACACATACTGTCAAGTGTACCAGTTAGAGGCTGAATTCTGCTTTGATGCAGTATAGATAGCGTGCAAATTTGTGGAAGTGAATTTACACCAAAGGGTGCTTTCGAAATGATTGAAGGCTTTAGTTCATTAGCAGCAGATTTCTTTGGAAGCTCTCAGTGTTTGATTCTATCACACATAACAGTGTGTTCTGGGAGGGTTGTCTTCCTCCCATGGACTGCACTCGGATCAGAGTGAGGTTTGCTAATGGCACGTGCTGAGCACTCTCTGTGGTGGAACCAGCAGCCACGACCCTGCAGCACGTGAACTGCTCTTCTTTGTGCTTATCCTTTGTGTCATTTGAAGTGGTGTTGTCCTGAGAGGAACGCCTTTCTAGAAGTTTCTTCAGCTACACAAGGGTGTTTACAACTGCCAAAAAGACATTAGTTTTGATGAGCAGTTCTGGTTATCCGTGGCTTTGAGCAAGACAGAGAGCAAAGTTGCTGAAAGTGATGTGCAGGATAACACCGGGCTCTGCAGAGGTGGAAAGGATGGGGAGACCAACAGCACACACTGTGACACCTGTAGTAGCATTGGAGACATGTGAAATGTCAGGGCATGAAGAAAACATGTCCTGGGAGTTCTGAGCATGTTTCATGTGTCCTCACTCCGCTGTTAACATGTGCTCAGGACCCGCTGCTGGGCAGCTCTGCCTCTCACCATCCTTCCCTGCTCTGCCGGCTGCTCTCTGGTCACACTTTCTGCTGGGCTCAGGGCCTGGAGCCGTCCCTGGGAGATCTGTGCTGCAGCAGCCAGCGGTGGGCTCAGCTGGGATGGGAGCATTGCTTTCTGTGTTACCCAGCGTGCATTCATGCTGTGATTTCTGCCACCTGTCCTTTCCGCAGCAGTTCCCGAGGCAGGGCCTGCAGCAGACGCAGCAGCAGCAGCAGACGGCGGCGCTGGTCCGGCAGCTGCAGAAGCAGCTCTCCAGTGAGTGCAGTTCTGTGTGTCTGTGTGTCTGTCTGTCTGTCTGTGGGGGGATGTGCAGGTAGTGTCCCACTAACGTGGGAGCTGTTAGCAGGCCCTGCACCCAGCAGCCGTGTCACAGCACGGTGCTGCAGCCGGCACACACTGGGGCTCTGTGGGTCACAGAGGGCCGTGGCAGGAGGGCTGGCTGCCCCGCACTGCTGCCCCACTGCTGTGTGGGAGCTGACGGTGCTTTGCTGCCTAAACGTGGTGTGCTGCATTCTGTCCAGCACGTTCCCTTTGCTTTGTCACCAGGTAACCAACCGCAGGGAGTGAACCAGTATGGGCATCCTTCACACTTCTGAATCCAAAGGTGGGAGGGAGGCAGAACGTTCCGTTTGCACTGAAGAACAGAACATTCGAAATCCAATGCACTACTTATTGCTAGAAAGGAAACCTTCATTTCCTTCTCTTATTATTTTCATAATTATTTTTCGTGCTGCAGTTGATGTGAGTATGTAACGAGGTGGTTCTCGGGGGGGTTTGAGTTTCTTTGCTTTTAATTAGATTTAAAGGTAAGGACTTGTGGACCTATCTGAAGAATGTTATTGCAGATTTTATGAGTTTGGTGCTTTTTAGGTCCCGTTCCTTTTAAAGAGGACAAAGAATGCTGGGTTTGTTTATTTATTCGTGGGAAACATTCTTTTGTTATTATTATTATTTTTTTAAGAACTGCTGGACCAAACTGCTGAATTCAAAGGCACTCCTGACCCTGGCATAACAGTTGATTTGTTCATAAAGATGTTCGCCTCTTTGTTTGATGGTAGAACGAGCATTGATTTGAATTGTGTTTATTTGACTGTAATTTTCATACGCACTTTATAGAGTTCTTTGTTTAAAGTACCAATTCTCTCTCGCTCTCATTGTGGTAAGAAGGTGCTGAAGTGGGTTTATTGCTTGTATTAGAACTTCTTAAAGTTTATATAAAAAGCCACAATGTAATGTTAATAAACCGACTGAAAGTAGCAGCATTTCTTCATATGTGGTCTTTGTAACATCCCGCCCGGTGCTGATCCTTGGAGGAGCGCAGCGGGCGCAGAGGAGGGCTGGGCAGATGCTGTGGGGTCGGCAGGAAGGTGGGTCTGTTTGGCTCTGGGTGGTTCAGGAGGAAATCCCACAGTGGGCTTCACAAAGAGGGGGTGAAAAAGTCCTTTCTGCCACTTCTGGAGCTGCCACCCGCGCGCACTGCGCTGCCCCTGCACGGGCTGTTCCTCTTATCTGTGCGTCCGTTTGCTGACTTTGTTTGTTAACTGTTCAAAATTCTGGGTTGGATGCTTCATTTCTGGCCGAGCTTCAGTGGTGTAATGTTGGTTCTGTGTGAATCAAGATTAACTGCAGAAATGAGCTCTGCACAGAAGCTCTATAAATAACACCGTGATGTTCTCCTTTATGTTTCTGGGTTGGCCAGGAAGTTAAGAACTTTGTGCTAATCATAAGTTCTGTATTGTCTGCAACAGCAGGAGTTGTTCAAGCTGTAAGCTGTTATATTTGCCTTACGTTACCTCATTTATAAGATTTAATCATGTAAAGCAGTTAAATGTTCTGTGGATTCTAATTGTCTTTTAAAGTGATAAGTCTAACTTACATAAAAATTATTTCAGGTTTTTTGTTTGTTTGTTTGTTTTTTACATGGATTTTCTTATCCCCCGTGGAAGTGTACTGTTCTTCATAGTAGATAAAGTTGTCACAGATGCTGACAGGTGAGACTGGTGTAACCCAGCCTGTGTGGCCACTCCACCCGTGGAAGGAAGCACACAGCAAACCATGTGCAGCTGATGTTCAGAAATGGTCACGCCAGCACAAAGGCTGCTCCAGCTGAGTATGAACTCTTAAATGAACAAATAAGTAAAATAAATCTCCAGCTCGATCATAATGTGGTCAAATGAGATGACAGAATCTGCATGTAGCTCTTGGCACTTGAGCACTTTCTCACTCATGAGCACTGTGTGTGCTAACCAGCCGCTCTGAGGGATGTTGCTGCGGGAGGTTCGGATGCTGCGTAGCACTGAGGAGTTTCATTGCAGAATGTCCTATGAGCGATGGATGTTTTATCCCAGAAGAGGCACGTTACAGTTCTTGAACTTCTCTGTTGTAATTTTAAAGGATGTGAAGAGCTAGACTTGGTGAGGTGGGAGATGGTGACCCTGAGCTCCCCCATGTCTATCAGGCTTCCTGTAGTGATAAGGGAGTGCTTTCACCAACAGCAGTCCCTGCTCTGCTCTACAGCTGCTGAAGGGCAGTGTGGTCCCCTCCATGACACACGTTTGTCCCCAGTTGGTGTGTTTAGGGGGAAAGGCTCTTCTGGCCCCTCTGTCCTGGTGTTAACGCTCTTAGGAAGAATGTGAGTGAGACACTCAGAGCTGTGGTTACTGATATTGATAGTTACTTGACCAGTCCAGTTCACCATTCGGTTGTGCAGAATGCATGTGTAGCCGTTTCCCTCTGTTCTGAAGGCAAGAGATCTCTCCTTAGACCTACCCAGTGCATTGAGAAAGCAAAATTCTCAGTTGACATGCAGACTGATGTAATTGTTTTCTAAGTGAGAAATTTCTAGAAGAAATTTTGTGACAATTGGAAAATGATGCCAACCTGGACTAAAGCCCAGATTGTTCTGAATGCATCGTCCCAGCGTTCTGCACAAAAGACAGTGAATCAGTCTTCACTGCTTGTTTCACCAGGGAATGTTTATTAAAAAAAAAGTGTACCAAATAATCTAACATGTTAAGAAGGTAATCTGCATCACAATAAAATCTGCTTTTTGGTCCTCGGACATTCTTGCTTTCTGATCCATGCTTCTGATAGCCACACAAGGTGAACGTTATTAATCTAGTTTGAAAGCATCAATCCTGTACGGAAATTCTCTAGGTACATTTCTAGAAAGTTATTTCATTTAATATTCCAAGTTTGCTGGCAGGGCAAAAGTGCCTCAAGTTCAGTTTTATTTAGGTCCCTTCGATCACTGAATCAATGCTGGATGGTAATGCTAGATCTAATTTCCTTTTTCTTTTTGGTGTGATCATTGCAGACTGAATCCTGTAAATGTATTTAGGCACTTATGTGCCTTTGGCTGCCTTTGATTAAACCTATTCCAAGAATAAACTCAGTCCAGCTGTACACTTTGCTACCAATCATTCATTCTGTACTTCTTATTTCAAATGACATGAATGTATGTTACTGTGAAATCACTGCCAAGATGGTTCTTTGCTGTGCACTTGTACATTCCAGAATCCGAGGGCCGGGGGTTCTGGATGAGCAGCGTCCCCTGGGGATGCAGCAGTTCACTGCCAGACGCCCGGCCGTGGTTACCTGTAGAAAGTATGGAGTGGTCTGGTAATTCCCATGTAATTTCTGGCTTTGGTATTCCCAGCGCCGTGCAGCTGAGCTGAACTGCTGCACCAGGCATGGTACTTATGGTCCGCGGGGGTCTGTTTGTAATCCTTGGAGGATAGGCTACAATGGTGACAGGAACGGTTACAGACGAATCTCCGGCGGGGTTATGGGCCTTACACAAGTAATTCCCTCTGTCATGAATAGTAGCTGCTCGTATCACCAGCGTGCCATTTTCCAGCAGAATGTGTCTGCTGTTGATCTGAGGTCGGTCCAGCACGTGGCCGCCCGGCAGAGTCCACGCCGTGCTGGGTTTGGGGCTGCCGTCGGACAGGCAGTGAAGCGATAACGATTCTCCGCTGATGCCCCTCGTTGGCCCCTGGGGGTAAATGAGGATGGTGGGCTTCTGAGCAACTTCTAGGACGATCAGCTTTTCGATGTAGCCGACCTGGTTCTTGGCTGCGCAGCGATACTTCCCGGCTTTGTCCCTGCTGGGGTTGCGGATGGTAAGGGTTCCATTGCTTCCTGGGAGGAACTCGGACATCCTGGTCCCCTTGGAGAACCACGTGCCGTTGGGCAGCATCCAGCTTACTTCAGGTGGAGGGTTTCCATCCACAGAGCAGTTCAGTGTGGTTGTTTTTCCGGGTTTTGCTATTATTTTTTCATTGAATGGATTTTTAAACATAGGTCGCCTTAGCATTTCCAGTACCTCCAGCCGCACCACCAGCATGCTCTCTCCCCAGTCGTTCCGTGCCACGCAGATAAAATCTGCTGTGTCAGAAGGCCTTAGGTTCCGGATTTCGAGTGTGCCATTTTTGTGTACAACAATCCTGCTGCCGTAGTACGGAGCTGTCAGGAAAATGTTATCGGGCATGATCCACATGACCTGGGGGGGAGGTGTCCCTTCTGCCCTGCAGTCAATTTGTTTCTTCGAGTGCCTCACTGCAGTCACTTTAATGATTGTTTTGTTCGTGTATAAACCATTTATGATAGGTGGTTTCGCGTCAACATCCAGTTTATACAATTTTGTATCATCCCCTCCAGCATTACGAGCAACACACATGTACTCCCCTGCATCCAGCAGTTTGGCACGGCGGACTGACAGGGAGCCGTTAGCGTGCAGGAGGTGCCTGTCTGTGGAAGAGGAGATCATGTCACTGGAAGGCAGCAACCAGAATATTTTTGGTGGAGGCTCCCCAGCAGCTTCACAGTCCAACAGCGCCGTATCCCCGGCTTTCACTTTAATGTACGTCTTGTAACTGTGCTTTATCTGAGGGGCTGCCGTGACGACTGTGATGTGTATTTTCATTTCATCTCTCCCCAGAGTGTTCTGAGCGTAGCAGGTGTAATCTCCCTCCTCTGTTACTCCAGCTCTGTTGAGATACAGCGTTCCGTTGTCAAAGAGGATGTATCTGCGAGACCTGTGTCCGCTGTCGTCTGCCAGCATCGCGTTGTTGATCACTGTCCCGTCCGGCAAACTCCAGGATATTTCTGGTGCAGGTGACCCAGAGGCCTTGCAGTCCACCTGGAAATCTTTTCCATAGGGCACCAGTTTCTTGAAATACTGTTTCTGGTCAATCTTGGCTGGTTTCATTGTGATGCTGACTTTCATCAGTATCAGATCATCTCCAATTTTGTTTCTTGCAACACACAAATAGTCCCCCGCATCCTTTTCAGTAACTGCCTCGATAACCAGGGATCCATTGGGGTACACATGGATTCGACTTCCCATTCTGTTGTTGGGGGGAGAAAGAGGAAAAGAATTATGGAACAAAGTTCTGAAGGTGAATACTGAGTGCTGGAAGTGGCTTGCACTATTAACTCATTAAGTATGGAGTGAACTTTTCTCGTTGTTTTCCTAATTCAAAGTTATATTTCATAAATGAAAAATTCCTCATGATATATATTCTGTATCAGATACCTGACCAATTTAAGCACATTTTTAAAGGCACTATGCTCATGTTCCAGCCCTTCTGTTTTCCTAGACTTCTTTCCTTTACTGAAAATACCAAGGCTCTTTTCCCACAACGTTGGGATGTAAATGGTGGTAAATCAAATCTGGGTGCCTGCAGTGGGTGAAAGAAACAGATAATAGGGTTGGGTCCTTCAGGTGTCGCTAAATGCCTACAGCGAGTCGGAGCTGATTTGCACGGTATTTCTTTACATCCTTGCTAATGCACCTCTGCTTTAAGCACCTCTTTTCCCCCTGTGCCTGCATTCAGCTTGAGCCTGCAGGCAGCAGGGGCTGAGAACATCACTGGTGCTGGAATGTGCTGCCGATCGCTCTGCCATGGTTTCAGCCAGGAGATTGCTGCTGTTGGTACTACAGAGCTGTGTTCAGAAGTGAATTTAGCTCTTAATGAATCGTTCCAGTGATGTTCCACTCCCTCACACCAGCACTGGAGATGGTAGTGTGTGAATTTTCCAAGAGCTGGGGAAGAAAACAGGCTCCTACCTGTGCCACTGGTCTACGACCGCCTTGGATGGCAGCCTCCAAATTATCCTGGGCTGGGGCTCCCCTGTGGCCGTGCAGTTCAGCAGCAGTTTATCCCCAAAACTGAGCCGGGTCATGCCCTGGGAGGCGGCAGCTATCCTTGGCAGTGTGTCCCGGTGCCGCACAGTGAGGGTCACCACCCGGCGCTCTGAGCCCGTCGAGCTCGTGGCGATGCACTCGTAGATCCCGCTGTCAGTGGGCACGATGCCGCTGAGCCGCAGGGTGCCGTTGGGAAGCAGCAGCACCCTGGTGTTCACAAACTGCAGGGGCTTCACCACCGTCCCTTCGGAGAGGACCCAGTGGACGCGGGGCTGAGGATTTCCTTCTGCGGTGCAAGGAAGGTTCAGGTCTTGCCCCGCTGTAGCTGTGATCTGCTGTCTCTTTTCCTCCAGGATGACGGGAGGTGCTGCGATGACCTGCAGCTTCACAGTCAGCGTATCGGTGCCTGCTGGGTTTGTGGCCGTGCATGTGTAGAGGCCCCTGTCGTAAACCGTGACGTCCTTGATCACTAGGGTGCCATCCGGCCGCACGAGAACTTTCCGATTTCCCTGGGAAGAGCTGGAAATGTGCGTTTCATTGGCCAGAACCCACGAGATGGAGGGAGGAGGTCTGCCCTCAGCCGGACACCTCACGGCCACGGGCGTCCCTGCATGGGCAGTGAGGAGCCGCGTGCCACCGGCGATGCGGGGTGGGTAGGCCACCACGGCCAGCGTGGCCAGGAGCCGTGCTGTGCCCAGAGCGTTGGTGGCGGTGCAGCAGTACTGCCCGCTGTCCTGCAGGGCTGCCCGTGTGATGGCGAGTGTGCCGTTGGGCAGCACCGTCCACCTGCTGCCACTCGCTGGGGCATCGGTCTCTGCGGGAGGGAGGGACAACAGCACGGCATCAGACCTCTCCATCCCGCCTTGTTTTGCTCTGTACCCATATACACTTTCCTTATCCTGGTCTAGGCTGCCCAAATACCCAAGACAGTGGTGGTAAGAAAGGGCGAAATAATAAATCCTGCATATGCAGTGGAAAAGCTTCAAGAGAAAACCAAAACTAAGTTCCTCGGTACAGACAAGGCTTGGATAGAGCAGGTAAGGCTTTTGTAGCCAGAAGTACTTTGGTTCAGTTGTGTGCAGGTGTTGCAAATTCATAAATGTTTTGCCCTTGCAATCACTTGATGTCATGGTTCATTATGACAGATGTTCATTTGTCTGTTCTGAAGCAGCAGGTAATGTGTGAGAAGAGCTTTAATCTTCTCACAGTAAGCACGGAGTTATGGTTTACATATGCACATATTTAACATTTCCATTAGTGACTGTTTCGTAGTCAGTATTAAGGCACTCCAGCAAACATTCTGGGATGTCATTTTTCTCACTATTTCTTAGTTTGTGCCATAACTGGTCCTTCACAGTACTTCTAGGCAAGCACTACTGACTGCAGCATGCCAACCACCTTCCAGACCGCGGTACCCGGAGCTGCTGCTGAGCTTACCTGGGGAGATCTTGGTCCATTCTATGGTTGGCTGGGGGTTGCCTGTAGCTTCACACGGAATGAAAGCATCTGAGTTGGCCAGCACGGTGAAGGCAGCTAGTTTTCCTCCAATTATTCTGGGCTTTGTGAAATAGTTTCTGCTTAAAGAGAACAAGGACAGAGGGATGCTGGTGGTGGTTTTGTGATGCTGTCTCTGGTCAGACCAGCCATTGGCAGAGCTGCCCCACAGGTGTGCATGTGGAACGACATCCTGCCATGGCGTCGGCACGGTCGGCGCGTTAGCCGTTAGGGTTTTGCCTCCCCGTTCTGCAGATGGCAGCCCAGCACCGATCCCCCCCGTGGGCAGTGCCGGGGTGGGACGCTGTGCTTGGGGAGCTGTGGTGCCCGGAGCTCTGCTGCTCAGCTCGGTGCTGCCCCGGTCCATGGGCTGTGCCACGGGGCTGCCTCGTGTGGCCTCCTTGTCTGTCCACAGGTGTGGCCGCTCGGCCGCTGGGGTGAAAGCTTTGAGGTGCTGAGCAGATTCTGAGCGCGCCGCGGCACTGGCTGCAGCAGGATGGGCTCGCTTGGCACCGAGAGGCTCCGAGGGCAGCAGTGGGGTTGGGGTGGTTGCAGTGGGGGTTTGTGGCCGACGGCTGCGGGGCAGCAGTGACACAGGCGGGGTGCTCACCCCCACGCTGGGGGCCGCTGCTGTCTGCGGGGCTGTGGTGGGCCCGTGCCGTGCTGTGCCTGGTGGGGTGAGAGCCCATAGAGCTGTGACCCAGCCTGCAGGTGCGCTGTCAGACCCTGCAGCTGCAGGTGTGTGCCTCGTGGGCACAGCCGGCGGGCTGACTGCGAGTGCGGAGGCTGAGGCTGTGTCTGCTGTAGTGCGGGCGCCCATGGTTGGGCTTTGGGAAGGAGCTGTTTTAGGGGGCCGCCTCCTCCTCTGGCCTCTCCTCCTTCCTGTTCTGAACACTTTTTGAGGAGCCGTAGGAGCTGTAGCTGTTGGCTTTGGACTCTCTCTGCCCATTCCTCCAGCTGTGCTCATTGCAGGGCTGCAGTCAGGGGGCTTCTCTGACGTACTGCTGCTGTCAGTGGGTTTGCCTAGAGATGGGATGGGATTGACGCCCGCTGAGATGGGCGTGAAGGGCAAAGGAGAGACATGGGGTCTTGATGCCACTGCTGTAGTTTTAGGAAGCGAGACTGATAACTCTGTTGGTGGAAACGCATCTGTCCTCAGCACTTCCTTTTGTGTGTCATTTCCAAAGAGAAGTGCTCTTGTAATTTTTCCTCCCTGGGAGTTTTTGGATGAGCATCTGGAGAAGACCGATGGGGGAGCAGAAGCAGTCCTCATGCTCATCATGTGTGTGATTTGTGCAGTGTGAGCTGTGCGGGTTGCAGATGTTGGCAGGGCTCTGTAAGTGCTGCCGTGACACGGAGCTCTGCTCTCTGCTTCCTGCTGGGCAGCATCTCTGGTGCTTTGAGTAACGACAGGCACTGCTGTGGAAGCGGCTCCTTGCCTTGCAGTGGGTGCACTGTTCTCTTCCATGAGGAATGCTGTGCTCTGAGCTGTGCCTGCTGGGTGCTCTGAGGACATATTTGTAGTAGAGGGGGAGGACAGAGGCGCTTCTGGGCTGAGCGGGTTGATGCTGCTGTGTGAGTTGTTCAAGGCAGGCACGTTAGGGCTGTGTGTTGAACTCAGCAGGACAGCTGGAGCAGTAGCTGTTCTCCCTCCGGCAGAGCCTTGCTTCCCTGAATTGCGCCTGTGCTCTCTCATACTCAGAAGACGTCCTGGCCTGACCATTTTTCTCCTACCAGACATCTTCCTCCTTCTCCCATATTGTTGCTGGGCCCGAGGTGTGTGAGTTGTCACATCCTGAATGATTTGAACGTGCTGATGACTAATAGCATTTGGGCCCAGTGGTAGTGCAGGAGTTACGGGTTTCTGAGCACTGTGGAAGTGAATGTGACCAAACTCAGTGTCTGGCTTGCTGATTGTTGCTGCAATTGCCTGACCACCTGTTTTGGTGGAAATCTTATCAGTAAACTCTGTAAAACCATGCATCTCACCCACTGCATTTTGGGAAGTTGCAGGTGTGCTGCTGTCTGCAACATTCCCCGTGGTTGTCGCAGATACAGCCTTTAAATGCCCACTGTTACGTTCTCCAGGAGATGCTGATCTTTGCTGAGCACTGATGAGTGTGGATGTTCTGCTCGCTCCCTCTCTTGCCATCGATTGTTTCCCACCGTTTGCCGATGCTTGGCTTAAGTTGGGTCTTTCCCACAAGTCTGAGGTTGTGGTTGTAGGGTTTAGATCTGCTGGTGTGGGGCTGACAGATGGGCTGGGCTGTGGGAAGGGAGCGGGTGGGGGGGTCCCGGCCCCCGCAGGGGTTGTGCTTCCGGCTGTGCTCCCCAGGGAAGACGTGGTGGTCCCCTCTGTTACCACTATCATGAACTCTTGTTCTGGAGAGATGGCAGCACCGGACGTTTCCTCTTCATCCGCAGGCACCGTTGAGAACTCACGGACCTGAACAGGCGGGTTTGTCTCCACTTCTTGTTTTTCTATCCCAGGTGGGTTCCTCTTTGCTTTTTCCAGAAAGGCCGCCCAGCGCTGGGGGTTGACTCTCTTGGCTGAGGAGCCAAAGCGCCTTCGGTGCCCCCTGAGCCTCCTGCCAGCTTTGTCCCTGTGCTGCCGGGTCGTCGTCCTCCTGTGGCTGCTGCCTGTGCGGGCGCTGTGTGTGCCCTGCTGTCTGTGTGCTGGGGCACTGGGCTCCTGACCCGTCCAGCTCAGCAGGGCAGCTGAGGAATTCTGCTTTCCTCTAACTGAGGGCAGCATTGCATCGCCAGAGCCATCGCTCTCTTCCCACTCTCCTGCAGCCGCAGGTGCTTTCCGTGGGGTGCTTTTGTCCTCTCTAACCAGCACGTGGAAAATCAAAAGATCAACGCCGTACTGGTTGGCTGCAACACATCTAAAGTAGCCGCTGTCTCGCTCTGTTACCCCCTGTATTCTTAAGGTACCATTGTCAAAAATATGTTTGTTTCTTACAGAGTGGTGAAGAACCACTCGCTCAGGTAACACCCAACTAATGGCAGCATCCGGAACAGCGGCAGAGGTACAGGGAAGGTCCAGAATGCTGCCAACCGTGGTGGAAAATTGGGCCCCATTTACACTGCTGTGTTCCACATAAGGATCAACCACAGTGATTCTAAACGTGAGGACATCTGCATCGTTATAATTTGTGCCTATGCAGTGATAGAGCCCAGTGTCAAACATATCAGCTGTTCGTAACGCGAGTGTCCCAGATTTTACTACTACAATCCTGCCATCCTCACTGACATAAGGCGCTCTGACTTTGCTCCCATCAGCCAATATCCACTCTATCGCAGGAGCTGGCTCCCCGATTGCTTGGCAGTCCAGTTGTACAGTCCCCCCGACTGGAACAGTGTGCTCTGTTTGCGTTTTGTTGTCCCTGGAGATCACTGTCCAGTTATTCCCCTCTTTCTTTTGGTCACCAGTGGGCAAAACTATCTCAGCATCAGTAGAGTAGCGGATGTGCAGCGTGCTAAGTGTGGTTGCTGTCCTGTCAAGCTGCAGTGCCACTTTGTTTTGCATTAACCATGATGGTTCGGCTCTGAGTTCAGCCTCTACTTTGGTAAACAGTTCATCTTTTTCAGAGTAGATTTGCTTATACTGGTAAGTGACAAGAGGTGTTTCAGTTGCGAGGGCACTCCTTTCGAGTCTGAGGGGAGAATTACTGTACAGGGCCAGTATGCTCCACAGCTGCTGAATGTGTCCGTAGGCGATGTCGCACACGAGAAATGATGAGAATGATGTTCTGAGGATTGTGACGTTGTCCTCTTTGTCAAATGAGATGGGAGACGCTTCTTTTGGTTTCTGAACGTTGCAAACCAAGTTACCTCGATTTCCTCCTTGGTCAGTCATGTTCAAAACCACGGATCCTATGGGAGCTAGGAAGTCTTCGGGAGATACAGAGCTGAAATCCCCATCCTCTGGCACTGTGAGGTTTTTGAGTTTCAGGGTGTGATGTATGACTGGCTTTATGCAGGTTAGAGCTGCAGGAGGAATACCCACAAAGTTCTTCCCTTTGCAGTTCCTGGGGCTGGCACAGACTGGGCACTGCTGAGCACCAGAACTTCGGTCTTTTTTGCACTTTACGACATCTGAAGGAAAGAAAAACACAGTTAGCATTTGTGATACAATTTTTAGTATTAGGACCAGGACTCTTAGGAGTTAAACAAACAAACAAAACCAAAACAGATGCTGGGGAGTAACGTTTTAAGTAGAGGGGACAAAAATAAGAAATAATAGAAGTGCAAAAGGATTGACACAGGCGTGCTGTAATGGCCTGCTGTTCACAAATGGGTCTTTGGCAGACTGTAAAAGAGTGACGAGTTTCATGTAGCTGCTTCTGCTTTACATCAATTAATTTGCTGAGATATTCTAGGGGTGTGGCACAAATAATAACACCTCCAGTACACCTCTGAAAGACTGATATGTAGGTGGTGTGAGCAGGTCGATCATCAGCATTCAAACAATTAGAGACATATCAGATGCCATTGCATTTCCAGTCTTCCCTAGGAGTGTATGTCAATAAATAAAGGACGGTGCTATCAGGAAGAAGAAGATGCCGTAAGGTGATTAAAAAGAACAAGCAAAGCCTTCAGCTCACCTGGCCTCTGTTTTGCCCATTCTGCAAACCACTGTAGATCGCAGTCGCAGGACCACGGGTTCCCATGAAGGTAAATGCTCTCCAGCTCGGACATGTAGGAAAACATTTCTCGTGGTAGCGAGGTCAGCGCGTTGTCAGACAGGTGTACGTGCTTTATGGAGGATACTTTAAATATTTGGAGGTAGCTCAAGGTGACAAAAGTGTCTGGATGGAGCTGCTTCAGGAGATTTCCTTCCAAGTGGACCAGCCTCAGTGATGTGAGGCCATAGAACACGTTGGGATTTACAAATTCAATTTCATTGTGGTCCATGTGCAACCGGACCAAGCTCTTCAGACCATAGAAAGCATCTTGCTGAAGAACACTGACCTTGTTGTAGCTCATTTTTAAGACCTGTTGACGAAAAAGCGACATTATATTGCTGTAAGGTTCCCAGGCCATTCTGATTGGTGGTTACTCTGTGAAGTATTGCAACAGACCAGCAGGGCAAATGGAAGGGAAAAAAGCATAGGAGGAATTATTTGTGGTTGTGAGGAGGTAACAGCTGAGCTCTCAGGCACAGGAATGGCTTTCACGAGAGTGAATGGAACCTGGAGATGTGCACACTCACCCGTTAGCTGCTTTCTGTCTCTCCCTCCTCACCTCTCATACTCTAAAGCAATAGAGTCACTGCTGTGTTTCCTGAGCACTTCAGGCCTTCCACGGTCACAGATGGTCACAGCTACAATGGTTTTACTTCTCTGTAATTATTAACAACAGCTCTGGATTGAAATTTAACTGGAGAGTAACTGTTAACTTGACATGGAATTGGTTGGGAATGGTTGGTCATAAATAATTGTTCAGTTATTTCTGCATGTATGATTACCTAGATGGCAAATACAGATACTAGATAGATGTTGTACTGGCTGTGACAAATTAATTAAAGACTGCAGATGCAGTGCTTGGAGCTCTGCAGCCTTCCTCGTGTAGAAGAAAGTCTCAATTGCAGCTGCCAGTTAAGATATTATGTCAGATATCTGCCAGTGTGTTTATCATTCTCTTACACTACACCTGAATGCCCGCCTGGGAAGGAAAGGCATTTCCCATGAGGGTGGTGGCTGTTGGATGTCCCTACCTTTCACAAGGATACAATTAGGAACAGGAAACCCAAGGGCTGAAGGCAGCTGTGCTGCTCCCCCAGGCTGGTATTGCTGTCTGTTTGCTTAAAGGTCATAATGGAAGCTAAGGCTGGGTTATCCCCGACACTTCGTCCTTACCTGTAGTGAACGTAAATCCCTGAACACCTTCTCAGGGATTGCATTTATCTCATTGCTGTGCAGCATCAGTAACTCCAGTTTCTCCAGGCCGGCAAAGTCCGTGTCAGTCAGTGTGAGCAAGCTGTTGTACCTGGAACAAACAGCACCCCAGGCCTGGCTGTGTCAGACAGCACACGTCTTGTTTTAAAGCAAACTAACCAAAACTGAAAGAAAAGGCTCTGAAATGTGTGAAGGGAGACAGCGCTTCTGATAGCTAAGATGAAGTTTTATGTATGTCATATGTTCTTCTTAGCACAGAGTTTGTTAACTCGTCCAGGGCAGCTTCCTGAAGGCTGTATTCAAAGTGGATATGGGAAATAACTGCAAAAACATGCAGACAAGAATGCCAGTTTGGGGCTGCAGGGTACCAGGGCAAGGGTTCGTGTAAGGGCAGAGGGCTGCAATACAGCACTGCCTTTTTACGTCGTACTGTCATGGAGAAGACCTGGAAAGGCTTCCTTTGCAGTGTGAGAACAACCCACGCTGAGTGCTGCCCCTGACCGCGGAGCTGCAGCCCTGCAGGGTCTCGCTGCCCTCTGCTGGCCTTCCTGTCACCTCCGCTCTTTTCAGGTGTGCTTCTGGACCTTCACTTCCTCTACATCCTACCTTGCTGACACGGCCTGATCTGCTTCTCACACAGCCATCACAACTCCCGTGCCCAGTGGTAACGAGCAGAGATTAATTCCCCAGTTAGACAGCTGGCCTGTCTGTCATAGCAATGAGTGCTGCAAACACATCCCTGGGCAACCGCAGCCCTCCAGAAGTGCTGGTGCTGAGCTGTAGGCCTTCATACACCACACTCCTGGGAAATGCTGCCAAACCAAAGAAGGAAAAGGGAGCTGTGACCAGGGGAGCTGCCCGGCAACAGGGCAGGAGAGAGCTCCCATGGAAACCTCCTTTTGTCTTTTTCACATACACCTCTGGACAATTTAAGGCCACGTGTATCCAGAGTGCTACCGGGGCCAGCCAGACTTGGCTGCTGCATGGCCTTTGGGCTGCAGGGCAGAAGGTACTTGCAGGAAAGCCCTTTGACTGACCTGTCAAGCCTGTGTGTAATCTATTCCCTGCTCCTTCTGATCACCTAAACTGGATGGTGGCTGAAATATTCAGATAAATGCTATTTCCCATAAGCTGGATAAGTAACAGTGTAGAAAACAGTATTACATGACATTCTGAAGTCACATCAGAAGTCTTGGAAGATCTGAATGCTAGTGTTGTGTTTCTGGCTCCACTGGAGCTCTGAGCTGTCTTTTCCCAGAATGAATTGTCCGTGTTTCAGACCCCTTCAGAGTTCAATGTTACAGATGCAAGATATTCAGATAACATAAAAGAACTCATTTAAATCCAAAACTTTTTAAGGTTCTCGCATCCGCCAAACTTCCGCACAGTGTTGAGGGTCTTACACTTCTCTAGCTCTCATTGTGTCATTGCAGCCGCCTCTGAATAATGCAAACCATTCACCGAAGTTTCATTCCCCGCCCGGGTTAGTTTCTAGCCCCACAGCTGGGAACTCTCAGTTATTACATGGCAGAGCAAAGCTGAAAGATACCCGCTCGGAAGTGCGGCGCTGACCCGAACGTACCCCAGGTTGATGCGCTCCACGTCCGGAGCGATGCGCGGAGGGACGGCGGTGAAGTAGCGGAAGGTGCAGTGCACCTCGGCGGGGCCGTAGCAGGCGCAGAGGCGGGGGCAGGCGGCGGGCAGGGCGGCCAGGCGGGCGGCCAGGCAGGCGGCGAGCAGCGGCCGCAGCCAACAGCGGCGCGGGGCGCCCATCGTGCGGGAACCGCTGCGGGGCGGCCGTCACGGCGCGGGCAGCGGACGGGATCCTCCTGCACGGGAAGCAAAGCCGCGCGTTCGGAGTGCCGGACGTGCCGGGCCGCTCCCGGTGACGAAGCTTCGCAGCTTCAAAGGAACGCCGGCCCGCCGGGCTGAGCCGAAGCTCTCGGTTCTGCGCTCGGGTTTCGGATCGCTGAAAAAAAACGCGTCGTTCTGAAGAAGCGGCCGCACGCCCTTTGTCTGAGGGAGACGCGCACCCCGCGCCGTCGCTTGCAGGTAACTTGTAACGTCGCGACGGAGAAAAAGTCGGAGCCGTGCATGTGGCCGCCGGTAACCCACGGCCGCTTATAAATCTGCTAGCGATTTGTCCTCGGGAGGGAACACGTCAGCTCCTTTCGTGCCAGTAATTACTCCAAACGACTGTCACTAATTTCAAAGCCCCTCGCGGCACCGCCGCACCTTCCCTCCGCCCCCCGCCTCCCCCCGCCCGGCCGTGCCCGGGAGCGGAGCCGGCGCACCTGTCCTGTGCCCCTACCTGCGCCAGCGGAGCCCCGGCGGGCGCTGCCTCGGGGCCGGGCCGGCAGCCGTCAGCACAGCCCAGCCCGACCCGGCCCGCTGCCTCCTCCTCCTGCAGGCAGGAGGGGGTCGTGGCTCCGGGCTCGGCTCTGCGCAGCGCTGGGCGCTCCGGGGCCCGCGGACCCTCGCGGCTCGGCTGGAGCGTTCCCCTGAGGAGCCACCTACGCGAGGAAGGAACGGCACCGCCGAGATTTGGCATCGGGGAGCGAACGCTCTCCCGTGCTTTTCCCCCCGGCAGCCGCCGGTGACACTACAAACTCCCAGCTGCCTCGAGGAGTGATGTTCCTCCGCCGCTGCTTCAGCTCATGTTTTGCTGAATGGCGTTTGTAGCAGCGGTGAACTTAATCGGCGGCATGCTCTGTGCAAAGGCTGTTAGGGGAGGTCAGAGCATCGCTGCATGGCTCAAGAGCTGTGAGACCTTACAGTTGCATTTTGAAAGGTGCCTTAATTATTGCTAAATGATTATGTCTTTATGCAGTCAGTGTTACGTGAAGTTAAATGTGGGCCCTCTGATCCAAAGAAAGTTTCTGGCACAGAGTTAAGAGCTGGGACCTTTGAGGAAACCCATCTCAGGGTGGCACTGCAGGGCCCGTCGCCTCTTTCTCCCTTCTCAGCTTAGTCAATGCTGGTGTCTGCCAACACCATCCCTTCTACCAGCAAGACCCACCAGGTCAGAGGTTCTCTCCCAGCACTCAGTTTGCCCCACTACAGCCTAAAGCCCCTTGGCGCCTTGGCTCTGTTGAGCTTTACAGTCCCTTTACACTGAGGTCAGTGGGTGGGACGTGCATCACACTGCTGGCTGTCAGTGCAGCTGGTGTCTCATCTGCTCCGCCACGACATCATTTCTGCCTTTGCAGAGCAAACAGCTGCTGAGTTTTGGTGCTCCGGGTGAAACGTGGATGGTTCAGCCACCTCTCAGACACTGCATCATGCGTTTGTTACTCTGTCCAAATTAGTGAAGAATCAGAAAACAAGTACCTTAACAATGTCACATAGACCTCCTGCAGAACCATTGCTGTTATCTGCCTGAAAAAGGATTATTGCTAGTTGTGTTTGATACAGTTGCTAAACTTCTACCAAAATATTTGTCCAAGGAACATCTGTGCTACCTGCACCAGAAGTCACAGAGTAACGCTCTAGATGGGTTCCCACTGACTACAGGCAGCTGCCGCCTCCTTGCAGATCAATGTTCAGTCCTCCATGTAAGTTCATGAATAGATCTGCCTAAGCGACTCCTAATCACGTCTCACCAGTGCTGTGCGGATTTTCTGCAGTCAGTTCAGCAGATCAGACAAGAGCTGCTCTCGAGGCACGGAGAGGCTGCAGAAGGAAGCAGTGCCTCCCGGTGATGGAGCGATGCTGGGTGCTGCTCACTGCCAGCCAGGCTGTGAGAAGCAGCCGAGGGTGGGCGCCTGGCTTCCAAAAGGCCCTCCAACAGACTGCCCCTGGTGACCAGAATGCAATAAGCATTTTCGCCAGAATGTTTGCCACAGAGCTTTCTGCTCTTTCCATGGAATTAGTATTTGTGTCAGGTAAATACTAATTTTGCCAAATGCATCAACATTCTGTGAATAAAGCCTGTCTGTGAAGTCGGCATGAACCTCTTTAGAGCCCCCCGTGCTGTGATGGCAGCCTGTGTTATCATGGCAGTCGTGGCCCTCATGGAACACACAGGTGGTCTCATGTGATTCAGCGTGGGAACACTGGTCAGGATGCACTGAGCTACACGTGCTGCCCGGCACCTCCAGAATGGCAGCACAGCTCCGCTGAGCACTGCTGTTATGTTCTCTGCTGACACTGTTAGGTGCTACCTTCATGGCCAGGAGGAACATGGGACCACACTGCCCCATCCACCGAATGCTGCTTCTCTGACTGATAAGGAAAGGGTTGCAGGGTTACAATTAACATCCCACTACACCTTAATTCCACTCTGAAGGGCAATGCTGAATTCCTTTCATGAGCTGTTTTGTTCTTCTGGATTACTGAGATCAGGACTTCCAGAGCAGCACGTTCTGATGCTGTTCTTTGTGTAAACATGATGTGAAGACATGTACGAATGATTGGTATGTCTCCATCGTTTGTGGCAGAAGAGGGACTGAGGTCTTTTCTGAGAGTGTTATCCAAAAACACATATTTGAAAAACTGCATTAAAATTGAATGCACGTATGTAAAATACAGGACATACTTTAAAAAACTTCAAGAAAAGGGTATTCATTGATGGACACACTATGTGCATTGTAATTAGAGCCCAACTCTTACTCTGCTTCTGAGGAACACAGTATTAGATTACAACAACCACAAAGTTCTCCTTCCATAAAGTTGCAGAAGTACATGTGGAATAGTTTCCATTGTAACGTGGCTGTGAATTAACAGGGCTGCCTTGCAGAAAGTACAATGGTTCTACAAACCCATGCTGCTCTTTCTGTTTTGCTGGCAAATCCATTTCTTTAAATGGAATTCATTACTGGGGAGAATCAAGGGAGCTTTTTGTTAACTGAAACTCTATTTTGGCAAGAAATTGTGGTTGAGTGTAAACACAGTAGCACTGGGGAGAGGAAAGAAGAAAGTGCTTTGGAGATGGGCTTTCAAAGCAAGTTACACAAACCAAACGTAGAATACAACTTCAGTTGTTGTTGCTGTTTTTTTCTCTCTCCCAGTTCATATCCTACTATACATGACATGACTTAATTTGCACGAGGAAGGAGGAAAGGCAGCACTCTACAACTCCAGTTTGTACGGGTTTTCTCCTCCTTGAAGCACAGGTAACACACGGCAGTCAGGCCACATCCATCGGTGTGATGTCTGCTCTGTCCTCGTGCCCCGTGCTCCCCGCCGTGCCCACGAGGAGCTGTGCTTCGCAGTGCTGGGGATGCAGACTGATGCAGCGGGGCGGTGGGAGGCACAGCTGAGCCTGCAGGCTGCAGGGATGGGTGAGCACTGCAGGGTATGTGGACATCTGCCGTAGTGCGGGGCATGAGCCAGCTCTCCTGACCAGTAGTTCAATGCATTAGTCTCAAATCTCTGCTCCGAATTTTGGTTCGGAGACCTTCTTCAAGGAGAGATACGATTCAAGCCGAGTAGAAGGCCCTGGAACCAAACACTACTCAGTTTATTACGTGTCAGCGTTACTGACAGCTCTGCATCCTTGGGAAAGCCAGTCCTATGGAGTCAAATGCGCACAGACTTTTCAAACACTCACATGAACCCACCCTCCAACAGTGTGCATCACCTGATGCTCTTATTTTGCTTCTCAATTTTTCTTCTGACTTTTTTACGTTCATTATCATCTTTGTTAGAGTGAATGAGCCAATCCAGTATGACTGAGGTTTTGGGGAACAATGTCACAAAAAGGAAATGATGTATGGAATGAATGAATCTTCCCTTCACTGATCAGCTGTTGTGAAGACCACTGCCCCACATGTTCCCATCCCACAACATTCCCACGTTGCCTCAACTCCTTTTGCTGTCCCATCTCTCCATGTTGTGCAGGTCTCCTTGAAGGCTGTTTGCAAAACGTTTTCACATTCTGTTTTTTTTTTTCACAGCCTGTTGCTGGCCAAATTCTTCCACTATCTTCTGTGCCAGTTCACTGTGTGGTTCCGGATCATGTGTCTTGTTGTCCAGAATTGGACTGTCTTACCGTTTACTTAAATATGGAAGTAATCCCAAGCAAAACAAAAGGAAAGGTAAAGCAGCATGTCAGCTGCTTTAGGAATACGTTGTTCTAAACTCATGTTGGAAAGCCTACAGAAAGGTATGGTGTCCAAATCTACCCAAGAATTGAGTCTGCTGCAGAGCAATGTCTTCCCAGGGCACAAGGCTGCCCACTGTCTCATTCTTCCATGGCAGTCAGGCAGGAGGAATGGGAACCTGCCCAGAGCATCAGCTGACACATGGCCAGCAATGGGCTGAGCCGCTGCTCCCAGAGCCCTCTGCTTGTACCAGAAATGATTTTCCCCTGAAAAGGTTATGGCTTCTGCTGTAATTTGTGTGTGGAAAGGCCTGTCACATCTGCCAGAGATTTTGAAGGCTGAAACAACAACACTGTGATAAGAGAACAGCAGCAGTACGCACTGCTGTGCCTGAGAGTCCCTGCCCAGCCCGCTCTGAGGAGCAGCTGCTGTGCACACACTCCATCTGTAAGGAAACCAGCTGGGTCCCCATCCCAGGGCAGGGCTGTAAGCACCACATTGTGCAGCGCTTTCTGTAAGGTGTTTTTAGTTTCTCAGCTTACCTCAACCTAACCGTACGTGCTCTGGATCAGATCTCTGGTATCAGCATCTCTTCTGCACAGTGCAGCACGCTGGCTGTGTTGTGCAGATAAGTGCAGATCTCCGCTTCCTTGAGTGCTGAAGAAGCAGAGTAAGGTGTGCTTGAAAGGTCGTGAAGAGAATTTGGATGGAATGTTTGGTGAATTCAAG